CGGCCGTGGCCTTGGCAAGCAATGTCTTACCGGTACCAGGAGGACCAGCTAAGATAGCACCTCGAGGGATCTTGGCACCTAGCTTTTCGAATTTCTCGGGCTGCTTCAGGAAGCTCACAAATTCCATGATCTCGGTTTTTGCCTCTTCGAGGCCAGCAACATCTGAGAATTTGACCTTAACAGCACTCTCGGCGTTGAACTTCTTAGCCTTGCTCTTGCCGAAGTTGAACATACCCCCTCCAGCACCACCACGTCCACCCATTGACCGCTGAGTCCAGAGGATCAAACCGATGAAGAGCAGTGTAGGACCAAAGGCCAGAAGAAGGTTGCCAAGGGTACTACCACCAGCCTCATAGCTCACGGGTATTCTTTCAGAGGGCGGAATACCCAGCTCATCTTGCGCCTGTTCTAACTTTCGCTCGAAGGATTCAACAGACCCTATGGAGAACACGTAGCTCTTTCTCGCAGGTTGCCCGCCCTCACCAGTAGCTCCAGTTGCAGATGGATGAAGCTCTACCCGGACGTGTGAGCCGTTAACAACAATCAGCTTCTGAACCAGGCCCTTATCCAGGAATGCTTTCCGCATCTCTTGCCAAGTAATCTCCTTCTCAGAGAAGGGGTTGGCAAAGAGTTCCGCAATCCATACAGTGACACCAATGGCGATACCAGTCTGAACAGCCTCCAGCCACCCGCTGCGCTCATTCTTCGGTGGCTTGCCACCCTTCTGCTGCTGCTGCTGCTGTTGCTTCGACTTGTCAGCGCCACCCTTTCCGTCCTGGGTCTTCGGTTCCTGGTCCATGCGAAAGGATGAAAATTGCCCATCCCGGTTGTCTTGTTGATCCTCCAACTCTATTATCCGTTCTGTGACCATGTATACACATCGCATAAGTCTTCCCTTGTCCAGAATCGAAAGGTTGCCGTTCTGGCGTTGCTTCTGAAGAAGATCTCGGGTCTCGGCAGGAGCGCCAACAATTTGAAGTTTCTCAAGAATGTCCTTCGCCACCGGCCTTTGAGCCTCTGGAAGTCGACTTGTAAATTCCTCGAGATGTGCCAGTTCCTCCTTATTCAAGTGAATCCAGCCTTCGGGCAGAGGTGGCGGCTTTGGTGCTTCAGACTTGCTTCCATCGGGCCCATCCTTTGCACTGTGTTGATTCAATGGCTTGCTTCCATGCTCATCATCTTTGTCGGGGTTTGATCGGGGATCTTTGCCGGGAGGTGGGGGTTGCGAGGAATATGTCCTTGCTCGAATGGCGAATGCGGCAGAAGTCTTTGCGGGGATCGATCTGGTGACAAGTGACGGTCTTGCACATAATCGTAGTGCAGGCTGCGTTGACAATCTTGTCGCTCGTGCGAGCTGGCTTGATTGTCTTAAAAATCTCGACATGGCGGGCAACGCAGGCTGGCGCAAGTGCGGAACTACCGGGGTTGTGTGTACAGATAAAGGTAATTGAGAGCGCCGTGCTATCTCATAGGGTAGCACGGCTCAAGCCAAAAAGGCTATTGACTAATATTTGAGGCCGGTATACAGTCGTATATGGCGAGAACTCGGAGTCCCAGCGCCAATGGATGAATATGAATATGTTGGATGACACCACCAAGTGCAAGCTTCTGGTGATGAGTCTACAGCGGTTGCTTAGCTCGAAAAATGATGATCACGTGTTGGGGAAATCGCTGAGGTGGGGTCCACTGAGAGCGGAAGGTGAGAAGATTGGCTGATATGATCGCCTCAGGGAATGTGTCAGTACGTCAATGAGTGATGCCTATCTTAAGTCCGTTCGGCTCTGTAACGCTTGACATCAGGTACCTAATGTTGTGAAGTAATACATCGATATGGGTAAGTACATAGTTTTGTACTTGTCAACTTTCATCCTCACAGACTACTAGGTACTTAGGTATTGTTGAAGTTAGCAGTGGCAATTTGCGCCTCATTTCCCAGTACTGGTGATGGATGTAAGTATCATAGAACTCTTGGCGGTGCTGTCTGCTTCATAGTTATCTCCAATACAAGAGAATATTCTTCGTAGCTATCTTACTACGATATAAGATATGCCATGTTCAGTCTTTTCAGCAGGAGAGTAGTAAACCGAATTGAATAAGGATTTGGGCAACACTGAAGGGAAGACTGCCTTGGTAGGCAACTGTCTGTCTTGGGGGGGGGGGGGGCAAAAAAACTTGGGACATCTATTATAAGTGACAAAATGACCTAGGCAAGTTTGATATAACTTAGTGTAGATTTCGTAGACCTTGGATTGGGTATTTTTGGCACCTTGGTTTGACATCAGAGGTTTTCTTGCTCCTGGAGGTTCGTCCACTACCCTATCACTCGGCCCATTCCAGGTTGTGAATTAGAATGGATCGTATAAGACCATCGCCTTTCACCGGAACTCGACATTCTTCCTTTGATTCCCTGAGATGCAAGACGATCTCTGCACCCTTGGCTCCCTCGAAATCAGGCAAGTCACGCCAAATTTCAGTCCTTGACTTTTGGGCAATTGGGTGGTTGAAGTACAGCTGCAACACACGACGAGCCTGCTCCTCGTCGCCGATCTCGAACAGTACTACCCTCGGCTTTAGGAGTTCTGCAACGTCCAAAAGCCGTGCGTAAAAGACGTCTGCTGGGTTGCATTTACTAGGGCAAGGGAGGTCTTTATCGGGAACCAATGCGAGGCGCGGTTCATATTTTCGGACTGAATAACCGAGTTGCCCACGGCCATGATGCCAGATATCTTCTGATATATATGGAGGATTAGACACGAGAATATCCCAGGGGGTAACGGCGAGCTGCTGCATGTCGCCATCACTGAAAACGTTTGCTCTTGTGATGTCAAGCCGCTTGTGTTTTGTAGGCTCCATCAAATTTCCAAGCCTGACGTTCCGTGCGATGTTCTCCTGCGCGAGTCGGAGGGCTACAGGCGAAACATCCACTCCTCGCACGGTCAAGTTGTCAACCGAGTGCTGGAGGGATGAGAAAACTCCAAGGGGTATACAACCAGTTCCTGTGCAGAAGTCGATTACGTTTACTCCACGGTCGAGTTTCCTTACGTCTTGTCCTAAAAGCTCCCCTGATTTGACGAGGTTTGTTAGGTGGAAAGTGTATGCTTCGGTTTCTGGTCTAGGTATTAAAACACCTTGTTTGCACTTGATGTCGAGTGAACCAAATGGCTGAGAGCCGATGACATACTGAAGAGGCTCACCACGCCCTCTTCTTCGGCATAGATTGTCTAACAGCCATGATTTGTTTCGTGACCGTGATTCATCGGCATGGCTTCTTAGCCATCGTAGCTCATTCTGGGCAGAATTCAGGTCCCGGCAAGCGGGAAGAAGGCTTGCAATATGTGGCGAAAGGCGCCGAGCACGCCGCAACAAAGACGGCTGAATGCGCGGCATGACGAAAGAACTTCATCGTTGAGCCTGCAACGGTGAAAGTTAATGCATGACAGAATTGTAAGCGTGCCATCAGAATGTTGAGGTTGGATGTACACATTGTCATGATTAACCGACCTTTACCCTTCTATCGCGCGCCTCGAAGCTTTGAGCCTCTGAGGGCAGCCCCTGCATCACGTTGCTTTATTCTTTAAATCTTTGTTCACAACTTGTACTACTCGCTCAAGATACTACTTCCTTTTGGATCTTTTTGGTGCTGTATCCTCTAGGTTTGTCCTATCCTTAGAATTGCTCGCCGAGTGATTCGAGCGATACGAAACGCAAATTGCCGACATTCTTGGACTTTTGCTGTAATCGCCACTTTACCGCCAAACCTCAAACCGCCTAACACCCCGATCGAGAACCGAAGATGAACGCGCCTGATCGGTAAGACCGTCTTTTTCTATCTCTTTGTCTCTACCTCTCTCTCTTTATTCGGGCCTCGTCTCGCGTGCTTTCAGGTTCCTTGCTCTTCTCTTAGTCGGCAACAAAACACAGACACCAAGTCAGAGTCCAATACTACACGCTCTTATTATGCTGCTTGGCCAAGCGCCATGTGAAGCCAAATACCCAATATTGATTCGGCAATCGGTCTGTGCCTTAGCATAGTGAATAACTTTCACTCTGACAAGTTGTCAGCTCATATGGCCTTATCACCCTACCGTCTGTTGGTTTAGAAAGCATTATGTGACTAGCAGTGTTACCTAGTTGGCATTACCCCTAAGTATATATGCCCAGCCTTCTTAGGCAGCATGGTTTTTCGAATGTCTGAAAGCCATCAAGTAACTATCCTTTCCTTGATTCTATCTCCTGCGTTCATTTGCGCTGGCAGTGGCGGGCACTGTCTTTCAGACAAGTTATCTCGCGACCTGCAAAAGCCTTTCCGAAGCAAAAAAAAAAGCATTTTCCTCAAGCGAGTCAAGCTCATCTCATCTATTTCAACACCATAAAAAGCACATAGCATATATTTGTCTTTTCACCAAATATTAGACAATGGCCGGTGGTAATCCCAAGCATTTCAATCTCCAAGATGACCCGTTACGTTGCTTCAAACTACTTGACATCTTTCGCAGGCTAACAAACTCAACAGTTTCGAGCTGTTCCTGCTCGGAGAGGGCGAGAAGAAGATCGAGGAAAAGGTCTTCTCAGGTTAGCTCTCTTACGACTTATGTCTATCCCCTGCTTACAATATTCCATTAGGAATGTCCAATACCTCCGATTTTGTCCTCATGAAAGAAGACCACACTCTTGGTAACCTTCTCTCCGAGCACCTGAAGATGCACCCCAATGTCTACATGGCTGGGTATAAGAGTACAGAACCTGCCGCCCTCGGTCAATCTCGTGCTGACATCGTATACAGTCGCTCACCCCAATGTTCCTGAGCTTTTCATACGAGTCCAGACAGACGGAACCATCACCCCTCGCGATGTCTTTACTTCTGTCTGTGAGAAGCTCATTAAACAACTCGAGATGTTGCATCAGGAGTTCACGCGAGAGTGGGAATTGAGACGCATTACCAACACTGGTGAGCAGGGAAACATGCAGAACGGTCACTGAGTTCCGCGTTCATTATCAGGGATCATCTAAAACGGACAGGCATTATGGACGGTCGGCGTTAGGGGGCTGCAGGTTACTGCTTATTTATTTTTAACCACATATAAACCGGAATGAGCTTGAGATTAGACTCTTCTGAGCTATACTGCGGTCCTGGTTTCCACTTAATGTGCATGTTGTGACACACGTATAAAATAGGTCGCGCCAGGTTTGCTTGAGTCTAAAATAGGGGAGTCCTGGGCTCGAGATGAGTTTCGATCGGAAGAGATTTTGCGATGTCTATGATCCTGGTAGACCATTCTCAAGCAGCTCCTTCTGGACCTTCACCACCGGGGATCAACTGATAGAGTTTTAGTACAACAAGCAGGGAACGAGTTGCAATTGACTCACCATGCAGATGTTGTTGCCGTTCAGCAGAATCTTGGGAAGCTTAGTGTGGTTACCCGAGTAGTCACTATTGAGTTAGCCAGTACTGGAAAGGCAATAATGGAGATGTTGCTCATACAACTCGGTCACATCCTCCAGAACCATGTCTATACCGGTGATTAGTTTCGGTAGAGGCGAACTGGGAGAGCAATACTCACTAACGTAGTCGTCAAAACCGACGAGAGTTCCGCTGAATTCTATCACCTTTTCAGTACAATCGTCTATGAGCATACAGAAACTCATCTCTCACCCTTATCGCCCTTCATAATGACCCAAATCCTGGAGCCCACACACTTGTCGATAAGCTCTACATAGAAAAGTTAGTATGTAGCCTTGATACATTAATAGTCCCTATGCAAGGCTACTCACCGAGAGGTAACAGTTGGGATGCCATTGTGAAAATGTGACGTGGGTGGATTGTATGAAGAGTTATCGATCTGAAGCGGCTTCTTTGCGCAGAATTATTAGTACATTTTCAATGAAGTGTCGGTTTTAGTTACCGAAAGCTAGATGCTTTATCTCAGAGTTGAGCTGAAGTCGTCAAGGTCGTCGTCTCACAGTCTCAAAGTGGGATGGATTATGGAGGTGTGAATATAGAGCACGTCCCCACGTGCTCTCGCGATAATCATGGTGACTAAGCCAATCCATTGCCCACCTCCACCCTCCCCAAGCCACCCGCTAACGCTCAGAATCAATGATCGCTCTATTGACGCGGCTGCCTAACAAATCTCACATACTGCGCAGTAGCCTTCGCGTATCAGGGTCATGGGCTTTTGCCACAATGGCTCACCGACGCTGGCTACATTTCAATCACTTCATACCCCAATGATATTGTCTTTACAGGGGCGCATTGCTGGCAGTGTATTAAGACCCTTGACAAGAACGCGTCGGTTCCCCTATACTAGTAGGTATGTTTAGATACCCGTCTTCGTTTTAAAAACTTCCTGACGGTTCTATCTATGAAGGAAAGAGTTTAGCTCCAGCATGTCACCAACTATAAAGAATCGTCTGTGGAATCCGGCTTTCGGGATCAGGTTCTCTCCGAAAACTGATCATCAGCCACCTTATCCTTTCCTAGATATTACTCGATTTGTTCATACCCCTGCCTCTGGGTCTGGAGATGTTGAAAATGGAGATGTCGAAGCTGACGAGTTCAGCGAAGGTGAAGAGTTCGAGCGTGATGCGGCGGAATGGTTCGATCAACAAGATCGGTTGGTATTGCCTACCGTTGAAACCATCTCTAAAGGCACCCAGGTTGCATCAGACACAGACGGAGATCTCGTCGAGGCCTCAAAACGGGAGAAGGCCCTGACGGATTCCGTCACTGCTCCTCTCACATCCTTAGATTACACAATCGACGCCAACCTTTGGGATACAGCCCGAAAGAGTAAGGCTGGCTCCAGCCAGTCGTTCTGGTCCTACAAAATGTACCGTCAAGTTCAAGGAAACGGCGAGGAGCAGAAAGTCAAAGTCCACTACTGCACTTCAAAACATACGATGGAGCATGTTTGTGAAAGGTACTTTTCTGACGAGAAAGTCATTGGCTTCGATTTGGAGTGGTTTGTTGCGAGAGGTCCTGCCAACTCCAACCCTCGACGAAATGTTTCGCTCATCCAGATCGCTAGCCCAAGTCGTGTGGGCTTGTTCCACGTTGCACTTTTTCCCAAGGACGACTTTGTCGCCCCAACTTTCAAGAGGATCATGGAGGACGAAAGCGTAACAAAAGTTGGCGTGGCTATCAAGGGTGACTGCACAAGATTGAAGAACAATCTCGGCATAAACAGTAAGGGGATTCTCGAGCTGTCTCACCTCTACAAACTTGTCAAATACTCGAAGGCTGGAGAGCTAGACCGAATCAATAAGGTCATGGTGTCTTTAGCCGTGCAGACACAGGAGATGTTAGGTCTTCCTTTGTTCAAAGGAGATGATGTGCGGTCCAGTAATTGGATGATGCGTCTGTCAGCAGATCAAATTGCATGTAAGTTAAAATTTGTGTTATCCGTGCTTCTGTAGCTCACGCATATATAGATTCCGCATCAGATGCGTATGTTGGTCTCCAGCTGTACTACGTGCTTGAGCAGGAACGCATGAAGCTTCAGCCTACTCCTCCTCGACCAGCTTTCGTGGAGCAGAATCTTCCTATTCGGTTCTTGACCGCTGATGACGTTGATGAAAGTGATGCGACTTCAGAATCGGGGGAATCTGAGGTGATTGCTGATGTTGAGGTGAGACTTGAAACACCAGAAACCAGGCCTACGCAATCGGCCGCAACGCCCACGACAAAGGCTACGCCCCCATCAGAGAACAATTCCCATGATACAAGGGATCCCCGTATCCTCGCTGCCGAAAAGCACGCTCAACAATACCGTAGCACAACGCGCCGCCAGTCGACTCCACCATTGTCGTCTCTTCGCACTTATTACATGTGGTATGACAACCAAGATCTTACACCAGAGGCCGTTGCTACGCTCTTACGTACTCCTCCTCTTAAGACAAACACTGTTGTTTCTTATATCCTTGATGCCATCATCTCGGAAGGGTTACCTTTTTCCAAGGCGAGGCTTAGAACTGAGGTGTTAGTCCACCTTGCTCCCCAGTCACTAGTGAGTGCCAGGTATCGAGCATTGGTGGATGCAAGTCAAGAGTCTGAAGAAGAACTATAAAACCGATTCTAGGATTCGAGTGCATGCATGGGGAGCTACTCGGAACGCAGCTTCGCTGCAAACTGGATTGGAAACGAATTGATGAAGACTGCTTATTACCTTTTGATCAGGTTGTAATTCGTGATCGTCAGACTTGTTGCCAATTGCATCCTTGAATATCCCAGCCATATCATCCAAGAACACAATAAAAAAAAATCGGTATAAAGGAACAATCGGTTGTAGGTCTCTATTTATATTATACTATGATCCTGGTCCAAACAGGTCACGGCCTCTGTTAATCTGAACCTTCTTATCCTCACCACCACTCACAATACCCCAGGATTGATCCCAGGCCACACTCAACACCTTGGCTCCATCACCAGCGACGGGGAGCTTCTTGCCCTTAAGCCACTCTCGGCCTATGGTGTACACTGGCTCACTTACGCTTCCGCCACCCTCTTCCGATGTACCCATCCGCACGCTTCGAAGATCCCACACACGACATGTACTGTCGTGAGAGCCAGACACAAGCGAGTGGTCGTTTTCGGGCGAAGGCGCCAAAGAGACAACCATATTAACGTGACCGCGGAGTGTCATGGCTGAGGTAGTAGTGGCTGACTCGCGGGGGTCGAGGAGGGTAATATGTCGGGCCGACGAACCAGCAGCGACAAGGGAGGATCCGGGGAGCGCCGTTGCGCATAATAGTGGGTGCATGGTAGTGAGTCGGCTGACCTCGCGCTGAGTTGTTAAGTCAATAGTGCGAACAGTATGATCTTTCGATGCCGAATAGGCGACCGTTGCGTCGTTGGGATGAAAGACGGCAGCAGTCACAGGCTCATCATGGACAGGGATCAAAGCAAGAGGACCACGCTGTGCAGTGTTGGCGGCACTTGCAAGTTTGGCTCGCTTCGTGCTATGTGCAGAAGGCAGGCTCTCGGGATCTGCCTGGGGAGCTGTTCTTTTTGACGACGTCCAAAGACCAACTTTACCGTCAGATGATGCTGTGAGAATACGCTTAGTGGCTCCGTTAATGTCAAGACTGTTGATTTCCTTCTCGTGACCCCAGAGTTCCATGCTGGACTTGAGGGCAGCAGAGAAACCATCCTCAGACTCGCTATAGTCCCAGACAATAACCTTGCGATCCAGGCCAACTGAAGCCAGCTGCTTCTGTGAGATCCACTTAACCGCATTCGCTCGCTGCGTGTGACCACCAGCTCGACCAGCAGGAGACACTGCGATTGCGTCTCCAGAGGGGTTCCAAACTCTAACGAGGCCGTCGTAGGAAGCACTCGCAACTCGTTCGGGGATGTTACTACCACCAACCAGAAGGCCTGCTCGTGAAGTGGCAGATAGGAGGTCTATACCACCGACCCAGTCGTCATGCTCAAAGCTCGCTTCGTAAACCGGGGGTAGCAGACTTCGAACATACTGCAAAGTTAAAGTAGATTCAGATGAAAGACCGTTTGTTGCAAGATACTCTTCGATAGAAGTTCGGAGAAATGTGCCATTGGCGAGAAAGTCGAGAGGGATGGGAGAGGAGGTGTCGAGCATAGACTCGGAGTTGAGAATGCGAGAGAGGCCATATCGTTTAATATCTATGATAAGGATTAGTCCCTTGGTTGCTCTAAGGTATTCAAGAACATCAATAACTGACCTGCAGGCACGAGCAATTGTTGCTTAGAGTCTGGGAGTACCAAATCCTGCTCAGTGGTAGTGAAGACGACCTTCACCTGTGCGACGTCCCCCATTTTTGCGTGGCTGTTCAATTGTTGTTGTCCTTCGAATTATTTTCCAGGTAAATCGATTGGAGGTTGTGGAATAAAAGAGTTCTACTGGTTTTGAAGCCTATTGGGCTCCGGGTATCTCGAACGATTTACTGCGGTGAAGGTATGCTTGTGGTAGATCAGCACGCAAAGATCTCAGCAAAATCTAGAAAATTTTGGAAATTTTTGTAGCCTTGCATTACTTTTGGCCCCACTGCGGGGAGCCAATCTGAGCCACTGACCAATGACGATGTTGGTGATTGCAAGGCTGAACCACTTTCCTGGGGCTCATAACGGACCTGAGATAACTGTACAGAAATGATACGTTAACATAAGATGAAGATATGTTTTGCCAGGCAACTTCTTCGTGAGCCCAATTGCCATGGCTTGCTAGTTTGTAGCATTCTATCAAGCATTCCTAATCAGGAAGTGGGTGATCCTTGTTGAAGAGCTCTTATTGGGTGTTTTTATCTCTTGGATAAGAACTTGAGGTTCAAGAAGTCCATTGCGGTTTAAGCCGATCCTTGAAGTTTGTGAAAGAACACCTTATGTGTGAGTTGAGCATCAAAATTATTATTCATCAGGGAGTTAACACCTTGCTGTGCTGAGCTTCGATGAATGAGGTCACCATGTTTCTTGACAAGTTTCAACTCAATTTCATCCGGCACCCGTGTTGACCTCTATGATTTAATTACACGGAGTATGGTTGTTTTTGAGAAACATGACCATTCCTGAGTCAGCTCGCGAGTCGATAACTTATGCCTGTGACTCTTGTTGAGGGAGAAACGCATTGTCTCTTGTATTGTTTCTTTGTGACGAAGTAATCATGACGATTGAACTCGCTAACAATGGTTGCTACATCTGGTAGCTTATATCATAGCTTTAAAATCCGGAGCATTGTTGCTAGACAAATAAGCCCGTATTCGGTCACCGTGGCATTTTGAGTAATGAAGCTCTTCAAACTCTCCCCATCTGTCTCAATAGAGGTAGGGAGTCGGGTTGACGGAGCAGTCCCGGCACATACATGCTTGTTAATCCCGTAACCGTGGGGAGCTAATCTTGCAGTGTTTTGAAGGAGAGACATACAACACTAGATAAGGGAGTTATTCAAGACGTGAGTATTACGGCTCGGGGTCTCGGTAGAACTTAAACCGCAGAGGTTCGGTCTGTGGCAACAAAGCCACCTATCTCATTTTATTTACTTGCGGGTTGAATATGGTATGTATTCTGTCGTTAATTTTCGAACAAGTCGAACAATAGCTAGATTCTCTGTAGGTAACCGGAGGTTCTATTATGTGTTATAGGTAGGAGGTTGGCAAGGAAACAGGATGCACTGGCCTTGGGGGTTATGGCAATTTGGAGGGAGGGTCTTTTGCTAAAATGGGGGTATGTAATTTTCTTAAGGATTAAGGCAATAGAAAGCCTTGTGTATAGTCTTCAAATCTGGCAAGATAATGAATCTGTAGACACTACTTTGCAGTAGGGTTAATACTATTATCCTTCTCTGATCAGTGCTCTCTAGAGTAGGAGCATACCTTTTCCGCTAACAGATATGATAATGCTGGCATCGATTTCAAAGGCGTATCATAATACAAAAAGGATTCCAGTGACTTGGGGAAAAACCACATCTGCTGAACATGTCGATCTCTGGTATTCCCCCGCATTCCATGACCTCATCCCGACATCCCCCAAGAAGTGCCAGACCTGCGTCTGGCCATACACAAGGCAGGTCAATTTTTTAGGATGAAAAGTTCTGTCTGGTCCTTGTACCTAGTCGCTAGGGTGGTGAGAAGTAAAAAGTCTGCGCCGTGCTGACGTACCCTACAGAACGGGTGGGAGATTTGCGCATGCCGTTGAGGAAAACGTCGAGGCGTATCGACTAATAACAGGCGAGGGAAAAGAGAAAAATTAACCCATGCTCCTCAACAAAGCGACTCAATCTCATAATGGCGTAACATCGAGACCTGGAAATGGCAGTGAAACACCTTGATCAATGGGCCGGCCTCGGCTCTTTGACCGGAGTGGCGTTGGTGTTGCAAGGAGCTATTCCTTTTGATGTCAAGTTTGTGGCGTTTGGCCAAGTCCATTTCTGCGCGGTTAATCTTGATTGAGTTTAGAGAAGCTGGCAATTGAGACCCTCAAAACAGTTTCTTCGAGTGAAGTGTCAAGAGAAAAGGTTCAATGGTCTGGTGGTGGTCGTATGATGATCTCTGATATCATTGTACTGGAGGCTCAGTCGAACAAAACAGGGTCACTAATAATGTAACGCTCAATCGGCTCCTCCAGGCATTAACCCAGGACATTGTCTTTCGAAAAGCATGTAAGACGTTGACCCTGGTCCCTGTCCTTGGGAGCCAAGAGAACGGCTCCATGTGGCGATGGGAGAATTGCCCTGGATTCCACAGTTATTTGGCCTTGGTATACGGGCCTTTAGGTTGGCTTTTGTTTAGGCGCCGTTGCTAGGAGCTTGGGGCCCCGACATCCCACCGACCCCACCCAAGCTTGGGTCGCTAGTACGCCAGAGTACGAGCTGAAGGCCTAAAGCTGTACCCGCAGGAGCATCAACACCAGGCAATATCATGGCCGATAGTTGCTGTAGTGGCCTCTTAGTACCTGCCGAGTACATTATTACACCATCTTTTTGTGAACTCAGCACAATCCCCCTCCATATTGGTTGCTTGCTTCCAACTTCTTGGGCTCGAAATTCCTCCCTTATACTCTCATTTTTCCTTTTCATTCTTCCTACCTTTTTTCTCTCCTCCTCACCACACTTGGGTCCCCTCTCTCTCATCTCAATTGGTGTAGCGCTTCAAAACACCAAAGCAAACCACCACCGCCTGGACCTGAGATCCATCGTACTAGCTATAGCAGTACCCATCGCTGTTAGTGTTTCTCGCTCCTCCAACTCCGCTCCCCATGGGCACATATCCATCTGCATATGGATCCCTCCATCCCCTGTGAATGCCCCATGTTCAGTGCTCAGTGCTCACCCATCCATCGCATGCAGATCCGTCTCTTAGGCTAGGTTCATTCTCATCAGCGGCACAGTGACGCAACATCGAGACCACCACCATCTCGATTCGATCCCTCCGTTTCGCTTCTGCCGATTCCCCCCAGCCACGCTTCGCTACTCCCGAGAAAACTTCTCAATTGGCTTCGCGGACCATCGTTACAGCTTCCTCCTCCTTTATTATAGCTCCTTTCCCTGCTTTCCTGCTCTCCTGTTACTGTCCTCCTGAAAGGTCTCTGCGCTAGCTCCACTGCTCAATTCAACGCGACCACACCCCTGGCCGAAGCCCATCAGATCATCGCGTTCACTGTCTACCTTTCTTCCCCTCAGCGACTTACTCCTCACTTCTTGACTTGAGGTAAACACGTCAAGATGAGCGAAGGCGAGCAGCAGACTCGCGACATCAAGAACCACCTTCTCTTTGAGATTGCCACTGAGGTAGCTCATCGAGGTCAGTCATTTGCGACAGCAAAATCCTTCAATCTCGCGAGTCTTCGCATACTAACTTGAGGTGCAACACAGTCGGTGGTATCTACTCGGTTATCAAATCCAAGGCTCCTGTTACAACAGCTGAATATGGCGACCGCTACACACTGATCGGTCCCCTCAACCATCAATCGGTAAGGCTTCAGCTTGAAGATTGTCATGACTTTCACGTACTGACCACAATAGGCCGCCGTCGAGGTGGAGGAGATGGAACCCACCAGCCCAGAGATCGCTGCTACCCTACAGTCCATGAGAGATCGAGGAATTCACATTGTTTATGGTCGTTGGTTGATTGAAGGGGCTCCCAGAGTTATTCTCATTGACACCAAGACCGCCTATGGTCGCATGGATGAGTGGAAGGCCGATTTGTGGGAAGCTGCCAGCATTCCTTCACCACCTGGCGACGATGAGACCAACGAGGCCATTGTTTTTGGTTATCTGGTCGCCTGGTTCCTGGGAGAGGTAAATTCGCTTGACTATCCCACTTACGTGTCAGATCTGCTAACCTTAGTATCTTATAGTTCGTCTGCCATGAGAAGAAGAGGGCTGTCATTGCTCACTTCCACGAGTGGCTTGCTGGCGTTGCCCTGCCCCTCTGCAAGAAGCGCCGCATCGATGTGACGACGATCTTTACCACACACGCCACTCTTCTCGGCCGATACCTCTGCGCTGGCTCCGTGGATTTCTACAACAACCTGCAATGGTTCGATGTCGATGCTGAGGCTGGTAAGCGCGGTATCTACCACCGATACTGCATTGAACGAGCAGCCGCGCATGCATGTGATGTTTTCACCACAGTCTCCCACATCACAGCGTTTGAGTCCGAGCATCTGCTGAAGCGAAAGCCTGATGGCGTTCTGCCCAATGGTCTGAACGTCACAAAGTTCTCGGCGGTTCACGAATTCCAAAACCTGCATCAGCAGGCAAAGGAGAAGATTCATGACTTTGTTCGAGGGCACTTCTATGGTCACTACGACTTTGACCCCGACAACACTCTATACCTCTTCACCGCCGGTCGTTACGAGTTCAGGAATAAGGGTGTTGACATGTTCATTGAGTCCCTAGCACGATTGAACCATCGTCTCAAGGCCGCTGGTAGCAAGGTGACCGTTGTTGCCTTTATTATCATGCCTGCTCAGACCACTTCCCTCACTGTCGAGGCGCTGAAGGGTCAAGCGGTTATCAAGTCACTCCGAGATACCACACACGTTATTGAGCAAAGCATTGGCCGTCGCATCTTTGAGCGCTCTCTTAAGTGGCATGAGGGTGATCCCATGCCCGATGAGAAGGAACTCATCTCTGCTCAAGACCGAGTTTTACTTCGCCGTCGTCTCTTTGCCATGAAGCGTCACGGACTTCCCCCAATTGTCACCCATAATATGCTCAACGATCATGAGGACCCTGTCCTGAACCAGATTCGACGTGTACAACTTTTCAACCACCCGTCTGACCGAGTCAAGGTAGTCTTCCACCCCGAGTTCCTCAACTCTGCCAACCCTGTACTTCCTCTCGATTACGACGACTTTGTCCGAGGTTGTCACCTGGGCGTCTTCTCTTCGTACTATGAGCCTTGGGGCTATACTCCCGCCGAATGTACTGTCATGGGTGTGCCCAGCATTACCACTAACCTTTCAGGTTTCGGATGCTATATGGAAGAGCTTATCGAGAACTCGAGCGACTATGGTATCTACATTGTGGATCGACGAACCAAGGGTGTTGACGACTCAGTCAACCAGCTCACCTCGTTCATGTACGATTTTTGCGGCAAGAGCCGCCGTCAGCGCATCAACCAACGAAATCGAACAGAGCGTCTTAGCGACCTCCTTGACTGGAAGCGCATGGGCATGGAGTATGTCAAGGCTCGTCAGCTAGCTCTACGCCGTGCCTACCCCAACTCTTTCAGTGGCGACGATGAGGAGGAGGACTTCATCCCTGGTGTTGAGCAAAAGATTTCGCGACCCTTCTCTGTTCCCGGCTCGCCACGAGATCGCACTGGCATGATGACCCCCGGCGATTTTGCCAGTCTTCAGGAAGGCCGTGAAGGCCTGAGCACTGAGGACTATGTTGCATGGAAGCTTCCGTAAGTGAAAGTTTGTGCTTGGTTTGACGCCTTTGCTAATATCATTTACAGTGAGGAAGAAGACCCCGACGAGTACCCATTCCCCCTCACTCTTCGAACGAAGCAACCTGCCCCCCATAGCCCTTCTGATAATGTACCTGTCAACGGAACCCAGTAGGACCAATATTCCAGACTCTTTCGGACAGGGTTTAGAGAAGAGACAGAAGGGGAGGGACTGTATTTGAGTAGACGGGCGAACCTTTATTAATTATTGTTGTTTTCATGGGAACGAGCAAGAGGTGGAAAGGAGCTTTCTCATCAGGCAGAAGCTTGTATGTCATTACTGGTGTTGACGCACATCCGCATTGTCGCAATTTGCATCCTGCGCTTTTCTAGTTAACTAGTTACATCCACTTGGGAAATTTGTTTATGAAGCCTCTGTAGCTATTTCGATCCTTGGTATGGTTGACATGCATGGACTGATCCAAATAACAGAGTGATCTCAGACGTATAGGCGCCTTAACCTGGCGTCTAACTAGGTATGGTGCCAACAACGACAGCCCACTTTACTCCAACACCTACTAAGTTATACTAAAGTTACCTAAGTTTTTATATGGCTTAGGATATGAGTCCTAAGTGTTCTTGTCTGCGCTAGCCTGGCTATCCTAAAGGGCACGACTTTTCTTACAAGAAGAGAGCCATATATGGGCACAGTGATATTTGGGAATAAATAGTTCGGCTTAAACTGTTGTTGATCCAGAGGAGTTCTGAGCCACCTAAATTCAAATCTATCTGGACAGAAAGCCAGAGCGTATCGTGATCATGAAATCGAGAGACTAGAAAAAGTAATATAATAGCCCCATTTATATCATGACCAACGACAGCCCTAGAACTTCTCATAACACCAAGACGGCGGCTACAGTAATGAATGGCTGATGTCAAGACGAATTGTACGTTACAACGAATTCAAGCCGTCAATGTCTCCACCAAGCCAGGGTAGCATGATGTGCACTGTGCAGTTGCATGCGGGAGCGAATGAGACCCCTAGAGCTGAAGGGCGTAAACTGGAGAAGTTACTATCAGCACATGGTTTGCCATTGGCGGTGAAGGATATGGCACACTTGATGCAGCGCGAATGCATGGCAGCGGGACGATGCCGTGGTGACAGACGCTTAGTTGCATGTAAACAAATGGTGTTCATCATGACAACATGTTGAAATGGGCAAGGGAAGTGTGCGAGTTGGTTAGCATGATGCTAAAGAGAAGATTTGCCAGCCCATGATGAGTATGTTCCTTTGCACTAAGCTTAAACATGAGAGAAGTCATGCGTTTTTCTTTCCGTTTGAATTTATTCCTTGACTGTTCTTTGTTTTGATGCTGCAGTCATGATATTCTCCAGGTCCTTTCCTTTATCTATTACCTGCAGAGAGACGGATACTGTAGCTGCATTGACACCCTAGGCCATCACATCACACTGCATCGCACCACCATTTTCAGACTCTCGTGGGTCACTAAAATCCTTGCTGCGGTTCAGACTTCCCCGGGTTTCTCTGCTTGTCTCCCTGTCCATCCCCTGTATCGTCCCTGTCCAAACCCCTCCAGCAGAGGGCTTAGAAGCGGTGACAACGAACCAAAGCCTGAACCTGAGGGTAAGAGGGATGATAGGATTGAGGGAGACTGGAAAAGTAAAAGAGGGCCGGCTGCCCTCATGATGAAGAGCATCTATTTCTTTCTCTGATCTAACTTAGTCCCTCTTATTTTGTTCCGAGAACATTCACGGTGTTGGCACTAGCATCGTTGAATCAAATTCATCTATTGCTATCCTTTCTTTGTCAATAGCTTCACTCCACTTTGAGTCTGAGGACAGCCGACTTCTCCTGCATATCCGAACTGTCGATTGTTTATATACACGCATACATCCTACCCATAACTGCATGCTTCCTAACTCTTGTCATCCTCTGTCTCTATCCCCCTCTTTTTTCCAGAGACACGTTTACTCCCATCATCTCGCTGGATCCCCACCATCTCACCCTTTTCGAATTTCGGGTCTAGTTGCCCGCTGCGACAACGTCCATCCTGTCACATTTCTTCCGTCGTTCAGTTTCTCCGGTCCGCTTCTCCTGGACAAGACCCTTCGTCACTCGACCGCCTCAGAACCGTCGGTACCTCTGCTCTTCAGCAACAGACTACCAGCCGATCAAGTACCCAATACCCGTGCTCATTCCCACTAAAACGAAAGCCAAAGCTAAAAGCCGACGGTACCTGACGGGAACTAAAAATATTGTTAGTACAGCCAAGAAAAGCTCGTTGCTCCCCGAGAACAAAGGTTGCCCCCCTTTTTGCCAGATGCGGCGTGGGGTGTAAACAAATGAGACACGCCCGCAATCAGTACCCGACACCGAAATAAGGGCCCCAGCTGGGCCTTGCCGCCTCCCAAGATGCCTTCTGCTACAACAACAACATCTACGGTTCCTCATAGGCCAACGACTCCAAAACTCCGTCCCAGGAGCTCCTCACGCGCTATCCGAAGACCGAACAGCGCTGCATCAACCCCTAACCTCAAGTCCGCATACGCTTCGCATTCGCGCGCCGCGCCGCCGCCTCTACCGCGCAAAGGCTCCCTGGCCCAGCTCACACAAGGCTCCCTCGCCAGCATCCCCGATGTTTCTGAGAGCTACGCCGTTGATACTGTCCTGAGCGACTCCTCACAAAACATGATGCCTCCTACGACGCCCGGTCGCTCACAGGCTGTGAACGTTGCACTTGGTGATATTGTTGATGTCCCTGGTGGAATGCATGGCGTTGTTCGTTTCGTTGGTCCTGTGCAAGGCAAGAAGGGAGTTTTTGCTGGTGTCGAGCTCGACCGAGACTTTGCTAGCCGAGGCAAAAATGATGGCGATGTGGACGGGTAAGAATAATACAGTGTTTCATGGGTTTTCAGACACTGACAGTAGCCAACAGCATATCATACTTCACAACAACAATCCCTGGCGCTGGTATCTTCTTACCAGCGGCCAAGGCTCTTCCTCGCCGCGATTCGATTCCGCCCTTTCCCATGACACCAGGCGCGATGGGTGGACTTCGGGCTGGCAACCAAAACTCACTCAACTACACTTCCCCAACACCTGGTCTCCCCAAGTTCAGTGCTTCTGTTGGACCCGGTGCCCGGGCTCCCAGTCCTCAGCAAAAGCTAGCACCCAGAACTTCTCTTCCCCGGCCCGACTCTCCTGTACGCCGGATGCAGATGACACCTGGCCCAAGACCATCCATGACAACACCAGCCAAAACTCCCACCAGGTATGGGAGCCCAACGCAGTCACGCTTCGCTCAGAGCGTCCGCGGTACATCTGGTGATCCGAGTAAGAGACCCCAGAGAATGGATCGGAAGCCAAGCCATGGACCGCGAAGTGCTTCAGCCTTGGGGTCGATATCAGGCCTTGATGATGATCCCGCACCTTTGGGAATCCAGCGAACCGGTACTAACGGAAGCTCCGGGTCGGTCTCGTCGTTCGCCATGAAGATTCGGCCTGCGTCGCGTATCAACGTTAATGATGAAGAACTCGATCGGCTGCGATCACAGATTGAAGATCGCGATCGGCAACTAAAGGAGCAATCCGCTACATTAGCCGACATGGAGAGTAGCTTAGTTGAACTGCAAGGTCTTATGGAGCAAGCAGACATGCCGGCGGTGCAACGAAACAGCTGGGACAACAAGGACACAGCGCAGCTGCGCCAACTGCTGAGAGAAAAGAACGACAAGATTGCCATGCTCACAGCAGAGTTTGACGCTCATCGGGCTGACTTCCGGAGCACTATCGACACTCTGGAGCTTGCCAGCACCGAAACGGAGCGCGTGTACGAGAAACGGATAGAGGAGCTGATGGCCGATGTTCGAGAACTCGAGTCACGTAACCTAGACGTCGATTCTGTGGCGACCCAACTAAAGCAACTGGAAGAACTGGTCCAAGAACTCGAGGAAGGTTTAGAGGACGCTCGTCGGGGTGAAGCAGAAGCTCGAGGGGAAGTTGAGTTCTTGCGCGGAGAGGTTGAGCGAACAAGGACGGAATTGCGTCGCGAACGTGAAAAGGCTTCGTCAGCTCCTCCGGCAAATGGCGATCATACAGTATCTTCCAAAGAGCTTGAGCAAAAAGATGATGAGATTAGAGGCCTCAAAGCCATCATTCATTCCCTCAGCAGAGACTCTGTTCCTGGGGAGCCCAAGCCCCCTGCACCAAGGCCTGGTTCATTGATGGCCGAAGACGTTGTGGCGAATAAGATCGCGCGCGACAATCTCGAGCGACAAGTTGCTGAGCTCCAATCTCTCCTTGAAAAGAAGAACAGCCGCGAGGACGAACTCGAGAAGGAGCTTGAATCAATCCGTCAGAACGGTACAGCAGCCAACAGGTCTTCTTTCAGAGACTCCCGAGACACCGTCGTTATGGCTCAGGCAATGGAGAACCGACCAGTCGAGAACCTCAAGAGATCCAGTACCGCTACACATAAGCGGGTCAGCACCCTCGACACAATGCCAGAGAGTGACGACTACTCCAATGCTACTGAGACTAGCACCCTCTGGTGTGAGATCTGTGAGACTAACGGTCACGACATCCTAACCTGCACCAACATGTTCGGTCCTGATGGTGCTAAGACCAACGGCGAGTCCAAGGCCATCAAGAAGGCCAGCCGCGAGGAGCTTAAGCCTCATACCCCTACAGGTGATGATGCCCCTGCGCCTCTCACGCCATTCAGACTCAAGAATGCCGGACCTCCCTCTCCTGCAGTTAAGATCATGCCGAACCCCATGGAGTCAGGCCCCGTTGCTGGCAAGGAGAGTGGCATCATGGACCCCGAGAAGTGGTGTGCTCTATGTGAGCGTGACGGCCATGACAGCGTGGATTGCCCCTTCGAGGATGCCTTTTGAGGGCCAAATTCAAATATTTGTTTTCATAACGCATAGCATGTTGGAGAACCATTGGAACGAGCATCAGCGCGGCTTTTCTTGAAGCCTTGCGAAGGACCATTAAACTATGCTTGGTGTAAAGGGGCGTGATGAAAATCGCCTCATGCGTGTATCCCCTTTTCATGTTCTTATTTTCGAAGCTTGGGTCGGCAGTCAGGTTTTGAATGCCTGGTCTTTGTCTGGTAAGGCACTTTTCGTGATACCATATCCTTACTCGTGTTTTATATCCTCAACCTGTCTTGTAGCACTTTCTTGTAATACTATATGACATGGTATATCAGACTGTTTTTTGGTCAATATTCCTTGGTAATGTGAAGTCAGCAGTTGTGTATTATCTATCGCCTTGGTGTACCTTGAAACATGTTGCTGCCTATATTTATTTCTTGCGATATTTGTATTCTCTCCCCTCGAGCACTATGCCACCACCGAGCACTCTTCCACAGCTCACCATCCCACTCACCTGCTAAAGCACGATACTTCATTAAAAACCATATACTGGGCTCCCAACTACGTGAGTCCCACGGCACACCTGCACCCATACCATGTGAGTTCCTCCCAGCTCCCCAGCATGTGAAACCGCCGGAAAGAATATCATGGCACAGAGCCCCTTCATCAATGGCATTAGGATCTTGATCGAGAACGGTGATGAGATTCTCACGGAAGATTTTGAACGGAATAACATCCTAGCTGCATTAGTACGCAAGAGCATGAAGTCGTTCATACTAACACACAATATAAGGATGATGTCCAAACGTTAACTGTTTCTCAATCGGTTGAAGATCAGATGATACATCCAGGAATCTTGACTTCACAAAGGACAGTTTTGATGGATGGTGGCCTTCGTCCGGGGTAACAGAGAACACACTGCAACCATTATCATGGAGTATCTCGTCTACACCCCGCATACCGAGAGCGTAGCAGTTTGCGAATATTGCACCAAATATCCCCGGCTCCATTGTGTATTGTGCTGGGAAAAGCGATGGTCTCGCATTTGCTGTCTTGTACAATGCTTTGGCAAATTGGATAGCTTGAAGTTGACCAGGAGTCTGATGCAGTATGTTTTGTGAAGAAGACGGAGATTTCGGTCCTCGGATATCTTGTTGTAGATGACGAAGAAGAGATCGTTTCTGTTCAATGCTGAGGCTCTCTACACCGTATAGGACGTCTTTCAGGGAACCATCGTCATTGCTTGAGGCTCCTTGAGAGCTGCTGTGGTCAGAGTCTGGACTATCCTCAAAGACTTCTTCTATGGCCCTATAGCCCATGTAGTCTGCTGGGGGTTGGCCTGTAAACGTTGAGGATTGTTGTATAAGCCCAGGCATGACATCTTCCCACTGGTCGTGAGATCCAAGGCTGGGAGGGTTGCCTTTGTTAAGTACTGGCAGAAATTCCGGTACCAGTTGGTTAGAAATGACCGTTGGAACCGACTCCTGGGTAAAATCTTCCCAAGTTTGCGGCACAAAATAAGGTCCAGTGCCATCGAATCTATTAAGATCCAATGGTATGAGATGGTTAGTCAGAGGGGCGCTAGACAATGTTTGGCCTTGCAATGGAGGAGCGCCGGTGTCACTCGAACCACTGGGACCCGGAACATCATCTATATGACCATTACCGGTGATACTAGAAAGGTTACTGGGCTCCAAAAGCTCATTTAGCAGGGCCAGTTTCTGTTTCCGCTTTTCGCCTGTGATACCAAGGTTGACAGTGTTAGTACGATCAAGCTCCGCCGATATATCGTGCAACTTCAGATCAGCAAAAGTACATACGATAGTTTCGGCTGGCAAGACGGTTCTGCTCACGGCGTGCCTCGCTATTGCGGTTGGCTGACACCTTGCCCTTCTGGATCTTTGTGGTCTCACCCATAATATTCCATGACAACGAGTTGAGATTAGGGTAAGCAGATGTGGAACTGACGCAGCAGATAAGAAAGATGATGATAACTGCGATGCCAAGGAGGTCGAGTTTTTTAATTCCTTTTGAGTTTTTAGGGCCGTACAGTTTCTTCCGTTCAATATTGGCTTCTTGTCGTTCAAAGGTGTTGAAATGTTTTTTTAAGTCACAACAACAAGATTAGTTGTTGATGCTTCAGTCCATGAACACGGAGGTAAGGTTGTGAGTTAAACGGTCCCACTTTTAGACTTCCATAAAGCAGTAGTGGTTTATTGACCAATCACACTAATCATTTTACTGATTCTACCGTATCCCCCAAAGAGTTCATGAGGCTCTAGGTACTCCAAGGCACCTTAGGGAAGGCAAAGCAACTTTCAAGATGTCTACCTATCCTAGATCACAAGAAGACTTAGGTAAGTTTAGGGTAGGCTTAGAGTGCCTATTATTTCTGATATCTTACCTCTGGATTAGAAGTTTTCTGCTTTCTGAAGGGTGCCCTAATCTTTCATAAAATCAGATCAGAAAAGTCTACGGTACAACAGTACTTGGGCCAAAACTGACGTTGCTTGAAAGACGAGACTGGAGACTCGTGGAATCCCATGGGTTGCTTCATCGTCCGAGAGAAGCCTGGTCATTATCTCACATGTCAATGTTCTGTGGAATCTCATTATTCAATTCTGCATGGTCAGGGAGGTAGGACACAGGGTTTGTTGTACAACAAACAATATGTACTTCGGGTACCCCAGTTCATTAAGAGAGGGTGGTGGAAGTTTCCAGGCTCGGGACAAAGCACGCGACTTGACGTCCATAGTGACCATTTATAGACACATCGTTTCGAATAATGTAGAGAATCTAACGGTATCAAACCATAAACTGTCATGCGCCCTCCGAGTCAGGTATTCCAGCTTCCGCGGTGACAGGGGATGCCGGGCAGGCTTTTTTGAGGAGGCGAAGAGTGAGCGAATCAGTGCAACACGCTGCATGCCCGGACAGGAGCATCAGGGTCGGGTTGTGGGGTCCTAAATCGGACCCTGCGGCTCGAGAGAAAAAAATCGAAGAACTTTTGGCCACTGCAGGAAGGGCCCTAGGGGCCTTTTGGAGGGGTCCTGGGGACGCCTTGCAGGGGAGGTCTGTTAGTGAGGTACCTACACAGCCTTGTATGACGCCTGTTGAGGCATGGGGCGTGTAGGTAAGGTAGGTAGGTTGTTTGTTCGGTGTTATGGGTGTAAGCAGGTAGTTGCTAGTATCGGATGCTTACAGTGTGGCCTTGGGATGGGCTTTGGAGTGTGTAGAAGCCCCTGGAAAATCCAAACAGACTCTAGAAGAAGGTGCGGAAAGATACAGAAAAACGAAAATGTAAATTTGTCTTGGTTTCCAACAGGTTTTCCCCCCCTTTTGCCGCGTCACAACCTTCCTCTGAGACCTGACTCCTATAGCCCGCCCGCCAGTGTGGTTGTGGTTACTACTACGACGCACTAAGACGCAGGTCATGCATTATCAGCACCGCCACAGAATCTACATTCTTCCACACAATTCCATGAGGCGCGACTGTGCTGCAGCCTCCCCTTCTTCCATCTCAAAACCCGTCCGCTCAATCCAAATTCAAGTCTCAGCGCCTATTCTCGACTCGATTTGAACTTGACATTTGACTCTGACGTTTTTGTTTGAGACACTTTTCTCTCTTCTTTTCAGTGGGATAAACTCCCCTCTGTTTTGACATTTGCGAATTCCAGCGCTCTTATCGATCGCCTCTTTCCCCCCTCCACTTATTCGAATCGAATTTTAGAGACCCAAACCCGTTCAAACTCGCCGCAGCGCAGCCCCGCCGTCGGGAGACTCGAGATACACCCTTTGGCGAACAAGGTACGCATATAAGAACACTGTCTTCTCCCTGTGCCGGATGCTCGGTGTATGATGTTGTCATAATTCATCTTCTTTGCCCATCATATTGTTGTTGCGCGCGTGAAAATCTGCGTCTTTGTTTGCCTTGTCTGGGCTTTACTAATATTCAACAACAGTCCTCGCCTCCCCTGTTATCTTGGACCCTGCGATAACAAAACACAACTCGAACAACCGACACAATGGTCAAGGAAACCAAGTATTACGATACCTTGGGCGTATGTTCTATCGATCCCCGAACAAACCTCGAACAACTGCTAAACTGGATCACAGGTTGCCCCTACTGCTACTGAGCAGGAACTGAAGAAGGCTTACAAGGTCGGAGCCCTCAAGTACCACCCTGGTATGTATCCCAAGACCCTCTAGTCAGTTCAACATGCCTAATGCAACATAGACAAGAACGCACACAACCCCGATGCCGAAGAGAAGTTCAAGGAAATCTCTCACGCCTACGAAATTCTCTCCGACTCTCAGAAGCGACAGATCTACGATCAGTATGGTGAGGCCGGCCTCGAGGGAGGTGCCGGCGGTGGTGGAATGGCCGCTGAGGACCTGTTTGCTCAGTTCTTCGGTGGTGGTGGTTTCGGTGGCATGGGCGGCATGTTTGGCGGTGGTGGTATGAACCGTGGCCCCCCCAAGGCCCGCACCATCCACCACACCCACAAGGTTACCTTGGAAGATATCTACCGAGGTAAGATCTCGAAGCTTGCTCTCCAACGGTCGATTATTTGCCCCAAGTGTGAGGGTCTCGGTGGCAAGGAGGGTGCTGTCAAGCGATGCACTGGCTGCGACGGCCATGGCATGAAGACGATGATGCGCCAAATGGGCCCCATGATCCAGCGCTTCCAGACTGTCTGCCCTGACTGCAACGGAGAGGGCGAGATCATTAAGGAGAAGGATCGCTGCAAGCAGTGCAATGGAAAGAAGACCACCGTCGACCGCAAGGTCCTCCACGTTCACGTCGACAAGGGTGTTCGCAGCGGCACCAAGGTTGAGTTCCGAGGTGAGGGTGACCAAGCGCCTGGCGTCCAGGCTGGCGATGTCGTTTTCGAGATTGAGCAGAAGCCCCATGCCCGCTTTACTCGCCGGGATGACGACCTTCTTTACAACTGCGACATTGAGCTTGTTACAGCTCTGGCTGGTGGTACCATCTACATCGAGCACCTCGACGACCGATGGCTTGCCATTGATATTCTTCCTGGCGAGGCTATTTCTCAAGGTATGTACTCACTATAACGCGCTCAACAACCGTAAGCTAACTGCTTTAGACGCTGTCAAGATGGTTCGCGGCCAAGGTATGCCTTCTCCCAGGCATCACGACTTCGGCAACATGTACATCAAGTTCAACGTGAAGTTCCCCGAGAAGAACTGGACCGAAGATCCCGAAGTTTTCGAGACCCTCCGCAAGGTTCTCCCACCCGCCACGCAAAACGCACCTCCCGGCGACGCCATGTCCGAACCCGCCAGTCTTGAGGATCTGGATAACACAACCCAGAACAGAGTATTTGGCAACTCCGACGGTATGATGGACGAAGATGACGAGGATGGCCATCCCGGCGGTGAGCGTGTGCAGTGCGCCTCGCAGTAAGCTAGTCGAAAGAGAGCGGCGCAATAAACACACACGGCGAGTGCCATAACCACATCAATAGGGCATTTCGCACATCCACAGTCTTAGTCAGAGACAGTGCAGCTGAGGGTGGACGTCAGTCCTTGTTGGCGACGTCGCTTAATCGTTCAATGATACCAAAATTAGCAGAGGATACGGTCTTCTAGGGATTGTGAGCGAGCGTGGTGCTGGGGATAAGGTGCAGTTGAGTGGGCACCTGAGTTGAACCCCGAACGATCGTGTTTGAGGGGTTAGTGAAGGTGGAGGAGCATTCGATCAGGCTTGGTTGGCGTTTTGAGGACATAGACGATTCAAATGAATTTGGTAGTAGCAGACGTAGACCATGAACATGATGATTTGTTTGTTATTCTAATATTGGTTGGCGAAACCTGTAAAGCATACGTGACCAGACAAGTGGACCCAGGAACTGTCAAAGCTTCAAAAAGATTCTTGGTCCACATACTCGCAAGATTTGTCCTAGTTGCTAAGTGCCTAGTACATTGCCTGTGACGAGGGCTTGCGTTTGGTTGAAGCGTGATTGGAAATAGCACATACCTAATGAAGACCTCGAGCACATTGCCTCATTCCCTATGCACTAGATACTCGACTAGTCTAGGCGTACCTGCCTCGGTGATAAACTCGTCTTTGTAGGGTTGTGGAAATGACCCTTTGTCCATTGTGGTACTGAAAAATTAATTTCTTTTCTATTACTTTTGGTACATTCTTATTACTCCTCAGCAGGCCCAGCCTCTTCCATCATTTGGTCTTCGGGCACCTGCTCCTCACCCCTTTCTTCTTCCCGTTCCGTGGCCTGCTTTCTTAAAGGTTCGGTGTTATACAAAAGACTCCTCACGATTTTCTCATCGACATTAAGTTCGGCGTTTTCGATATCGTCGTCATTCACCGAAGCTATTGTGCTTGTGGCGAGCTTCTCATCAGTCATGGTAAGTGAGTAGACAGCCAGGCTTCTTGCTTGCGTAGGATCACTGGGGTCCAGAGCAGCGACGATCTTGGGTGCTTCATCGCCGTTGGCGGGCTTGATAGAGAGGCTGAGGGGCTTGCCGGGAAGCTGGATAATAGCTGGGTGATTAAGGGCGTGATTTTTGGTGAGTTGCCATGAAAAGATGGCCGAAATGCTAATCAATGTGAGTTGCGTCATAGGTCATCAATGGATAATACACTTACTCCTGACATATGGCGAGAATATAAACAAGATCCGAGCCACCATGTGGATATACCAGGCTGTAAAGCCCAGACACAGCTACCTTTGTAATCTCGGGCAATATCTTTTGAGCTAAAGACAAGATGCTGATTTTGGAGAGGAGCTTGTTTGATTTCCAATCCCAGACGAACAAGTCCTCATCACCACCGCCCGACACAAGAACATCGCCACGCGAGGCTGGAATGACCATGGAGCTGATGAACTCTGTGTGACCAAAGCAGAAACCCTCGATGACATACGACTGAGGAATGTATCTTGACACCCGAATATGTTCATCACGGTCGGCAGTAAGAATGTATCGCCGACCCTCACTCTCACCGATCGCGAGTGCAGTAAGCATAGAAACATGGCCAAGCAGTAGAGTGATCTCAAAGTCTGGACCTTCGGCTTTGGAATTGCTGTCGTTTTTGGTCCGCGTAGAAAGCTCCATCTGCCTTTGCTGCTCTTGAAGAGCTCGCAGGTTGCGCTTCGAGTGAACGGTTGTAGTATTGGCAGATGGTTTATAAGCCGGTTTGGCGGGGGCAGGGGTTGAAGCAATCTGGAGAGTAGGATCGTAGAGGAGAGGTAGAGAGTAAACATCTCCAAATTTATCAGCGACAACAATCTGAGAGTCTGGTCCAATAACCACATCACTGGGGCGTTTGGGAAGAGTTCTGGCCCAGAATTAGCATAAGGGCTGATGAGTTGTTTTTTCATATGAGCTTACCGTTTGCTGATTTGGTTGAGGGAGGCTTTCCCATCATTCTCAAAGACCCAGATGGCCTTGTCATGCCCAGTGATAGCCAAGATATGGGAGCTATCAGGAGTACTTGTCAGATGCGTAATGACTGGGCGATCGGGTACTCGTGAGATGTTGTGATCCTTTGCTCGTTGCTGATTTTGTCTGTTCTTGCTCTTCTTTCCACCCTTCTTTTTGCCCTCGCTTTTCATTTCCTCAGAGATTTGAGTATCCTCTTGGACCTCTGGCTTGGTAGGAGCTGTCTCATCTTTTGGCTCTTCAGTTCTTTGTCTCTTAGCTGGGGGACCATTCCCATCTTCTTCCTCGGCGATATGAGTCTTTGTCACGGGATTCCCAGTTAAGATGTCACCTGAAATAGCCTTAACTGCCGCGTCTACTTTGTCAACATCTGGATGTTTCCATGTTGAGAGGTGAGATCCATCCTCAAGGCTAAAGGAATGAATCTTGCCTCCTCGAGCAGCAAAGAGAACATTTCCACTGACGTGGACAACGTTGAAGGGAAATTTCATGACGTCTGAGCCCCTGTGAGTTTGATTGAGGATTAGATATCAAATTGATGAGATTTGATACTAGAGCAATTGCTCGGTGATAGCTCAAATCAGACTCTTCTAAGTTCCACTTTCATGGATGTGATAGAAAAGATACATTGAGAATGTACCTTCATCTAGGATTGCTTGGTACCCCACCTTGCACCCAAAGAAGACTAGCCCCTCCATGCCCTAAGCGAATTGGCTTGCAAGCACACATTACATTTTCTGAAAGCTGCCGCCAAAAGAGTTTTCTTGTCTTCATCAACATCTTCATCAACCTCCAATTTCCATTTTACGATACCCCTTGCCCTTAAATAACCTGCCTTCAGAAAAATAAGAAGATATGGGGGGCAAGTCTGAGAACAAGGCCAACTATTTCGACAAGCTCAAGGGCTTGCTCGAGGCCTACAACTCCATCTTCATCGTTGAGGTTGACAATGTCAGCTCCCAGCAGATGCACGAGATCCGACAGGCTCTCCGAAGCAAGGGTGTTGTCCTCATGGGCAAGAACACCATGGTGCGTCCCTTTCTTCGAGGAAGAAGACACCCTCCGATTGCTAACGATGTCACCAGGTTCGCCGAGCCTTGAAGACCTTCATCCCCGACTCCCCCGAGTACGAGCGTCTCCTCCCCCACGTCAAGGGCAACGTTGGTTTCGTCTTCACCAACGACGACCTTAAGGAGGTCCGTGACATCATCCTCGCCAACAAGGTCGCTGCTCCTGCTCGTGCCGGTGCTCTCGCCCCTGCCGATGTCTGGGTTCCTGCTGGAAACACTGGTATGGAGCCTGGAAAGACCTCTTTCTTCCAGGCCCTCGGTGTCCCCACCAAGATTGCCCGTGGTACCATTGAAATCACCACTGATCTCAAGCTCGTTGAGGCCGGCTCCAAGGTCGGTCCCTCCGAGGCCACCCTGCTCAACATGCTTAACATCTCTCCCTTCACCTACGGTATGGGTATCTCTCAGGTCTACGACCAGGGCCAGTCTTTCCCTCCCAGCGTTCTCGACGTCGGTGAGGAGCAGCTCCTCAAGACTCTGTCTCAGGCTATTGCCACCATTGCCACCATCTCTCTGGCTCTGAACTTCCCTACCCTGCCTTCGGTTCTCCACTCCGTTGTCAACAGCTACAAGAAGGTTCTTGCTGTTGCCATCTCCACCGAGATCACCTGGCCCGAGATTGAGGAGCTCAAGGACCGCATTGCCAACCCCGATGCTTACGCTTCCGCCGCTCCTGCCGCTGCCGCTTCTGGTGGCGCTGCCGCCCCTGCTGAGGCTGAGAAGAAGGATGAGTCCGAGGAGGAGGACGAGGACGAGGAGGGCTTCGGCGGTCTCTTGTATGTGAACCCCTTCCAATGTATTGTGAACATAGCTAACGAATTTGCAGCGACTAAATGTAGTCACATCAACAGGATGTACGACCGCCTTCCAGGACTTTGGTTGGGTTTACGACTTATGTATCTTAAAAAAGGGGCACATAGATCGTCTGCTGGACAATTGAATCTGTCGCGACGGTTACGAATCAAATTCCAGGCCTCAACATGCGAGTGAAAGCTTTTACCAAACCGACTAATGCAGCTCTGCTGATTGAGTGCGATATTCAAAAAGGTTAGTCAGACAAACACCAAACTTTCTTTTTTCCTCTTTACATTTCCGGATGATTATATAAATTGTTCAAGAGCTTTTTAACCCTGAATCTCCTGATGACACACACATCACCACCCTATGACGGACACGTATCACAATCATTTTATTTTGACAAGTTGTTTTTTGAGAGTATCAAAGCTAATGGTCAAATCATACAGGTCTCCACGCCCTCGATTGTTCTCAAGCTTCCATGGTGTGATGTCCGTGCATGTTTCTTAAATGAATCCAATAGCCTAGCTAAACTGTAGGATATGAGAAGAATGGTAATACCTAACCATGTGTACCAGGAAAAAACTTGGACTCCTAGTTAATCTTCCTATAGCCTAATATTATATTATAATTGGAAGTTTAGAACTCCTATTACATTATCCAGGCACGGATTAGAGTTTGACGATAGACCAATATCGATCAATACTATCCATTGCATTCTCACGCCTTGTAATTTGTCTTACTTTTCGTTATCTCATAAATTGATGAGCTTTGGATGCGATTGGCTTGCAAGAAGATATCATGAAGTCTTTAAATCTTTGTTATTGGCCCTGCCTGCCGCCCCTCACTGCGAGAGGCGCGACTTCACCATCAATACCTACCAAAAGTCACCTATATGAAGTTATCTTGTTTCAAGGCACGTTTCGCTACCTCAATGGCTCGATCCGGTAGCCCAGCAAGCCTTGCAACTTTCAGTGCGTGGCTTTGTCGGTTAATACCTCTCTGAAGTTTGTGATTGTAGAAGAAACCTCCCTCACCATCCTCGACTACATTGGTGCAATATGTCTGAACAACACCTGCCTCAGCTGGACACAACCCCTCTTCTTGAGCCAAGTCGGCTACAGAGTGGAAGTGTGTCGCAAAAAGGGTGCGGCATTGGTTGACGGTCGCGAGGTGATGCAGGCATGCAAAGGCGACAGCTGTACCGTCCTCTGGCGTGGTACCTCGACCGATCTCATCCATGATGACGAAAGACCGCGGTGTTGCCTGCTTGAGGATAGCTGCTGTTTCCAGCATCTCAACCATGAATGTGCTTTGATCGCGGTAGAGGTTGTCAGCTGAGCCCACTCGGCTAAAGATAGCATCCACAATCCCTAGTTCTGCGTATGATGCAGGCACGTAGCAACCGATCTGGGCCAAGATCGTGATGAGAGCATTCTGGCGTAGAAACGTACTTTTACCGGCCATGTTGGGACCTGTGATCAACCAGATCCGGCCGTCAGTTGGTGATCCAACCAGACAGTCGTTCCTCACAAAACTTCGACCCTGCTCAAATAGGCCGCCCTCAACAGTGGGATGTCTGCCGCCTATGATGGTATGACTAGTCGTATTGTTCAGCACGGGCCGGACGAGGTTCTGCTCGCGAGCCAACTTAGCGAAGGAGGTTGTGATGTCAAGTTCATCGAGGACGGCGGCATTACGGCGCAGCTTGACAAGATTTTTGACGACAAGCTCTCGAAGGGAGTAGAACACGGCTTGTTCTTCAGCACGAATCTGGGCGCGAACTTGGTCCATACGCTGCCCGAGAAGTGTCCATTCGGATATGTGAAAAGATCGCGTAGAACGGCTCGAGGACAGAGCTTGTACATCAGCGAGATTTCGAGCGTCTTTGCCCTTGATATGGGCAATGTGGCCAAGGCCAGGTGTCCACTTAAGGGATAAACTTGGAGCATTGAGGCTTTCGCGGAGGGTCTCGTTGAGTGTCGCTTTCTCTCCTGTCAAAGTCGCGAGATCAGTGTGAAGCTTTGTCAAGTTTGGGCTCGCAGCAGGTCTCATGATCCAAGCTCCATTCTCTTCGGCGTAATAATCCCGAATACTGACGGGCCGTTTTCGCTTGCCCTTAGGAAGAGATGCCGCATCGTCCTGTGAACCTTCGTTGCTAACGACATTTTCAGCAAGGGCTAACATCTGGCTGGCCTCGGAGTCTTGGACCTCATGCTGTAACTCGATACCTTCTTCATCAATTGCATCTCTGATGCGCTGGGAAAGTTTCAGGGGCTGCGTGAGACTGATTCGAGATATCAATGAAGTTAGGCAGTGGTGCTCTGACTTGCGAGATGCAGCGTTCGCCCTTTTCAAGAGATTCACGATATCCTTGGTCGCATCGATAGTACTGGCCAAATCGAGGAGGTTATCAGCATCGCCACGGCCAAGTGTGAACTTCTGAACGAGGCGCTGAGAGTCGTGACTCCTACGCAACAAGAGGATTACGGAGTCACTCAGGTTTACATCGTCGATAAAGCGGGTGACGAGATCCTGTCTACTAGTGATGAGCTCAAGAGACGTGGACGGTGCACTCAACCACTCGTTGAGAAGTCGAGCACCGCTTTTAGTAACAGTGCGACGAATGGCATGCAGCAAACTACCCCGGAACACACCATCACGAATGGTTTGCTTGATCTCAAGAGCACGCATGCTATTTTTATCGACAGCCATGACCTGCATGTCTTTGTTCCTTAGCGGAGGTTGCAACTTCATACTCATGCCTTGCAGCCGATCCTTGACATAACCAAGAAGGAAGCCGGCAGCGTGTACCTCAGCTGGCGAGAAGGCGGATGCTTCATGTTCAGCTAGGGCACACTCCAGCATGGGCGTCCAGTTTTCCGGATGAAACAGCGAAGAATCATGCGGGCGGGGTGCGTATGAGATGATGTGACGATCCTCAGCGAGGAGGTCAGATAGGCCATTGTCAGGGCAGGACTGCAGTGCCTGGTCTAGGAGAAGCTCGCGCGGGCATAGTCGGGACAAGATCGTCGGTAAGGATGCAAGATTGGCTTCTTGGGTGCAGAAGTAACCAGTTGAGAGATCAAGCCATGCCAGGCCGAGTGGCACGGCGTCTCGGAACCCCTGAGACTGTCCAGCACCTCGGCCAACGCCAACAGCTGATGGTGCTGGGTGGGCTGATTCGGGTCCTTGGCCCCCTAGTCCTCCTTCTGAACCTGCCACTCGGCCGATAACGGCCTTTACATTAGTGATGGTATTTGTGGCTTTGGTGCCTGGGTCTATATGAATCGCCATCACGTAGTTGTTGGCATATGGATCCATAAAATTCTCATCTATTAGAGTTCCGGGAGTAATGATACGAGCAACTCGACGATCATGCATCAACCCACCTGACCTGACCTTCGCTGTGGGAGAGTTTGGATACTCCTCAGCGATCGCGACATGGCGACCGAGATCTTGAACGAGAATTTTGAGGAAACGATCGAGCTGGAAGAAGGGGAAACCTGCCTATAAGACGGGTGATGATGGTGAGATATTGAACCAGAAGATGAAAAGATAGCGTCAAGGTAGAGGGTATTAATAAACATACCATGGGGACATGACCAGCATTTGTCTTTTTGTTAGCTACCTTGATGTTTAACAGGGGCCCGTACTCCTCAGCGTGCTCAAAGTAGAGCTCATAGAAACCGCCCACTCGCGTCAGCAACACACAGTTATCAAACTTGAGCATGTTCTGGCGGGCTTGAAGCAGCACGGTGGGATACGCGGGAGGATCTTGGGGTAATGGCGGCAGCGGGAGCGGCAAAGCCTCTGTCGACTCATCGTGGGGAGATGAAACTGACGATGACGTTGGTAGAGGAGATACTGGCTTCGGTTGAATAAGCCCCTGAGGCAAATCGGAGAGCTTTATGGTGGTGGTGGTCTTTTTACCCCTGGCTTGGAGAGGACGATGGGGAGATGGTGGATGTTGGAATGAGCGGATAGAGAAGCCATGGTATAGTGAGTGCTCAATATGACAGTGTCCATGAGAAATGGCAGAAGCTTTAGGTGAAGGAGCTCCTACTATTGCTGCAGCATTAGAAACAACAAATGTGGCCGCCTTGAGCACGGAGCTAGAAGCTGAAGCTGAAGAAGAGGCAGGCACAGAGATAGACCTGGAAGTTGAAGTTGAAGCTGATGGTGATGCCAAGGGCCGCAGATGGCGGATGCCGAACACTGGGGGCACCATACGGCTGGAACATGGAGACGGGATGGGCTGTTGCAGTGGCGGTGGTGTTTATGCAACGAATGGATGTTTGAAGTATCCAGCAAGCAAGGCTTCAGGCCAATTCCTGATTTGAGAACAGCTCAAGAGGGGTCGTTCATCAACCAACACTCCAGCTTTAATTAACTAATGCTTGCTGCGGGGCCCGAGGCTGTCGACAATAGAAGCAAGATCTGGCGTGCAAAATGGTGGCTCTGAACAAGGAATGGTATGGTGATTAATGGAAGGATCATGCAGAACTCATATGATGACAGGAGAAAGAGAAGAGCATTCCCATACAACCCCGCTGGTGCGAGATGCTCGAAACTAAGGTAGGTAAGGTGTAATAGCGAGGAAAACAGCAGCATGGGCCATCAAAAAGTGGCTCCGAGTATCGTAAATCAATTTATGGAACCAATGCGATTTGCTAATAGGGCACAAGAATAGAACACAATCGGTGAGTTACAGCTTGCGCTGGGTAGACAGCAGCTTCAAATTCTCTGTAGTTTCTGGTTGTTCCATGTGGGGAACAGCGGATATGAGCGTTATGGGATATATCGGTGAAGAAGAAAAAGGAAAAGAAGATCCCTACCTAGGTAGGTAAATCAAAATCGATCGCACCGAGCCCAGGAGTGGGAGTCAGTGTAACAGCTTCATCTGAGAGACCAAATCTGCATCGACGAGCATAGAAACACCACTGCGGACTGTCATAACTATCACCTTGTTTAATGGGACACAATTGTCAACAATTTTTATTACTAGGGTCGGCAACCACAAAATCTCCTCATCTTCAGGTAACGAATGAGGAAAAGAACGTTCGGTAATAGTAGAACCCCCCCGACTTATAATTCCGATCCTGATGGATGATCCAGGGACTTTATGACAAGGTACTCCAGAGATTTTACGGAGATGGACAGCGCCAGAGCCCACAAGCGAACAGCACATGTAGCCATGAAACGGAAGGAATCTGACCATGGAGGCGTTGACCAACGAGAGGGACCCGGGTCTTCGCGAACAACGTGTGAGTAAACAGTCGAGAGTCATCGCCCTCGAACGACGGTAGCTAATGCATGGCGATTCGCGGCTTTTCCGAGATCTACAGGGTCTGGTTCCCTCTAAAGCAATCGATCATGCCTGGAGACAGACCTGCCGGTATGCAGGAAATAGAGTTCCCGTCTGGAGTTTGATGTGGGAAGTGGAAGGACATGTGGTGCCATAAATCAATGCAACATCAAGAGATTTCGTTACCCCATTCCTGGGTGATATCTCGAGATTAATTACCTAGAACTTCCATCGAAAGAGCGAAATCCTCGGCAGGCAGAAATTATACAGTGCGGAATGGTTTCGGGCACGAGGTAGGTATGTGACAGACCGGTGGGACTTGGACTTATCAACTACTCCATGGGTCGTAAAATCGTGGTCCCATGTTAGCGTCATCATCATCCCTCAACACCAGATGGCCCTGCAAATCTGCCCAAGCTGCTGGAGCTGGAGCTCAACCCCTCCAACCCAAGCCCCAACTCACGATATATGTGTCTCAATCTAACCAATGCGCACACGGCATGCTGCTGGGCGGTAAAGCGACTCTCCTCCTCTTTTGGACAAGGGAAGGGGGAAAGTAGATGACGGAATCTCTCCAACGTAGCAGTCGGCAAGCTCGCATGCCATGGGGATCCATCCATCTCCGAATGAATTGCTGTACTGAACAGGTAAGGCAAGCATCTCAGCGAACCAAGAAAAGAGGTCCGAAAACCAGCTTTGTCACAACAGGACAGCACCACTTCCGGTTTAAGCAATCATATCAGATGGGGTCTATGAAATATGGCATGGGGTTGAGCAGGAAAGAAACGACGGGAGATGAAAACAACACCATCGCTGCGAGAAGCATCACAGCATAGCTCTGAACAGCACATAGTAACAACATGCTATATCTCCAAGACAACACATGAGAGGCTCAGAGTCAGCATCAGATTGAGCGGCCGTCTCCATGAGAGCCAGGGAACCCCCTTGATAGCCTCCAAGCGGTCATCTGGGTCGTGGCATTGAACTGTGCCGTGCAAGGCTCAACTGTGAGCCATGCAGAAGAGACAGACACTGGAATTCAGACACAGCTCGCTGGATGGATGCACTGTATTTCTCATGCCATCCATAGAAAGACAGCTCCAGGTTTGACATGACCAGAATCAACACAGACGGAGCTGTCACCCAACCATTCAAAGCGACAGCTTCGACTTTTGGGGCGATAGATGTGCTGCTAGAAATTCAATGGCATAAGCATATCTTCCCGCGGGGTCGGCGTGGGCCGATTCTCGAGAGAGCCTCAGCCCATTTTGGGTCCGCTGCCACACGACGTCGCCGCACCCCCCTGCCCGAAAGCGCCAAACCCTCGACCACATCTGTCGATTGTGACCTAGCTATATATCCCCTTTGTGCGCGTTCGCTGGCCAAACACAACGCCCTACGTTTACGCATCGTTATTGTGCTCATTCACTTATATACAGAGATAGAACTCAGCTATCGACTCTGTGTCTTGCTCAACTGATCTGATACAATTCCCCACATTGCCACTTACACGCCCTTGATCCTCAACATCAACGGCCACCCTGACAGCAACCGCACGATAAAACTCTTCAAATAACGCGATATAAACATTCAAATCAGCTCGAAAGATAAAAGAGGAACACAACCCCTGTATAATCGAATATCCCACTCCCCAGCGCCATTTAATCCCGGCACACAGTCCCTTACCTGGAACAGTGCGCCTGGACAACCCGGATCACCATTCAGCATATATATATACTCCAAACCTCACTCAGAGAAGAACGCCTTATGGCGGCTATGATGTCGTCTGTCAACCCCTTTACACCGGTGACCCCCCCACCGGAGAGCCACTCCTTTCCTAAACTTCCTGCCCAAAGGCCTTTACAGAACAACCTAAAACGAAAGGCCTCGATGCAAGAACCCTTCAGCGGCCTGGCAGGCCTCAACACTCCCACGATGATGGCTCCTCCTCCTCCTCCGACTTCACAACCTAGGATGTCCTCGTCGCCAAACCGCAGTTCTGGGCCTAGCTCCAGCAACACTCCTCAGCCCAGCGAGTCAACAACCCCCGAACTTCCCAGTATCGCCGGTGCCAATCTCGACCCAAAGTACCTCGCCATGGTTTCTCGTATCGCTGCTTATTATCAGCAGAGGTGCCAGGCTGTTGCCAACTACCAACAGCAACGATGCCAGGCTTGGGCCAACATGCACAGACAAAAGTGTCAAGATATGATGCAGGCGTCTATGTTGGTTGTGGCTTGGTACGTGAGAGATCGAATCCAGCGCAGGCGAAGAAGGGAGAAGCGCCATTTCAGATCCGGCTTGAGACGCAGGACAGACCAGAATAAAATCGCACGGACTGAGGTCGTTCGTCGCTGGGTCAAGCAGATCCCCGAGGGACCCGAGTCACCCAACGAGCCCATCAACGTTCAGCTTGCCGACCGTGAAGAGGCCGAGTTCTCCATGGATCGTGAGACACAGCCGGACAAGGACACCAAGCTATTCGAGATGGCCGACAATCTTATCAAGAGCCAGTACAAGAAGATTGAAGTTCCTATAATGGGTGTACTCAACTTTGACGAAAGCGACAACGACAGCGAGAGTGATCTGGATGAGCCAGAGCCAGAGCAGTACGACGAGATGGACGAAGCCGAAGACTTGGCTGAAGACGACGAATACTACGAAGTGGAAGATGATGAGCTGTACGACGATGAGGACGAAATCGAATACACAGGAGACGGTGCTTCAGAGGTTGTTCACCATGGCACAGGTACTGGCTCAGGCAGCCGGAACAATAACTTGAGTGAAACCTCATAAGAATTATTTCCCCACCCTCGACATCTCAACAATCAACCCTCTTCCGAGGGGCGGGGCGAGGAACCTCTCTAATGACGACAAGGAAGCATCTACATCCCGGCGACATAACACAACTCCAACAATTATGGGCACATTTGTACATTGGTTTCTTTTTCAGGGAACGGCGCAATAACACGGCGGGTGATGGTCCACAACGAACTTACACACTGGAGTCAAGAGCATCTCCATTTTTATATCTGTTTCTCATGGCATACATACATCGATGATACCTTTTTCTAGCATGGCATATTTGGGTTTATTGTTGGTTTTTACTAGGACATCAATGTAGGTCTACCTGGTAGTGGATCTGGTAGGCAGTCGTACGCGATTTGAGCGTATATATACAATCGACATAAATGAAGATATTTCCATCTGGACATCCGTTTCCCAATTCTGTGGCTGCGGAGACAAAACACAGTTCAGGAATGCTACTAATTTGGAAAGAAACCGAGCACTGACACCTCGTAATACCGTGGGAGTGGTCGAACTGCCGCATTCTACTACGCAGTACTGCACTTCATTGATCAGCGATGAGACAAGAGGGGAAACGCCAAAAAGAGCGGGAAATGGCATGGTAAAAATCGATTATCGTAGCATTAAATCGCTTGGGCTGGGTCGGGCAGTGCGTACTGTACGGAGCACTCGGCAGTAAAACAGCTCATGAAGGGTGAGGAATCGTTCGATATTTCCTCGTTTTAGGGCAACCTATTCTGCAGGCTGGTCTGGGCTTCAAGGTGCTGAGTAAACCGGTGAGGGAGGAGGTGACAATGTCAGATAAGCCAACTACTTAGTTAGGCACCTTACCGAGCACCTCGTGAATTGATGATGTTTGGTCTTCTTTTCCGAGATTGAGTGAATGAGTGAATGAGTGAGTGAGTGAGTGAGGAGTGAGAGACTCCCAGATTCGTTTATATGCAGTCCAAGGTATGATCTCCAGCCTTAGTAAGCTTAGGTAGAGTCTTAAATCCTCGCAATATTCATCACGGCTACCTAGCTTCGCTCTACTATAAGCCTTATACCATCATATAGAAAAGTCATACTATATCAAGCCTTGATCTTTATAGAGGCATAAAAAGGCATTGCGGAGTTTCTTTCATCTAGTACAGGTCATTTGCTAGATCCGAATCAGTCAGCTAAGTCACCTAGCCCACGACAGCTGGCTTATGTGCTGGCTGTGATGAATATTGCAATAGATTATGGTAACTTTGTAATGACACTTTTATAAACCACCATTATAAAATCTCACTTTTTTCCACGTATTCAACGAACAGCCTTAGCACTACCTACCGAAGCTACTAAAGCATTTCCGGTTTACTGCTCTCACTTTTTTGCCTCGATATGAGTGAGATTTGCTGCGCCTTGGTGACTTGATGCGTCCATTTACAATGCTCGGAAGATCTGACTGAAAGAGAAGGTCGCTTCATGCTTGTGAAAGCGACTTGCCATGATACTGTGTAGGTAGCTGTTGTACGGATACTTCAATTTCCAATCAAGATCGTGGCTGCCGAAAGGTCGAATTACAGATTAAATAAGGTAAGGTACCCACTAGAAAGTGCAAATACATATTGTGCTTCGTCACCCAAGACTTATTGCAACTCTGATCTATCAACCCGTGACGCTTTTCGCATTCTACCTAGTACTTATCCTCATCACTAAATCTTTCTCCTATCATTACTCTTCGCCAAGGCACGGCAACTGTCCAGTCGGAAATTCCTTGAATGTGCCGACTTCTACAATATTGCGACTGGTTCCTAATCGAGTATCATTCATTGATCAAGAATCTTATATCAACGCGATGAGGTACGTGCTTTATGCTGCATCAAATTGAAGCATCGGATCCATCTCCCCGCACCACCAGTTCCCCAAATTCCGATCAGTGAATCACCTGGACCCATTCCCAAACTCTGCTTGGCTTAGAGTGTTGTTCGTTCCGAGTCTAGTGTGTCCTCTCCCCCGGTTGCTGTGCCGCAAGCGCTTCAACCCCTGTCAAGGTACTCGACGGGAATGGATGGGCACCTTGTAGTGGGCATCCCCCGCTTCCATTTCTGCTTGGCGTTCGTGCATATCGAAAAAATACATCAACATTATTCTGCGGATCGATAGGCGGCGGTATGCAGAGACCTTTTTGTCAATACATCGCTCGGCAGCTGTGTTCGCCTCCGTGAAGCTCAATGGAGCTCACTTGACCTAACACAGAGCTTAACATAAAGCTTCCCACGTTTCACTGACATACGTACAACACTTCTCTCTGAACATACGCGGATTAGTTATCTTACTTTATACAATACCAATTTAACTCTCCTCCCTCCCTTCGTGCTGTGCCCCATCTCGAGATTCTGCTCCTCCTTCCATTCTTCATTCTTCATCCTTCTTTGTTTGACGATACCACCGAAGTGTCAAACACCCGCTCACGATTACTTTATAGTATCAACAACACATTCGACCGCCTTCTCTCAGCCTCGGCAGCCTGTCGTCGTCATTCGCCTTCACCGGAAGATCAACCGCTACACTCATCTTCCGGAAAGCTTCGGCGCCTTTCAAATCGATCTGCTCCTCCTGCTCCTGGGCATCCCGACATTTACACTATGGGTGGTGGCAGCGAAAACAAGGGAGATGACTCCTCGTACCCTCTCTTCGCCGAACGGCCTGTCGGCGTTCCAAAAACAAGCATTCTGAAAGGCCGCATTGAACCGTTCTACAAGTCAGGACAGTACTATAAGGTGAACCTGCAAGCGTATGGCATTTCAACTCACTCACGAGGAATTTTCAAGAACTAACATGCCTCATAGGAACATGTACAACGGCAGGTACTCGGGCAAACCTCATGTTCAACTGTCAGTGTGGGATGCACCAGATCTCTCCAGGCCAACTTTTGAAGAGGCTACAAGCCACGAGTTCAAGGAGACCCATACCGGTACCTCTTTTGGGCCCTCTTGGTCCACTCATTGGTTCAAGGTCGTCCTGCGTATACCGGATGAAACAAAGGACGAAGAGCTCATTGAGCTTCACTGGGATGCCAACAACGAGGGCACCATTTGGACCGAAGATGGTGTTCCCATCCAAGGCCTCACTGGCAGCGGAGAGCGCATCGAGTGGATCATTCCCGACTCATTCCGTGACGGAGAGGAGCACACTATTTATATCGAAATGGCCTGCAACGGCATGTTTGGAAACGCTCCTAACGGCACGACAACTATTGCACCGCCGGATCCCAACAGGCGTTTCAACCTCAGCAAGGCCGACATAGTCGCCATCAATGTGCCAGCTCGCAAACTCCACTTAGATATGTGGGAGATTGGCGATGCTGCTCGAGAACTGCCCGAGAACTCGGCTGAACAGAATCATGCTTTATCTGTTGCCATGAAGATCATCAACACTTTTGAGGTCAACAATCAGGAATCGATCCTTAAATGCCGAGAGATTGCTCGTGAAATTCTTGGCCCTGATGTAGACTCTCACAAGGTGTACGAAGGAGGAAAGGAACCTGTTGTCTTCGGAATCGGTCATTGTCACATCGACAGCTGTTGGTTATGGCCTTGGGCTGAAACAAAGCGCAAGGTTGTTCGATCTTGGATGAACCAATGCGACCTCATGGATCGCTACCCAGAATCCAACTTTGCCTGCTCCCAAGCCCAGCAATACAAATGGCTGAAGACGTACTACCCTGCTGCGTACAAACGTGTCAAGCAGAAGGTAAAGGAGGGTCAATTCCATCCTATTGGTGGCAGCTGGGTCGAGCACGACACGAACTTGCCCAGCGGCGAATCGCTTGTCCGGCAGTTCTTTTACGGCCAGAGGTTCTTCGAGGCTGAGTTTGGTTCTCGATGCCGAACTTTTTGGCTGCCAGACACATTCGGATACTCAAGCCAGCTTCCACAGCTTTGCCGATTAGCTGGTATGGATCGTTTTCTGACCCAGAAACTGAGCTGGAATAACATCAACAACTTCCCTCACACTACCTTCATGTGGGTAAGCCCTGATGGAAGTCAGGTCATCTGCCACATGCCTCCCTCCGAGACATATACAGCAAACGCTGATTTCGGTGATCTCAAGAGGAGCATTGCAAACCACAAAACAATGCGTGTTGACAGTTCGTCTCTACTTGTCTTTGGAAAGGGTGATGGTGGCGGTGGCCCAACTTGGCAACACTTCGAAAAGCTCCGACGATGTGCCGGAATCAGCAACACTATCGGCGGTATCCCAAAGATCAAGATGGGGCTGACAGTTGATGGCTACTTCGACCGTCTCAACCGCAAGGCCAGCGAATTCCCTACATGGTATGGGGAACTGTATTTTGAACTACACAGAGGAACGTATACCACACAAGCCAACAACAAGTATTACAATCGAAAAGCTGAGGTGATGCTGCGAGATATTGAACAATTGGCAACGTTCGCATCAATCAAGAATAAGTCGTACAAGTACCCGACCAAGGATTTGGACGACATGTGGGAGGCTGTTCTCCTGTGCCAGTTCCACGACTGTTTGCCAGGAAGTAGCATTGAAATGTGCTACGATGACTCGGATAAGGTATTTCGTCCCATAGCTGTGGGAGCTTCGCTAACATGACACAGGTCTATGCTGAAGTTTTTGAAACTGGTAAACGTCTCCTGAAGGATTTGTATGAATCGCTCAACGTCTCTAGCGAATTTTCAACCTGCCTCAACGAGTCTGTTGCCATCAACACTCTGCCATGGCATCGTAAGGAGCTTGTTGAACTTTCTGAGACTGAAGTTGGTGTTGCTTGTGGCGATGGCCAGCTGCTCAATCTCCGCACGTTTAAAACACAAGAAGAAAAGCCTGCGGTTACCGTCATGGAGCAGTCTACTGATGTTTATGTCCTGCAGAACGAGCAACTCCGCGTTGTCGTCGAAAGCGGTGTCATTACATCCCTGTACGATGTGGTCAACGATCGCGAGGTTATTGAAAAGGGTGGAGAGGCCAACAAATTTGTCATCTTCGATGACATTCCTCTTTACTGGCAAGCATGGGATGTAGAGGTTTACCATCTCGACGCACGCAGAAAGGTCGAATATGGAAAGACAAAGATTTTCGAACAAAAGCCTCATCGAGTTACCCTGGTCACTGATGTCAAGATCAGCGAGAACAGTTACATCAAGTCATACACCACCCTCTCTGCAGCACTCAAAGGGCAACCTTCTCGGGTTGATGTCAGAGCAGACGTCAACTGGCACGAGGACTCCAAGTTCCTCAAGGTCGAGTTCCCCGTCAACGTAGTCAACACCGAGGCCTCCTACGAGACCGCTTTCAGCATCACCAAGCGACCAACTCATTACAACACAAGTTGGGACATGGCCAAGTTTGAGGTGTGCTGCCACAAGTTTGCCGACCTCTCAGAGAACAACTATGGCGTTTCTATTCTCAACGACAGCAAGTATGGTTTTGCGACTGCAGGCAAGACGATGCGACTGTCACTCCTACGGGCACCCAAGGCGCCTGATGCCAACGCCGATATGGGACGCCATTCCATCCGATGGGCCATTCTACCTCACAAGGGCAGTCTATCGTCTACCACTGTTAAGGCTGCTTATGCTTTCAACAATCCCCTGAAGCCCGTTACTGCTTCAAAGGCCGTCCTAGAAAGTGTGTCCGGTGCGCCAATCAAGCTTGTTAATATTGATGAGTCTGACTCTCTTGTACTGGACACGATCAAGCGAGGCCAGGATGATGAAGATGTCAGCCGAGATGATGGCCTGCGCATCAACAAGGGCCAGAGCATTATTCTTCGTGTGTATGAGTCCTTGGGAGGCCGCAGTCGTGGAGTTATTGAAACTAGTTTCGATGTCAAGCGTGTGACCAAAACGAACATCCTAGAGGATGAACTGGAGGAGATCCAGAAGGAAGACGGAAAGATCCCGATCACACTGCGACCGTTTGAGGTAGCAACTTTCAAGCTCGAGCTGTAGGACGATTCGGAGTGGGAAGATTGTGTCTGCTCAGGCTCAGAGGTGCGCGTGTATGTGATTTGACGTAAAGGTCTGACCCATCGGCTCTTCCCCGCATACGTGGGCTACTACTAAGGTTACTACTACTAAGATTGCAACGCTTGATTTTGTTAGCAGGACATGCAGATAAGCAGCAGCTCTCAAGACGGCACGTAAATAGGGAGTGGCCGGTAGGGACGGCTAGCAGACAAGAACTTAGTTAATTACCAGCAAATGGCTCTATCATTCCAAACCCTAAACGCCGTCTCCTTCAAGTGACAAAAAAGAAATGTAACAAAATCAACCGTCGGACCCAGGAGGTCACCCAACCAGCTATATGAGGGCAACAAAGGAGGTAGGTATCTTCATTGGTGTTCAAATTTAATTCGTCGCTCTGCTGCACATTTCAAAAGACGCATCGTGCCGGCATCTAATGGGAGTCATCAGGAAGCTCCTCGATGACTTCCTCAACCATTTCGATTAACTCGTGAATATCCGGTCGCTCAGCGGCTTCAACACGCAGACACTTCCTGACGACTTCGCGAATCGGCTCGCTGATCTCAACCGCAGGTGCTTGTTGTTGCTGTTGTCCTTGCTGCGGGCGCATGCTATTAGAACGCTTGACGCCAGCAGGTCCTTCGTCAGGGAAGCGCCAATCGCCACCGAGAACACACAGGGACAGAGTACCACCGGTCTCGTCTGAGCGCATCTCAAAGGGAGACTTGCCGACAAGGCAGGCGTAGAGAGTGCAGCCCATGGACCAAATATCAACTTTTGTATCAATCACCATGCCAGTCTGAACATCAAAAAGCTCGGGGGCACGATAGGGCATGGTTGAATGTTCAGCGGCCGTGTCTTGAATCTGGAGGGCCAGAGATTGTGACGTAACAGGAATTGGCGAGGGAGCGACAGATCCTAAATCCATGAGGATCGGGGTTGAGCCGGAGTCGTCGATCATTATGTTGCCTGGAAATAGAGATGAGCATGTGATATGAATGAGAATAATACCCTGATGGGCGGCCTTACCTGGTTTGATATCTCTATGGGCGTAGTGCTGAATTGACCTGCCTCCACTGACTTGATTCTCCTCCTCCAGCAGACCCCTTTCTTGCTCGCCCTCCTCTTCTTCCTCCGTTCGCTTTCCTCGTGTGTTGTTTCTCTCACCATGGTTCAGCTCATCCTCTTCCCGACCCATGTGCATGCGCTCCACAGCAGGCTTATAGTCGTGCATGGCACGCAGAGCCTTGCACACTCCGAGGAAGAGCAACATGAGACGACGCTCAGGGAACCGATCATGGTTGACCAAGTTTGCGTTGATCATGTCCTGCAAATTACCGCGCTTATAGTATGGCAGAAGGACATAAACGGTTTTTGTCGCCTCGTCGGCGCCGCGCTCGGTTGCGACGGAATGGTCGACAGCGGATATGATGGTTGGAACGTGAGAAAAGAGGCGATAGGCATCAACCTCACGCATGGCCTGCTGTACCGATTCGGCGCCAAAGGGACATCGGATCTTTTTGAGTGCGAAAAGTTCGTGGGTTGAGGTGTCTTCGACGAGGTATACGTAAGAGAAGCCGCCCTGGCAAATGTCAGCAACATGGAGTGCGAGAGAGCGGTGTTTGGTAGTCTACCTCTCCAAGTAGTCTTAAGATCTTGAAGCTCCGGTTGTTGATCTTGAGGTTGGGGTTTCCGGGAAAGCAGTTGAGACAGTTCCCGAACGAGTAGAAGAGGTCCAGAAGTACTTGCGCCATGATCTATCGTGGGTATGGTAATATACTGACTTAGAACCCTCCTCGATGTGTAATCAATCGCCTCTCAGCTTCGTCGCAGCAGTATGCCAGCAATTAGAGATTCGCTATACAGTCCGAAGGATGAGGAGTTGTGAGCTGTTCAGCAAGATGCTGATCGTCAGGGACAGGTGCTGTTGTGGTTGTTGGCGATGTGTCGTAATTGAACAAAAGGAAGAATTGTTAATCACAGTTTGGTTCGTCTGTCCTCTTGTTTCCATAAAATTACAGCGAGGTTTGATGCCAAGTAGAGAGAACGGCACAGTGCCGAAAAGGGGAGAGGGAAAGTTGAATGTCAAGATGTTGTCTTTGACTGATGTTGGAAGCTGAGCCACATCAGCCATCAATCAGCCTTGAGCACAAGGCAGGTTCCTCTAGCTGGCTACGTACAGAGTACCTAAATTGGAACGTTGTGAGAAGAGGCTAACCCGATCTAGATAAGCTCCAGGCTCATCCGTGGGCCAAGGTGGGCTCGCTTGAGTCCCCGGATACCTTACGTAAGCTCCATACTGGAAGTTCTCAAAGGTGGGTTCTTTGATAGAGTCCTTCTCTACCTATGTTGATTTTCTTTTCCCCAGGAATTTCTTTCGCCGCTCAGGCCGCTCATTTCCTGGCAGGAACCAGGCTCAACCATTTAGATATGAATTGCTCGGACTGGGGTTGCGTTCCTTGGCTGTTATGGATATGCCTTGAAACATAATGCTCCCCTTTCTGAGGCACGCAGTTACAACAAAAGTTAGGGGGATCTATAGGTAGTAAATACTATATATTTGCCTAAAATGATCCTCATTAGCTTGGATCAATCTTCTTAAGATGCAGTTACATAAGGTATCGTCTTTTGACAATTGGCATTATCCTGATTTCGTCTATAATAAACTAAACGCCGAAGTTCGCCGGATGCTTCTAGTGTGATTTTGCAACAATACCTAAAGTACTCGAACAAGACAGCTTTCGCTTGTATCCCGCTAACTTCCCATCCATACATACATACATACATACATACATACATACCCAATCGCGAATCCCGTTCCAGATGGTGGGTTGCAACAAAGCCTTCGATGAGTCAATCAGTCCATCCCACCCAAAATCAACTCCAAAAGCTCACAATCCTCTTGTCCCTTTTGTATATATACTATATAGATGGAAGAATTTCATCCCCATCCAACTCATCTAGACGAGCAAAAGCTCCGTTGCTCGCCCTCTTACACTTTCATTAGTGCCCCCCCTGTGCGCTCAAACGTGGTCCATTCCCAACGGGCAGTTACTCTCCTGTATTCTTCTAATCAAGAAAGGAGATTTCGTAGTGAGGGGCTGGCACTTGCTCCACTCGCCGGGCGACTTGAGGGAGGCTGTGGTCCATTTCGAGGGCCCGGTGGGCTTCCATGAGGAGCAGGATAAGTCGGCCTCTGCTGGTGAAGTTCATGAGAGAATCCATCGTGCCGCGGCGGAGGTGGTGGTGCCCCATTCGTCAGGGTTGGTGGTGGTAAGTGAGACGCAGGAGGAGGGGGCGGAGGAGCGTTGTGTCCGTGGGTTTGATACGGATGAGTATAACGAGGTGGCGGCGCTGGTCCATTCAGTCGTCGAGGTGATGGAGGGAGTCCGTTGGTATAAGGCTGCGACGGGGGGCCACCATGATGATTTGCCGGCGGTGGTGCAGGTGGTGAAGATCCAACTGGAGGCCCTGGTCCTACAACTGGAGGTGGTCGCAACGAAGACAGCGTGGACATCGGCGGTGGATTGTGAATTGGGGGTCCCCCATTGATGTGTCGAGGAGGCGAACCTTGCTGGCTCGCAGGTCGTCCCCAGTCACTGTATGATGGTCGTTGAGGTGGGAGGGGCGCGTATGGAGCAGGGGGAGGAGGCCGGGCGCCCAGGGCATGATCTGCGACGAGTGCAGGTGCTTGCATTGGTGGCGGAGGAACTGTCGGGGCATGAACTGGTGGAGGCCAAGCATAAGCAGCAGAAGGATTGGATTCACGATGGGCAGGCATCATCTGTGGCGGACTGCGCAAAGGATGTGTTGTCGTGCCTGGTATGCCTGCGCCGTGAGCCGAAGGTAATGGAGCGTCTGCCATGAGAGGGGACCGCCGCGGGTGCGGCTTTGCCGTACGCTGGGCCTTGCGACATTTGTGGCATTGGAATCGTCTCTGTTCTACGAATTTCTGTGCCTCGCTCCCGAGTGTGCCGTAATGCCCGTTGGTGAGTTCGCGTTCCTGCGAATTATCGATCGGCCACCACTTCGGGCTGGTGTCAATACCACAGGTGATGCAGACCTTTTCTCCTGGTTGTTTTGAGTCCGATGCCACATCTCCCGTGTCCCCATTTCGCTGCTGGCCCCATCCGCCATTGGGAGTATTTGTTGTCGAGGACCTGCGTAGGCCAGGCTGAGTCGTTGTACCTGACAACTTGGCGGCGTTTGTCATGAGATTGGCCTTGCGAACCGTACCTGTCAGTGCCAGGTCGGCCTGCTTGTAGTTCTGTACATAGAGCTGTAAAGCATTAAGCCCCGATTCATCCGCAATATCTTGCATCTGATGAATCGTCGTCTTCGTGGGGGCGTGATCCTTACACCACACAGTTGCCGACATGATGCCACTCTCCCCATTGATTGCCACGATGCTAAACTGGTCTCTTCGCGAACTCTTCACAGATGTCATTTCAAATCCGAGAACATGTCCATGTTGCCGAGCGCATTCCGCATGGACTTTATTCTAGTTAGCGTGGCCAATCTTTTTCTTTTCTCTCATCGGGACTCACATGGAATGCGACACTGATGGCACGACACACAGGCTCCATCCTGTTTGTTGCACACTTGACAAGTCTCATCGTATCTGCTCCTGGGAATCGAAGGAATACCTTCCGAAGGTTCTAGTGCTTTGGCGTTACCAAACTTGACTTCTGGGGTCCAAATAGCGCAGGTAACATGGACCCAATTGTTGTCCGCGGTCCTCTTGAGTGGTTCCCGGGGGTTGACGGGGCGATTCATCTCTTCCTGCTTCTTGCGGTAAAAGTCCGCAGCTTTCCGAGCTTGCTGAACCTCCAGGCGTTCTCGCTCACGATCCTTCTCCGACATCTTCTTTTTGTGATGTGTTATTTTCGGCTGTTCCACGAAATCATGTTCTGTGTATTCAACGGGACAAAGAACACACTTGTAATGCTAGGTCGATGTTAGCGCAGGCGTATAGATGGGTTTGAGACAACATACGATCGAGACTTGTGGGTTTTTATCGTTTGCACACATATCACAAGTCCATTTCCCGGGGTTTCGATTATCCATGATACCATAGCAATTGCGGTGTACCGTCAGGCGGCATTCGCGGCACGACAAGTGCTGGTCTCCTTGAGGTTCCAGCTGGCCACAGACTGCACAAGGCAGCACAAGAGGTTTGGGGATATCGGGGACTGTAAGGTTTTCCACACTCTTGTCCTTCTTCTTGGAAGTGGTAGAGCCGGCTGCACTAGCAGCATCCGAGTGACCATTATCCACATCTTTGTCAGAAGCTGCACCTTTAAGCTTCTTCCGTGGCGGTTCTTGTACGGTGGCAACGGCTGGGGCCGCTGAAGGGGTTGGTGCCCGTTCCGGTGTCATCATGCCCATTTCCTTCGCGGCTTGCAACTCCTTAAGGAGTTCCTCGTCTTGCTTCCGTTTCCAGGCTCGGCCACCCTGGGTAATCTTCTTGTTAACCTCATCCATATCTTCATATCGAATGGCATATCTGCGCCATAGCTCAGCGCAGCGACGGCATAAAGCTACCACACGCTCTTGGCCCTTTTCCTTATTCGAGTTCTTCGAGCCCCCATCGTTGACGACCCCGGGGACGGGGTTCGGAGCGCGCCTCCATTGTCGCGAGGAAGTCGTGGAGCAAAATTGACACACAAATCCTTGCTTTTTCTGATTTGCTTTCTCGGTATCAAATGCAGAATCATCATCGTTGTCCGCAACATCATCTGCCAGCTTACTGGCAGCAGCTTCTGCTCTCTTGGCCTCCTTCTTTCCCTTTCGACCGGCCTGGTTTTCCAAGACCTGCTTCCCGCGTGCTGACTTCTTCCAGGCGTAGTAGTAACGAGTCACCATGCCATAGTGCATAGTTTTAACGTGCTTTCTCACAAGATAAAGTTCAGAACCGTATTTTATCACGGCTTCCTCAAACTTCTTTTGCTCTGCTGGTGTCAATTCTGGTTCTTTGAATGCCTCCTTCTTGGTCTCGGAAAGATCCTTGAGAGCATGTTCCGTGTCGAATTCTGCACGAAACAATTTATTGGCAGCCACGTCTTGCAGATTGGTCGAACGTTCTGGCAGTCCGAGATCTTTTGTCATCCCCTTGGCCTTTTCCATGTACTCATTCATGTCCTTCTCTTTGATCACTTTCTCTGGGGGAGGTATCCACATGCGAGTTGCAGTACACCTAGGGTCGTCGTCGTCAAAATCTTCGCCCCGAGCTGTGTAGCCGGGAGGCATGTCTTGAACCCACTTCGGACGCTTCCCACGTGAGACTTTATCGGCTTCAATAGCAGCCAATGCTTCCTTGGACTTGGTGTCTTTCTTGCCGTTTTTCTTGATCTCAAGTGGCTTGACGTACTCGACCGGTTTTCCAGGCCACGGTAAAACATTTGCTTGATTTCTGGGTCCAATTCTCGTACTCGCGCGGGGATAAATTCTGTCGTCGTAGTCGAGTGCGTCCTCGGGCTTGCAATGCATTCCCAGGTACCGGTACGGCCAAAGAGAGGCCTGGTAGATTTGCTCGGCAGTGCCCTCATGGTGAGGATGGTCTCCTTCTTCGGGACTGGTTCTATTAGTCTCAAGCCCCTGCATCTCCTCGTCCTCTTCATCCATAGGATCGTCGTCTTCGGCATCGAAGCTTGGATCGTTAACATTAGGTGTATTACGAGCCTCCAGCTTCCTTTCCTGGGCTCGACTGCATGCTGCACATGACCAGGCAAAACCTCTGGATGGCTTTTTCAATAGAGGCGGGTTCACACAATTCATATGGTATGTGTTCTGACATACTGCACAGTCAACCGAGTCGTTGCTGAAGAAAACCAATCATGTCAGCCACTGAAGCATGGGTCTGTCATGATGTGGATGTGGATGTGGATGTGGGGAAGGCAGTGTAAGTGAGTAGGTACGTACCTTGCGCAATAGCCGGCGCATCTCTTGCAGAGCTTAACGGCGCTAGTGAGCTCCTTGCCACGCCCCTGCTCGACTAGCACGTATTTCCAGCGCTCGTCGAGAACCTTTTTTACATTGGCTGGAACGTTGACAATAGAACGCGTCGGAATCAAGTCGTAGTTCTTTTGGATATAGCGATCGTACAGTTTATCGTACCAAAAGCTGTCAGGGTCCTTTCGGTATAATTCCATATTCTTAATCTCAGCTTTGTGGTGAATCTGACATTTTCCGCGTAGCGCCGTCAACGGGCTGATGTCGGAGTGCATCGTCGCAAAAACCATTCGTGTGTCTGTGGACTTTCGGCCAATATCCTTGGGTCGGTAGTACCAGTTGATGCGAACAGCTTCCACGGGTTTGCTGCTGTCATTCTGCACATGAAGGAATTCCATGATGCGGCCCAGGTAATAGGGTTCTCCAGGTGGCTCACAGACAAGGTACACATGATCTGCGTCGCCAGGTTAGCCACGTTTGATCTGAATTTCTAGTGGACCACTTTGGAGGAAGCATGTTACCATTTGACTCCAGCGCTGTACCATCATCGGCCACCATTTTACCATTGACAGGGCGGCTCTTGCAGTTGTCAAAAGTCAGCATGTTGGTTTCTGGCCATGGGATACGCGAAGGTGTTCCGGATGCTGCTGTTTTTTTGGTTGAATTATTGACGGATGACGCTGGGTTAGTGGAACCGGCTGGGTTGCCCACGACCTTGCGCTTCCGTGCGGGCTGTGAAGCAGCCGGCTGCTGCGTTGTCGTGGGCACATTATTTGAACTGCCCGACTGTTGCTCCTTGGGAGCGTTCGCTACCTGCGCTGCCTTTGGCTCGTCTGTGCCAGCCTTGCGCGAGCTTGCACCCCCACGAGGCGCATCGCCATTCACAGCAGCGCTGGACTGACGTGAAGTCTTTTTGGAATCACTGTCCTTTTTGTCGTGATAGTAGTCATAAACATCGCCATCAATGTCCCTGTCCTCGGCGTAGTTAATACGCGATGTGCCAGTTCTGTTACGGGAACGTGTGCCGTATGGAAAGGCTGAATCTGCCCCAGCTTCCTTGGCTGCGCTGTCCAAACTCGATTGAGTGGTCATCGGGTCGGACACAGATTGAGCACCAGGGTCAGAGGTGTTGGAATCCTGAGTGACGGGTTAGAGAATGGGTCCAATCGCGATCGCGACCTCACAGCTTTGTGAGGTGAGTGAGTGAGTGAAAGTGAGAGGCACGAGAGTAAAAGTACAAATATTTAAAAGGATCGTGTGAAAAAGGTGAACGGTAATCAAGGTACGTTAAATTTCCATATCCACTCACATTGTGTTGTGCCATGACATTCAAGAGAGAATCACTTGCGCAACAACGAGATGTGGTGAATCGCGTAAGAAGGCATGCCCAGAGGTGATGGCTTGATGGCGGAAGTTGCGAAGGATGAAGACGGCAGCAGAGATTCGTATAGTTGTCTGATATGGGATAAGAATAGATCGAGAGGCCGCTTAAGTGCTTCACTCCTTTGAAGGGTATAACTTGAGACTCGAAATAGATATCGTCTGCCCTGCAAGTTGGAGTGTGTAAGTTTAAGAAGAAGGAAGAGGCATGATTCCCAGGCGCCGGGAGAAGAAACGTCCTAGCATTGGCACTGCACACTGCACTGGCACCCCGAGGCGGCGGCCCTGGCCTGGTCAATGCACCCACTCTACTAAGAGTACACTGGGGGCGATGATAGGCCGAGCTTGTAGCGGATAAGTAGCCACTAATCAGGTGGCGGCTGATTCGCAGACACTGAAACTCCGGTTCTGCCCCCGGTACGATAAAGATAAACACCACTTCTACATGCCGCACCCTGGTCATCAGTGTTACTCTCTAGTCTCCACGGGGCCCATCGAGGTCTCGCAGCACTGACGAGCCGACGGATCTCAACCCAACTCTGAGGCGTGTCCATGGGTCCACGGGTCCTCCCACAACAGAGAGCAGGCCATGCCGGGGGGAGAACCACTACAAAGCCGGTCACTACAGATTGGCCTTGATTGTGACTGTTGCGGTCGAGGCATCAGACCGGCTTTTGGTGGGAAATCCTAGGGCCTGCCTGCCTGCTAACAAGACCAAGGAAGCTGGGGTTGGCGTTGGCCAGGCTGAACCGATCATTTTGAGGAAATACGAATGTTCATACCAAGTCGATCAGATATACAATGCCGCGGCCTGCATTGTCACTATCCCAAACACTCGCAGATCCATGTAAGCAGCATAGAGAAAAGATAGAGAGGCATGCGCCCGTCAACATGATACATAACTTTCTCGAATCATGGAGTCTAGCTATCCAAGTAGCCTTGATATCACCAGTCCTTGGTTTCCGCCATTCATCCATGTCATTCAATCATACCTGTTGTCAAAGACAAAAAGATGTCCTCTTCCGGTTCCTATCTCTGGCCCTCTCTTTTTCAATTAGACTCGGCAACCTTTTCAATCCTTCTCTGCCATCAACACCATACCAAATTTGCCCAGCCCAGTTCATCATAGTTCAACGTTCATATTGGAAAGCCAACCTGCCCTGGAGACTATCGCCGCAAGTCCCGCCACTCGCCTGGAACTAGAATTACGTTCTGCTGATAAAGGGACCATTTGAGACGATGTTTTAAGAAGACTGTGGTTCTGAGTGAACTTGAACTCAGAGCTTGGAGCATGGGGCGCCAAGTCATCCGCATATTCCGTTGCATCTCCCACACCCTTGCACGCCCTCCCTCGACTCAATCGAACAAATACACAGTAGTTAACAAAGAATTGTCTTCAGGTGTTAACGCTCCGGGCTTCTGTCCGAGAAAAAAAAAATAGTACGATGAGGTTCTCAAGTTAATTCAGTTGGATCATATCCTCTAAAATGTGGCTTTTGTGTCGCTCTCTGAGTATGTACTCTCCCAGATGGCATGCGTCTAGCGTACGTATGGACCATCACCAGTATAGAGTGACATGCACGTTCATTTACCTCCCTCCGCTGAAATTTCTATCGTCGGACATTCTAACAAGCCCCGTCACAGACATAGACTACCCCATCCCGCATCTCTTCTGATGCTTTTGAAAACAGAACAGGGCTTCAACAGCCAATCGACCACAGGTACTCATCTCAGCGTAGCTATGGATACCTTGGCTTGAACAACGGCTAACCATACCAGATGAGGGCGAACCAGCTATCTCCTTCCTCTCCGCCGCCATAGTATCTCGACAGTGATGTCCGGTCTGACGCACCAACACAGCAATTGCCCATCTTATTAGGTAGCCAATGATGGCTAGCATAAAGCTGAAGCTATGCAGAATCTATGCCAACCGGTTCTTAAGTAAAGAGCCCAACTCACTAGGGATTTCTTCCATCGCCAGGCCTGGCTAGACCTAGCCTTAACCGTTACGCGTGAGGGAAAAAATCGAGTGTGTGGTGATGATGTTGAGATCCTCGTGGGAGCTGACGGAAGGGAGTCGGTAATAGGGCTAAGATTGAGCTGGCGTAGTGAAGCCAGCTCCACCAACGTGGCCGGGGCTCTGGTTGGATGGATTGGAGGTTACCCAGGCTTAGAGATGATGCCCTGCAGCGGTACGTACTGCTTGAGTCTTCTACCTTAGGTAGTCCCGTAGCTGGTGTTTTGTCGTCCCCCTTTGAGCAAGCGAGGCCTTGCTCGGTCTGTCTTCTTCAGATTAGGTTGACGACTTGATGATGGGATGGTAGGTTTTGTTCCCTCGGCCTAGGGATGGTACGGGCATCTTCCCACCCGGACCAGGAGCCTTTCTTCGACTTGTTATAGTGCCGGTACAGGCATACCTAGGTTCAAGGTATGCTTGTCTCAACTCCCTCATTACTATAATTTACCAGGTGCCAGCAGCATTAATGGAAATGCCAAGTAGGCCCTGCTACTCTGGACTTTCACTTACTAACTACGTACCTAGCGTGACGAGTTTGGTCCTGATTGCGCATGCCAGCGACTGCTTGTTCCTCCTGACAGGTGGCTCCTTGTTTCATCGAATTGCCACAAATGAGATATACTACTGTGTATGTAGCTGAACGAGGCTCTCGCAAGTCTGTGGAGAATACACTTGAGAAAATGGCGATTTACCTCAGTACAATCATGCCTCTGTGTGGCCCAAGTTCAGTCGCGTTTCGCACAATTTTTTGTTACCTATGAATCACAGCCATGGCAAAATTGAAACGGCAACCATGTCTCGTTGAAGGGCTGGTCTGAATCACATCCCGCAGTAGGCAGTCGACCTGAGGATTAAAAAAGACGTCAAGAGGCAAAGTACAATTCTGTACGTTTAGACCCGTCTCTGCAGTGCAGATTCGGCACAAGAAAGGCAGAGATGACGGTTGATTTAGTGTAGGCAGCCGAGGCCCTGGCTGCAGAGGATAATGCTGCACGGTGTTGTCAAATGGTCGTCGAATCAAGATTCCTTGGATGGATCGAAGAGGCACACCCCCCAAAAAAGACTGCCCCTCAAAGGAAAAAAAAAACGTACCGACCAACTACCTTGTTAAAGGGTCGTGGGGCAATACACGACCCGGCCGCAGGGGAAAGCTCACAACGACACTTGAGACTCAATCCACACGACGCATCGCAATATCGTGATTAACCACGGAGGAACGCTAGCCAAAAATTATAAGAAGTAATTTGGGACCAATCATCCATCTCCGTATATGGGAAATCCTTTTTCTTTGGAAGTATATCGATCTAAGATCTCGTTGGCTGTCAGGGTATACATGCGGTCGGCCCAAGAAGGGAGTAGCGCCATGGATGCAAGGTAGGCAGCGGATGGACTATCTGTATCTGTATGCAGCATGTGCAATCGACCTGAGTCAATTCCCATATAGTTCTACAGAGTTGAGGCAGAAATATCTCAATAAAGAAGAAAAAGGGATGAGAGACCAAGGTCTGACGCTGAGAGGGAAATAACATAAGTGATCAGGACGGCTAAGTTATTGGGTGGAAATAATTTAAAGGCCATGCGACCAGACTCCCAGCAAACAGGGGCACTAGCTGCCTTAGGTAGTAGCTTCCATAGTAGGAAGATTGGTTGGTCGTACGGGATAGGTCAGTTGGTGGATGATGGGATGGGAGGAGGGCAGGAGGCGAGAGGCAGACCCGACAGGGCAGGTTTATGCCACCTGCCGTTGGCGGTCACTGCCCTGAAGAACAGTGCAGGGTTCATCAACTTATTAGCGTCAATCGATCACACCCACCCAATGAGAACCCTCCATCGTGCCGCGGGGCACCACCAAAAGCCCTGCATCGGCTGCTGCCCGCCGTGCCTGACACCCCACGTCTGGTTTGCTATTCGACCACGTGACTTGGCGTTTTAAGGTCTTTTGGGACGCGTTATCTCAACGCGTCTCACATCACATTTCCTGAGGACCTGTCAACAAGGATTGTTGGACTTGGTGGCTCATTTATGTTTCGCTCTCGTTGACATTTCGTCTTGTTTCCTTTGTCTTTTTGGTACCGATCATGAAGAGCATGCGAGGGTTACTACACACAACCAGTGTCGAAACTACAAATGAACAAAAGACTACATTCGCTACCACTTCTGTTGCTGGACACAAAAGAAGTATATCAACCGCTGAAGAACACCACTTCAGGGCTTCTACCTCTCGGGCAACTGTTCAGTTTCAGCGAGCCGTCAGTCTCCCCTCTGCCCCTCCTAGAATTTCTGCGAGTCGCATTGTTCGTCTCGATGAGCGAGTCGGGCCCTCTGAGTATTCTCAGCGGAGGGCTATTGCTGCGACTCCTACATCGTCTTGTGATCCTGAACTCGAATTAAGCCATTCTACATATAGTCTTCCTCAACAGCTGGTTGATAATTTTGCTTCACTTGGCATAAAACAAATATACCCGTGGCAAAAATCTTGCCTCAAAGGCCCTGGGCTTCTGACAGGAGAAAAGAACCTTGTATATTGTGCACCAACTGGCGGTGGCAAATCTCTTGTGGCTGACGGTGAGATGAATAACGGTAGTGCATGGATCTTAGCTAACACTTGTAGTGCTCATGCTGAAAAGAATTCTGGAAGAAAAGGGAACAAAAGCCCTCCTTGTGTTACCATATGTTGCTTTGGTTCAAGAGAAAGTTCGTTGGCTTCGTAGTGTGGTACAAGGCTTACACTTCACCTCTGAAACAACGGTCGATGACGACAAACGCATCTGGCGTAGACGAGCTGATGAAAACACAGTCCGTGTCATTGGTTTCTTTGGGGGTGGAAAAGTTCGAGCAACTTGGGCTGATTTTGATATTGGCGTGTGCACGTTGGAGAAGGTCGGTTTTTAGTACCGCTATCCCACTCTGCTAAGCCAGTAAATTATTGACACTCCAAGGCAAACGCACTCGTGAATACGGCTATTGACGACTGTTCGATCTCCAAGCTCCGCGCGGTCGTGCTTGATGAGTTACACATGGTTGATGATGATCATCGAGGCTATTTGTTAGAACTCGTGGCGACCAAACTGCTCAGCCTGGAGCAGCGTGTACAAATCGTGGGTATGAGTGCCACTCTCCCGGTATGTTAGTCGGCCGACTTCGTAATGCATTTTGAGTCGTCTAATTTGGTAGTAGAACATGGACATGATGGCTCGATGGCTCGAAGGGCATTGTTACGAAACTCGGTATCGACCGGTTCCTATCGAGGAACATCTCGTGTATGACGGCAACATTTATCCCGCAGGTTCTACAAGCAGTCTCATCAAAACAGCTACACAGCTGAACAGTCGGTCTACACAGACACAGGCACAGATGAGACCCATCCGGCGAATCGAACCATCTACCCACAAGGAGCTTCGCGACCCAGTATTAAATGCAGTGGTCACACTTGCTCACGAGACCGCTTTTGCTGGTTTCGGTGCCCTCGTCTTTGCCGGGAGTCGTGGCATGTGCGAGTCTGACGCACGATGGATTAGTCGGGCTATGCCCCAGCCACATGAGCTCAAGGCTGACGTTGTTGACAGGAGGATGGACTTGCTGGGAGAGCTTCGCAGTCTTAACACTGGGGTTGATCCGGTATTGGAAGAGACGATCCTTTATGGCGTTGCATTTCATCGTAAGTGAGACGTCCGTTTTGCAAAATCGAGCATGTGTTCCTAATTGATTTAGATGTAAGTCGCTCTGGCCGACTGAGGCTCACGAACATTTCTGACTATATAGGCTGGCTTGACGACTGAAGAGAGAGATCTCATAGCGGCAGCTTACGATTCTGGAACACTATTAGTGTGCGTCGCGACCTGCAGTCTGGCTGCTGGTATCAACCTGTAAGACTCGCTGTTTCGATTGTTAAACACTTCATTTACTTTTGCAGGCCAGCAAGACGGGTGATTTTACACAACTGTCGAATGGGGCGCGAATTTGTTGGACCATCGATGCTCAGGCAAATGCGAGGGCGAGCTGGAAGACAGGGGAAAGCATCTATCGGTGAAACATATCTCTGCAGCCGCGAAAATGACCTCGAGCAGGTTGTAGAGCTCATGAATGCGGAGCTGCCACCTGTCGCCAGCTGTCTTAACACTGAGAATCGACGTATCCAACGGTGCGTCTGTCCTATAAAAGCATGAATGATCGCCAGCTAATAGATTTCAGTGCACTGCTAGAAGTCATATCCATACGCTTAGCTACGAGTCGTGAGTCCATTATGGACTACTTCTCAAAGTCTCTGTTGAGTCATACTCATAGCGCCAAGTTTGTCAATGATTGTATCACCTCAAGCTTGGAAGAGATAGAATCAATGGGTTTTGTGACCTCCGATTCCTTGTCCATGTTCACGGCGACACAACTAGGTAGGGCAATTGTGGCATCAGCTATCGATCCCGACGATGGTGTATTTGTCCATAACGAACTCGGTCGGGCACTCCAAGCATTTGTCATGGATGGTGAGATGCACGTCCTATACACGTTCACACCAGTCCAAGAATTTGGGGTTATGGTGAACTGGCAGGTCTTTCGGAATGAAATGGAAGGTCTGGACGAGAGTGGTTTACGGGTGCTGAGGCTTCTGGGCATCAAACCTACCACAATACTCAAGCTGTAGGTTGTGTTCACGGTCACGGGGTACTCACTGACAGCCAAATAGTGCTCAAGGTGCCACACTCCGTGAGACTACGCCAGAGGAGAGGCAGGTTGCTCGAGTACATCGACGCTTTTATCTCGCTCTCCAACTGCGGGATCTGTGTAACGAGATTCCTATACACATAGTGGCACGCAAATACGACGTGCCTCGTGGAATGGTTCAGAATCTTTCGCAGACTTGTCAAGGCTTCGCTGCAGGAATGATCAAGTTCTGTGAACAGATGAGCTGGGGGTATGTTCATGTCAACTTTTTCACCACATAGCTAACCGGTATCCAGAGTAATGGCCGCAGCTCTTGAACACTTTTCAGACAGGCTCGTGGCTGGTGCAAGAGCTGACCTATTAGCCTTGGCAAAGATTCCCTTCATCAAGAGCCGAACAGCGTGAGTGCATTGCTCTCAGCAGAAACTAGTGTTGCTTAAATATCATAGGCGAGTATTTTGGGAGAACGGTTTTCGTACCGTGGCAACGATCGCGAATGCAGATCCTACAGAGCTACTTCCTATATTGATGCAGGTTGGTGTTACGATCTGTTATTGAAAATGCACACATGGGTAGTACTGACTTTTGTGCGCAGGCTCAACCAAACAAGATCCGTCTAAAAGGTAAAGACAATGAGAAATACGAAGAGAAACTTCTTGTCAAGGCCAAAGTCATATCGGATGCTGCAAGCAAGATTTGGAGTGAGTTGTCTTGACCTCTGTTTCACCTGACAAGCCTAATATGATTCCCGAAGAACTCCAAATGCAGGCAGAGATGGAGGAGGAGTAGCCTGTGTCCAGAAACTGTGTCGGTGGGCAATAACAGGGCTGGCTCACTGCAGAATCTTGCCGCGGCTTACATTCTGGTGAGTACAGGCCTAGGGCGGCAAAAAAAGTCGGGCTTTGGACGTGAATGCAGGCGCGAGATAGATGGCTGCATGCAGCGTATTGGGTGGGCTAGGATTCCACGCCTGAGGGAGACATGTGCCTCGCGAGTAGGCGTGTGTACTGGCAAAACATTGATCACGAACACCAACTGTAAGGATGGCGAGTTGAATCGCCCTCTAGATTGAGGTCGATTCATGATGCATCTGTCGTTCGCAAACGCGCGTCGATAATATGCGTGGGAGCGGAGGCATCGATCCCAGTAAGAGGTTAGGAATTCGACGAATTTACCCCTGTTTTAATTCAGCCAGCTTGCCGCCGCCTCTCACAAAGAATTGAGAAAATGTTGCGTCAGATGAAATGAATGGGAAGATGTCCCTTGTTCGTGCAGAAGGCGTGACTGATCATTTTCTGGTGGCCTGTTTGTTGAGATATTCAGAAACTCGATGAAGACCTTACCTATCAACGATTGGTCATTTGGTGACCAAGCATTGTCTTACTCCAACCAAGCGCTTGTACCGCTGCACGTCGTCTGCGCCTTGCTTATTCTGCGTCAAAATACAGCCAAAATGGTTGGGTGGCTGTGGCACTCAATTGGTAGCCATCTACCATCCACATGCTTGACATGTTGTTGGCTGTTTCTGGGCTTAGACCGGACGCCAAGATGGTGTGTGTGTGTGTGGTGAATGCCTACCTATGTCTATTTCTAGTACTATTTACTACGGTGTTTCGGGAGATAGAACGTTTCTGAAAGCCTCATTTTACGCTTTTCACGCGCCCTCACGCGATCCTTTGACTAAAGAAATACTGGTCTGAATTGGATCAGTACTTGATAGCTTTGATATGGCGGGTGATGCGGGAAATGCAGAACTTGCAGGCTCAACCGTCACAGTGCACACCTTGGCCGATGCTATGGGCGTTCCTCAGCCCCAGGTTATCGTGATAGACAGAGACTACCAGGAAGAGAAAGAAGAAAATCTCCCTAGCACAACAGAAGACCTCTGGGTCAGTTCAGCAGATGGCCGATATTGTTCTGCCCCTGTACCAATACGAGTTGGTCCTCTGAACAACATGCAAACTTTCTACGTATGTGAAGATACCGATCTATTGAGATGGGGCCAGTTGAACTAACAGGGTTCCAGGTTCACAGAGATATACTTGTCCAGGCAGAGTGGTTTCGAAAGGCCCTATGTGGAAACTTCAGAGAAGCAAGTGAGCAATTCATTGATCTGCCAGAGGAGGATCCGGCTATTTTTCATTTCCTCGTTGCATTTCTATACGAGGGTTGCTTTGAACCTATCAGGCCAGCAGCGAGCGTTTTAGGTGAATCAACTGGCTTACAGCCTGATCCCGACCCACGAGTGCTGATGTGTCAATAGAACCAGAAGTCGATAAGGGGAAGGGTATTGAAGTTGACCCAGAGCCAGCAGAGGCTTCGGACTCAAGCTCGTCAAGTAGCAGTAGCAGTTCTGGGAGCTCGGGTACCTCATGGAGACGCCGGCGTCGGGCTCGACAAACGAGACTTGGTGAGGCGGAAGAAACCCAGGAGAAGCATCCGGGACATCATCGACCGGGTTGCTCGTGTCCTCGATGCCTCGCTCGGCGTGATTTTTCGAGATGCTGGCAATGCGGGGCTCAGCGATCTCGCGAAGGCAATCCTCTTGTGCCTGTGCCTTATGGTCGAGGGGCTCCCAGAAGAGGGATCCATCCTCCAGGTGTTTTCCCTCCTCCTGTCAGCATTCCGATGCCTCCTCAGCAGAGCCAACCGGAGCGTATTACAGGAGAGGATCTTCGGACGTGGTTCCTGGCGTATGAGCTCAACCTCGACGTTTATATTTGCGCGACACGTTATCTTATGGACGACTTTCGAAAGGCAGTGATGCGGTCGTGTGTTGATATGCTCGAGACAGCAGGCTGGGATGCTGCACAACCAAAGATGATGCATCTTTGCAGGAAACTTTATCACAACGTGCCAGAGGTTGATGACTTGCTCAAGATGGTCATGGCACGCGTTGGGTTCCTTCAGCCGCTTCTCTGGAAGCGCGCGCCTGTAGAGACAAGTGAGTTCTTGGTGAGTAACCCAGAGCTCGCTGCTACCATTCTACGAGAGACGGTCATGAGGCATTCGCAGCCGACGGCGGATTTGCCATCGATGGAGCATGTTCATACTACGGCTTATGAAGACGAGTGGCAGAACTTGGGTCGTGCACCTGCACGAACACGAGCCTATCACTAGTCAATGGTTATAATACTCGATGCGGTTTGTGGTCGTTGTTCTTTGCTGTTTTGTCTACAGACTGGAGGCCGGATCGGTACACTATTAATATAGCCACTGGAAGTTTTATTTTCTACTTAAATATAGTAGGTACCAGCTTTCATATCCATCTCATCTTTACTATCTTATGTGCGAGTAAAGTTATTCTTCTTGGTGAATTTAACTTCTGCAGGTATGCCAGTTTTGCAAGACACCCAAATCTAGTCAATAACATCGTCTCTCAGGCTAAACAGTTGCTGCAGAACCTCGTCCGATTTCGCTCTTAATGCCGAGTGGTACATGACATTCGTCTCAAAAGTCTTTGTACCCTTGACAAGCTTGGCTGTGTCTCTGGCAAAGTTATAGTCGACGTACATATCCTCAACGAACGAAGCAGCATATACAGGAACCTTATTCTTACGCAGCTTCTCCTGATCGTAAAGAGCAGGCCAGTTATCACGACTGGCCAATAACTTAGCCTCCTGGCGAAGTATCTGGAGCTCTGGGTAAGTTTCGAAGTGAAATGGGAATATCATTTCTCCAGAGAAGTAGAGGCATCCGCTGGTAGATTCCGTTGAGTAGTTGTCATTCAGCCAGGAGAAGGGCTTGAGTTCTTTGCCAATGCGATTGGCTGACCAGGCGGAGGCTAAACCAGGGCCGTCGCAATATATGGCCTCGTGAAGGATGGCGTATATGATGTTGGTATCAAATGGGTTCCAGCCTTCAAGCGGCACTAGGGATGCTCTGTTGAAAAATCCGAACTGATCGAGGGATGTTTTTAATGTCAGGATCGTAGAGTGAACCTGGTCGAAGCCACCATGGCTTCCAAAGGAAATGCCGATAGTCAAGAGACGAGGAACGGTGAGGACACCGCCAGATGGCAACGGAATACTGCCACCTTTACTCTCTATGAATTTAGCCACTTGACGGACGTTTTCGACGTCCTCTGGGAATTTTTCATAGTACTGCTCGTTGCGTTCTATGACCCGTTGGAATGTTGCTTCATATACTTGGTCAGGCTTCTTACCCACAGGGGCTAGACCGCCAGTGAGAAAGACTTCCCGAAGACCTTCTGGATGCATGGATAAATAGGATAGTGCGATGAAACCTCCGTACGACTGGCCAAAGATGGACCATGGTTGTTTGGCAGCGGGCCACGAGGCGGTAAGATACTTCCTTACAGCTTCGCAGTCCCGGACTGTGTTGTCCTGGCGCATGAGGCCGAGGTACCGAGTGCGCCCTTCAACGTCTTCAGATACAAGGCTTAGCATATCAGCACCAACTGGTGTACTTAGGCCAACGCCGCGATGATCAAGTAAGAGAAGCTGGTATCCCTTTGCAAGAGCGTGGCGGGTGAGGGGATGATCCTGCGGTTCACGGTTGCCAAAGCCCGGTCCTCCCTCAAGATAGACCATATATGGTTTTGGGGGCTCGCCAAATTCGTCTTTTGGACTGTTCTCCGACTCTTCATCATCAGGTGGGAATATGGGAACATCGTGTTTCTTGACAGCACGTGCAAATAGTGTGATGGAAGGGCCCTGGATGTCCGTGTAGTCCAGAGGTACTTTGAAGAAGAGCTCCGTGACACATAATTGTCCAGGCAGCACGTGAGATTTTCTGCTGACCAGGTCGGCTTGGGGGATGGACAAGTTTTCGGGAGTAGACATGGTGACTCGTGTTACAATAGCAGGGGGTGATAGTGATGGTGTTTTAGTGATGGCGGGGTTGGCGGGTAAGATGTTTGAATACCAAACCACCTACCTACCTACCACCTCTTACCTACTTTAGTAGGCGAATTGATAGGCAGTCTTAAGGCATCACTTAGACTCTTCCTACAAATGGCAATGGCTTATACTAATCCAGCCTTACTGTTCTGTTCTATAAATAAGTTCAAATTTAGTTTACTGGGTCAACGTGTTTTCGAGTTGTATATCAGTCTGAATACATGCTTTACTTTGTGGGCTTTTCCTGTGGGGTAATTATGCTCAAATCCAAAACATGCTACCCCTAAGGTATTGTAATTATTATCTAATAAGATTATCAGACTAACAAAGATGAGGTCACCCAGACAAACTGTTTCATCTGTAAAGTGGTCTCCATTCTCGTCACCTTACTTGGTACTACCTATCACAGCGCGCGATACATCTATAGGGTAGCTTTGGCTTCTATTTAGCATTGCCTCGGCCTGTGCTTCACCTCCATAATCCGCTCTGGAGGGGCCGAGCTTCGCGCTAGGTACCTAGACAAGGAAGCACCTACTGCCAGCACATGGTGCGTCAGACCACATAACATACCTAGGTAGGTAGAAGCAGAGCTTGAGAACCTCTAACGTGGAGCCAATAGAGCCGCATCGTCATGTCCGAATCACGAACTTTCCGCTCCGAAGTGGCTCGGCTCTAGATTACTGAAATCGTCCCGTCCTCCAGAAGCCACAACACCATAACCCGCTGGAAGGACCCTAAATTTTAGCTGCCTGCCTACCGTACCCGCTGTTGCATACAAACAGGCCAATCAGTGTCATTATCTCTCCACTTTGCTACCGCCTTGCTCTGGCAACAGCACTCCTGTCGGGATCTAGCAAATCTCTTCCTCTTTCTTCCCCATCTAATAAATATTTCATCTCCTCTTCTTATTTTCAACTTTCCTCTTCTTCTTCTCTTTCTCTATCGCATTCACTCACAGCCAAGGGCATGGCATATCTTCATCTTGCGCACACGTTGGCAGATGCTTTCAACGCCCTTGCTGATGAAGTCCAGACCTTGACAGATCGAAAGACCGTCTTGGAGCACAAGCTTCGCTTTGCTCATGAACAGGTAAGAATAAATGTTTTTTGCCCCCATGCAGTAGTTCCAAGCCTAGAACCCGGCTTTTCCCACTACCTGTCTACATATCCTGGCTGCGCAACCTCCTGGGATTGTTTCGGCGATACCGGAGCTGTCGGCTTCTTCCCCCAACCAAGTCAGCATGATGAATATCATTAGCTCTAGATCAAGAGCATCAGGATGAATGACCCTGTTGCCGAGATTGATAACCTATTTTTCTGATATCTGACCTATCAACATCTTTTCCTCCATCGTCTGCAATGGACTCGTCGCTGACTCGAAACCAAAAACAGTTCCAGTATCTGGCTGACAAATATGCTCCAGCCGCGCCAGAAATAGCTGATACCCTGGCTAAGCTCCAGATACCTCCGTATACACCTGTTGATAATTCATTGCCTGTCCCTCTTCCACGCGCGTACAGCTCCGGTTCCCAACACCAGCTTGCCCTCGTCATCCGTGACGGACGCCGAGTAGCTAATCAGCTTGCCTCGCTGGGCGAAGCGAGTAAAACCACTGGCACTGGCTCCAGCAGAGAGACCGAGTCGCAACCTTCCCACGTAGCCACTTCCATGTCGACAGCGCTAGAACAAGACTTCACGGTCCAAGGAAAGAAGGGCCATCTTCAATGCCCGTTCTCCAAGCCTGCCACGGCTAGCGGCTCTGGGGTCCGCGACGAAGATGCACAGGACACAACTCCGCATCATTCGACGGACCCTATCTGCGCAGCCATGTACGAAGAATCTACTTCTCAGCAAGCCCGCACAAACACAAACGGCTCATCAGCCGTCAAGTGTCCCATTCGTTACATGGACAAACACTCTGCTGAGGAGATCGCCCACTATGTTGAGACACACAAACATGAACTCCCCCGAAGCCATGAAGTTTGCCTCCGCCGGTACCAACGTGACGAAGATCAAATCAAGAAGATAGATTCCAAGTATGGCGATATAGTGAGCATGATTGAAGGGCTGGGTCAGCTTCACCAACCCATGCTACCCGAGGCTGAACAGGATCCGAATCGACCAAATGATGTGGCCCAGCCATCTAATGAAAGAGTTGAGAACTGGGCACAGGCTGTTAGTGTAAACTCGGACCCGGATAACACACAGGTGCCGACTCGGGAGGATGGAGACCGGCAGAGTCATTTCGATCGGCCCCTCAAGGAAGTACGTGTTGGAGAATCGCCTAGTCGGCCTTGGGGAATATCTATTCCAGTCTACGACCTCTCGGGCCAAGGCGACGACCAACCTCTCTCACCACCACCAGCGCCTGTCTGCATGCCGATTTCAGCTCAAGCTGCAGCCAGTGCCCAAGAATCAATAAAGAAGACGCCAGGCAAATGTCCATTTGATCATACAAAATTGGCTGCCATGGGTATGCCCTCACCATTCAAACATGACACCCCCCCTCAGGTACCAGAACGCACGGTTTCATCTTCACCTCACAAGGAGGGCGGGCCCCCTCCACCCCCTCCACATCAACATCAACATCAATACCAATACCAACATCAACATACGGCACCTCCTCAACCTGCCTTCATCAACCCTGATATGACCAAAGGGACAAACAACGGACCTCAAATGATCTTCACTGGGCCTGTTTTCATTGGGTATCCAATGGACCAGGCTATACAATTTATGAACCAATATACAGGGAACCAGTAATTCTCATAATGGTGGTGTTTTCACTTTTCAGTTTTCGCATTGGGACGAGAATGCATAAGCGACGGCGTTGGCGAATTTGATTTTATGGGATGCAAGCGATGCTATTACGGAAGTCTTTGTAAATTTTATTTCAACCCATACTGATCGAGCGGACGCAGCAGCCGCAAGTTCCAATTGATTGCATGCTTTGATTGTAGCGTAGCGATATCCAACATTGGCTCTGATGGTTTTGAAAAAGCAGTTGACTCAAACGCATGATCGCCCTCTATTATCCCAATGACTCCCGAATACTGGCGGCCAGGAATCCTCCATTACTAAGATGTCCAAAACGCCTTCTAGTCCATTCAAAAATGTATAATCAATATAACCGAGCCGTGTCCCAATATCCGCACCTTAGTATCGAATGATCTTGTCATTACTATTCCCAACTTGAGTCGAGCTTCCCGTTAGAATGTGACTTCATACCCTTTGGTTCCCCCTCTTATTGGTGTCTCCCTCATCCTCTTCATCATCATCGTGATATCTGCCCTCTGTACCATCTCTTCCCCACAGTGAAATATCATCGTCCGACATTAGCACGGCTGCATCTTCAGGATCCATGAGCATCGAGTTTTCAGAGTCTACATAGCCAGCCTCGCCCTCCTCAGCTGATAGACCTGTAGGTTCAAGGCCTTCTTGACGCGCGAGCTCTTCGGCGCGAGCCATAGTACGACGGTAAATGATAAGGCCAACAATAAGACCGACGGCAGCACCCAAAATCATGCTTAAATAATTGATGGCTTTGCTACCGGCAGACATCTTATCGCCCTTCTCAGCTAGCAGAGCAAGACGACTGCCGATGAAAACGTGGACGAGCAGTTTGGGGCTAAAATCATATTGGCATCAGCGATCAGGACCAGGCAAATACCATTCATTAGTGAACATACCTTGACAATGCCGTGGAAATGGTAAACGCCAGAGGTGTAATGCTAGGAATAGTGGCGAGGAAACCATTGCTCAGGCTGAATGGAAGTGGACAGAATCGGATAGCCGTAAGATACCAAATTCCCTCCTGGCGCAACACTTGACCCAGAGCGACAAAGCGATGATCCCGACCAACCATGCGATCAACATAGCCGCTTAAAACAGTCCTGCTCGCGAGGAACGCACAAAGGGCGCCAGCCGTACATCCGGATGCAACAATGGGCCAGCCTAAGGGAAACCCATACACGAAACCCGCGATTGTGCTCGCGGTCGAGTATCCAACAATAGGAGGGAACGAAGTGATGAAGACCAGCAGAAAGGCCAGAGTCCAACCTCCTGGAAGAGCGCGCCACTGCTCGGCCTTTGGCTCAAGCCATTTGAAGAAGACATGCGAGTAGATGATAGCCAAAATGCCAAGCACACCCGCTGCGACAACGCATACAAGGGCAAGAACCCGCTGAAGAGGTGACAGGCGCAGATACACCTTCAGAACCTGCTCACCAAGCAGATTGACCGAGCCCCAGATGCGGCGCACGAAGCTCGTCTTACCACCGCCAGCATAGCTACTACTCGCGCGACGACGATTCATGAGCGGGTTCGATAAACGGCGGCTCGAGGAGGTGGCAGACCAGGGAGGACGGCTTGGCGAGGGAGATGAGCCGCGGTCTGGAGACAGGGCGAGAGCCTGGGCGGTTGAGTTGTAATCCGCAGGCATCTTTAATGAAAAGATCTGGAGTTTCGATTGACTGAGTTGGAGTTGGGGTTGAATTTTGACGGGGGCTATGTGGCCATGTCTGTGTATTGGGTTTCGATATAGGTGAGATTCGGAACGCGCGGATGGAAATGAGGTTATAGTGAGAGATTGAGGACCTTGAGGTTAGGGTCAGGATGGCTTTCCGGTGGTATAGCAGATCAGGGCCCCGAATTCACCAGTCAACAATCGTATTGTCGCATTCGATATCGCTCGAAGAAGATCTAATGGCGATATTGTTGAGCTGGAATTGTCGTCGTCGTTTCATTGGGGCTGCACCAAAGTTACATGACGTTGCTAGTCTAAGCGAATCTGGAGCGGAACGGCCCTACTGAGTATGGCGCTAATCCTGTTCCGTCAAGTACATGGGCTTGTATATATCAAAGGATATCAAAGTCAATTTAAGGTAGGTACCTAGTAAATAAATCGACAGTATCACATGCAACTTTCAAGACATTGGCTTATAGAACGGAGTCTGATTTTACTGCTTTCTTCTATTTACGTCTCGCGTTGTCATCGACGGCCGCTTGGCCCCTTGGGCGGATCACGCACCAGGAGTCTGACTTTGCCGTCGCCAATCTCGACGCCTTGGCTTAGAATGTCCACCTCTTCTTTACCATCTGATTCGCCCTCCTTAGCGAGAGACTTGTCCCAGCTACGAGCATCGATTCCCAGGATACCCCCCATATTATTGCGGTCTCCAGGAACAGAGAACTCCCGGTACGCATACCTCCACTCGTTGAGAAAGTTCCGGATCGCCCTGCCAACCTTATCCTTTCCGTTCTTACTGTGGTGTCCAGAGCCGGTGATGGCATAAATGGGTTGCGACTCCCTACCGTTTTCCATCAAAACCTTTTCGAGGTACTCGACAGCTTCTTCAGGGTGAAGGCCGTGAAGATCAACATACAATTCCAAACCATTGGAGTTGCCCCTGTTACGTTCCTCGTACAGTTCTTTTGCAGCCTCGCGATGAGCTTTGCGCATAAGATCGTTCTCGCTTTGTCCTCGCAGGCTGAGAGCTTTAGCCGCCCTGGCGTCATTGCGATTCCAGGCTTGCGCAGCGCTGTAACAGCCAGTCAGTACACGGGAAACCCCCAATTCTTACTGCGAGAAAACACACCTTTGAAGAAACTTATTACGAAGGCCGCCGTGCTTAATAGCCTCTTGTCGAGCCTTCAAATATGCCTTGTTAGCACGCTCACCGGTCTCCAGCCACGGGATATGTTTAGGACTGGGGATGGCCTGAGCTGCAGCGCTGTTTTCCCCATTTCGTGCAACTGTCGAGCTTCCATTGCGCCCCAGCCCTCTCTTGAGTTCGGGACGGACAGGGGTGGGTGAGGGAGACATCTTGACGATATCAGCCAGAGAATTAGGCGCGTTGTTCTCTTTGTGCGAATGTCCATGGCCACCTCGCTTGCCGTGATGCTTCTTGCCTTGCTTGATAGATGCAGAACCCAGGGAAGGGAAGGCATCGTTGTCATCTAGAGCAGGGGCGGAGATATCTGGTTCTCTGGTTTGATGTCGACTGCTAGGGCGAGATCGAGCACGGGGACTGGAAGTTCCCTGGAAATGCTTCAAGCCTGGTGGTGGCGTGATGCCCACAGCAGGGATATTGTTGCTGCCAGCGAAACCACTTAGATGATCGGGGGTTCCAGGTCTTAGAGAAGGGAAAGAGTTAAGATCCCCCAACTGTAAACCGCCGTGCTTTGATGGTGGCGTACTGGCCCCATCGAGGGCGAGCTTATTCATAAGTTTGGTAGGATCATGCGAGAAAATACATGTCTCTCCTGCCAAGCAATTCCCCATGACCCAATATCTGCAAGAGAAATGTTAGCTTACAACACGGAGGGACTCGCACGAAAACATACTTGCAAAGGTGGTTGCTGAGATCATGGCTGAATCGGCAATCGGCACGCAAGCACGAACCAGTTGACATATAGAACTTGCAAATAACGCCCGACTTCGATTGACCTAAAGGAGTAGAAGGGCGATCCACGGATTTCCCAATCAAGACGTTTTTGGGTTCTTCCAATGAAACACCACCGGGCTGATTGTCCCCTGCTTGGCTTTCCATAAAGGAGACAATAGTTGCGCTGAGATCATAACCATTCTGCGCGAGAGCAGCTTCGATCTCATCGTCCGATTTTGTCTGCCCGAGGATGGAACGCAACATATCATATGGCGACATATCAGCTGACTGTGCTGACATGGACGAGAACTCGGGGGCTGCTGCGTTGAGAGCACTCGGAGTACCGACAGATGAAGTCACGCTAGCGGCATCATCACTGACGAGCCACTCAACATTTTCCGTCTGGTATTCACCTAGAATCTCTGTGGCCGGGGTCGGGTCGCTAGCAAATTCGTATGCATTCAAATTTGGACTATGAGGAATGACGGGTGTCGCAAGAGCCAGACGTGGCGATGCTCGAGGCGAAGAAAAGGGAGAAACCGTGGAGGAGATTGTCCTGCCAAAGGTGGAGGGAACAAAGCCCGGAGGAGCAAGGGGGCTCACGGCCAGTCTTGGAGAGCCCGACATGGGAGTTGGCGAACCGCGCCAGGAGGCGGGTGAAGGGCGTCGTAAGATCGTCTGTCTTATGGGAGGGGGTGACGCTGATGTGCCGCCGCCGTCACGAAACCGCCAGAGAGCATCTAGTATTGCGTTGTCGAGGGAAGTGCCGGTGAGGCTCGTTTCTTTGCGGAAGAGCTCCTCGAGTCTATCTGTCTTATCCTCGTCTTCCAGTGTTGCATCCTGCAAGATTGGCAAGCACATATCGAAGTGCTCGTCGGAAACCATGATGTCGACTTGTTTTATTCAATGCGGTTCGAACGGAAAGGAGTCGAAGCTATGGACAGTTTGCTCAGAGCAAGTCGAGGCTCACAATAGCGGAACAGGGGTCTCTAAGCTGATGTGGAGCGGATGCGAAGCGCAGCGGTATCTGGACCCGTGTTTCGAGCTTGTACAGTAGTGTTCTGCGAGAAGAACAAGAAGATGGAGAGGCTACATAGTCTTCGATTAGCTTTGCTACGTGTAGATGATATAAGAGGTAAGGCGGAGAAGCTGAAGAACGGGCAGATAGTGGAGAGTTGGACATAGAGTCCAGCTCTAGGCCAGATGGCGACGGGGGTTAGCAAACGGAACTCACAGATTAAAAGATATGGCAAGAAAAGCAGAAGGAGGAGAATAGGAGTCAAGAATAAGAACGCAGAGGAGACGAAATAAAAGGGAAAGTGAAATTCACAGTGAAGGCGAAAACAAAGAGAAGCGCAAGCGCATTCAAGCAAAAGATTAATTAGGTACAACGATGAAAAGGAGGAGGTGAGGATGGGAGATGATGCAGTGTTAGGGACAGCTTTAGACTAGTCCAATCACTAAGGTAATAGAAAGGTGGAGGGCGGACGGGAAGCCGAGTGGGGAGTACACGGCCCCCGGGAAGCCTTCAGGGAGACGAGATGCTAAGCTGTAGAGGGTTCGTGAATCAACTACAGTGGCTAGGCTAGGGGTGGCAGGTTGAGGAAAGCTACCATGGCAGTATGGATGGAGTGGAGGTGCACCCCATTTCCATCACAAGTGTTATTTGTTGATTAATAAGTTAGGGGGAAAGTGATTCAGATCGTGTTTCGGAATTGCAAGACGTCGGCTCTGTTAGCAGAGACATCCAGTATAGGCGTGTATGTGTACATTGGCTGATTGGTACCTAAAGTAAATAACTGGCAGCCCGGACAGAATGAGGCAAACGTGAGAAGTTAGATACGTTATTGCTCTCTGATTACTTGCATGAGGCTAAATGTAAGGAAAAATATATGGCACTATCGAGCAAGAGACAGGGCTATTAAAGGTTGGATATAGGCTGAAGACAAGTTTGGCACTTTCAGTATAATACAATCACCATTGTCCTGTTGTTTAAACTTTCAGTCGCCTTACTTCTAGCTGGGCACTCATTCAGCCAAGTTAGCCCAGTCCTACATTCCATCACGTATTCGGCGATGACTGTCTGCTCTCACGTTTACCACATGTGATCAAAGCCATCTTAGTTGCTATTTTAGTTCATGGGGCATTTTTCTTCTTTTCCTTTTTTTTTTTTCTTTTCTTTTCTTTTCTTTCTTGGTCATGACAGACACGATAAAGTCGGCTCCTAGTACGAAACAAGGTATACAACTATAGTAGAACACAAATTTTAGGGACAGAGAACCTCTCCTTTCCTCCGTTTTGGCAAGGTCATGTCACTACCTAGATCTTAGTAGTGTTTTCAAAGACAAAAAGAAAGTATCACATACCCTGATTGAGTGATTCTGCTGCTGAGTAAGAGTCTAATCGGAACAACAAGTATGGATGTTTCAGTTCTAATAAATAACACATTCTGTCCGTACGCACTTGACTATTCCGTTTGCTCACTCTTCCCTGTCTCTCAGGCGCCACGTTCATGCAACATGCCTAAACTCAATCATTGGACAGAGTGTCGTTCATTATTTAACTGCCAAAGCAACCAAACCATGAACAGGTTGTCGTCAAAGGTTCTGATTGGAAAAAGACCCATGCTTCTTACTAAGCCCATGCCTTCCCAGGTGGTCGTCTTCAACACCATCAGTTCCAGCGGTCTCTGGGTTGGTAGGTTTTATTTTCACCATCAAAACCCTTTTCAATTTTCATTTCCGTAAACCTGGAGGTAAGATACTAAATACCAGGATAACCAAGAAAGACCCAAAGCTTCTCTGGAAGCTCTCTGGCTTCTGTTCAAACATGCCATCTACCGACTGTCAATTGCCCAATTACATCAGGCTCATAGCGGCAACTCTAGTGACTATTCGAAGGTTGCCGAGCGTATCACAGCTCCTGATGTTATATCTTGCAAGATAGGGGGGCTTGCTTCTGCTGACTCCCTCATATTTCGCTACTAAGAAAGGAGTCATAAGTCGCCAACTTGGATTGAATTGCAAGGGTAGAAAGGGTGAGTCTTTCTAGGGTATTTCATCATCATCACCATCGCCCCCGAAACCAAAACTGAAACCATCACCTCCTTCCTGCTCTTGTTCATCATCTATTCCACCAACAGCAGCATCCCATTTACGTTTTTTCCCGCTCTTCTTATCGGCCAGGTCCAGGGCTTTGTCCAGAACTTCTGGATAGCTGCTCTTCATTCTCTCCACGAAGAGTCTAAAAGGATCCGCGACTTTATCATCGAATCCACTGACCTGGTCAGCCTTGTCTCGCAAGAAGGAAACAACTTCTGATACAAGATTTAAGCTCTGTGGCACGAAGTTCTGCGTAAGTGCAATGCCGCTCTCGAGATTAACCACCAGATGCCACCATCCGCTGGGAACATGAATAATCTCTCCCGCTTCGCAAATACCCTCAACGCAGTCAGGAAGCTGCCGTGCTTCTTCATGAAAAGTGAGAAGCCACTCAGCAATGCTAAGGGGACTGGTGACTTCGCTGCTGTCATCGGAAACATAAACACCGGGCACCTGTGTAGCTGGTGGGAACATTATCCAATACTTGGATCCTTGAATTACAGCATTCCAAGCACTCGTTGCGTTAGGGTCTTTGTGGAAGGTTGAGCCACTTCGCTCAGGACCGACAATCAGCCATCGATGGGCAGGGCGTTCATCTCCAAGAACCTCGAATAGATCAGGGCCAAAGCAGTCTGGTCTCCAGTATGCAGCGCCTGGCTTCTTACCGACTCTGATCCCCATCTTTTCTGCAAATCTCCGATCAAAGAGATACAGAGGGCTTTCGTCGCTGTTGTTCTTCATGTATGTGTGGTAGGTTGCGAATGGCCAGTCAACAGCCTCAGCACGAAACTCGACCTCAGCAAACATCTGGAGCATGCTATCGATAGTCCACTCCTCATATACTGGCCATTCCTGAATGCATTTGGTAAGCACAAATGGCTGCTCAGTCCATTTCTCAGCATACTGATCGTAAGTCAGGTTCTCGAAGCGACGGATCTGGTTTGCCTTGGGAATATGCGAGGTGAAACGGTTAAGGATGACATGACTGCAGGCAAATGGCCGGTGAAGGACATCTGAAAAGACATTGCTGCAGTCAATTCTGGTCCCTTGGTCACTGGGCAAACCTAAAACAGTTGATCTCCATGATCCTTGCCATCGTATATCCTTGCTGTCTGGTGGTGGTGACCTTCACGGAACTTAGTTCAACAGCTACTTCAGAGTGCCTTTATGACTCAAGTGACTTACTGGAGAAAGATAGGCTTCCAAAATTCATCGGAGTGGCAAAAGGCGTATAAGAATTTGCAGGTGTGGCCAAGCTTCAGGAGAGCCACAGCATCAAACTGCTCTAGTACAAGCGAGATAACCTCGTCTGGCAGAAGTCTCCAGCTCCCAATTGAGCGCCTCGCATTGCGACCCGTGAAGAAATACTGGTTGCCTAATGGCTTGAGCCCTAGTGGATGAGGAGGAATTGAGTCACTTTGGAGAGTTGACTCATATGTGTCGTTTCTCCTATCACAGAGTGAATCATGATGGCCAGTGCCATTGCTGACGATGGCTGAAGGCATTTGAGTGTCGAGTCCGCGGTTGCCTGCTATAGAAAATATGAAAGAAGTAACTTGTAGAGAGAAAATCGGAAGAACCCGCTAAAAATCAAAACTCATGAGCAAAACAAGACTGAATTGTATGATGCGATAAGTCAGGTACCTCTACGTTGAAATCAGATACAGCGAGTTCTAATTTAGTGTGGGCGGAAGAAAAATTCGGCTGAGGAATGGTTTCCGGTAACAGCCTTACGGGGAAAGATGAGACTAGAGTTACACTGTAGCTTGACTCTTGCTCAAAAGTGAGGCTACGCGGACTTTCCATACTCTTCACTTCAGGTGCCTGATCATAGGTATTTGACGATCGTTCATTGCATAGTTTGTTAAACCACTGACTACATTACCTTATAACAAGCTGAGTGATTAACAGAAGGCCCAATTGATATGGGTTATCATTCCTCTCAGCGAACGAGGGGAAACCTTGGATATGTGGTAAAAGATGACAACCCCGAAGATTGATAAACCACTCTCTACAGTATTGAGATATAATTGTTACATAGTGCATTTGCAACAGGAAATACACTATTTTGTGAACAATAGTTTCATAACAGAAGTGGGAGTCACCCACATCCTTTTTCCGTTCCCTGTACCTTAGAGGCACTAGGCAGTTATCATGTTTATATGGGTCAACCTATGACAAGCTTCTCATTGAAGTTGAGAACAATGACATGGCACATGCCACACACAGGCTACAATCAGTCACTGGAAACACCAAAAAACAGCGTTGTAGGTGGCGGACGATGATCCGTGGGTGGAGGGGCATTTTTTTTCTTTCAAGGTTCTACTGAGGGGCGGGGCATAGTGGGATGGCTGCAGCCTGGGTTATCATAGGTGGTGAACGTGAGGCAAGGAAAAAACTTCTTACGATGCTAGAAAAATCAAAGGTTAAAAAAAAAAAATTAAAAAAAATTAAAAAATTCCTCGCCGTACTGTACCGTACTGTAAAGACCTTAGACTGGTGGCTGTGACTGGTGAGTGCCCTGCCAATGCAAGGCAGAGACACCGAACCAAATGTACCCTAATCCCGATGCCCCGCTAAGGTCTTCTATCATTGGTCAGTGCCTCTCTTGAGGTAAGCGGGTGGGCAGCAATGAAAAAAATATACTGCCTCCACGACCGCCCCTCATTCGACTTTTTTTTCCTCTTCTCCTTCATACTCCATCCAAAGGAAACAACACAAATAACCATCCCCATCCTAGGTTCTTGTCGATTCTCGTCATTCTCACGAGACTCCTGATCCTAGTCGATACCAGTTTCTTTTCTACCAAACGACACAAAGGCGCAGTCTTCTCAAGTAGAAGTTCTGCCCTCGTTTTTCGCTTCCGTCACCCCGCGATTTATCAACTCTAGATCGAGCTGTGCTTGATCTAGATTTTCCAAAGCCTCAACCGCAAATATGGCTGACAAGGGTCTTGAGGATGTCCCCGAGGGTGAGTTATCGCGTCCTTCACGCTGCCATAGGCTTCGCGATGCGCATGGGTTCCTGAGCGGCTCATGCATTGAGGGCAAGCCACTCGTATCACCAACAGACTTGCTGACCATACATGCCTTGCAGGACAGATCGAGTCCAACTACGACGAGACCGTCGACTCCTTCGATGACATGAACCTCAAGTCTGAGCTCCTCCGAGGTGGTGAGTGTCTCCCGCACCTCAACAAATCTCTCGCATGCCGCTCACAATAATCCTTAGTCTATGCCTACGGTTTCGAGCGTCCCTCTGCTATCCAGCAGCGCGCTATCATGCCCGTTATCAAGGGTCACGATGTCATTGCTCAGGCCCAGTCCGGTACTGGAAAGACTGCCACCTTCTCCATCTCTGTTCTCCAGAAGATCGACACCAACGTCAAGCAGTGCCAGGCTCTGATCCTTGCCCCTACCCGTGAGCTTGCTCAGCAGATCCAGAAGGTCGTTGTTGCCATCGGAGATTTTATGCAAATCGAGTGCCACGCTTGTATCGGTGGTACCAGTGTCCGTGAGGATATGAAGGCCCTTCAGGACGGTCCTCAGGTTGTTGTCGGTACTCCCGGTCGTGTTCAGGACATGATCCAGCGCCGTTTTCTCAAGACCGACAGCATGAAGATGTTCGTTCTCGACGAGGCCGATGAGATGCTTTCTGTAAGGAAAATAACTTCTTATCATTGAGATCCAAATGCTAACATCATCTCAGCGCGGTTTCACCGAGCAGATCTACGATATCTTCCAGCTTCTCCCCCAGTCCACTCAGGTCGTCCTTCTCTCTGCTACCATGCCCCAGGACGTTCTTGAGGTCACCACCAAGTTCATGCGTGACCCTGTCCGCATCTTGGTCAAGAAGGACGAGCTTACCCTGGAGGGTATCAAGCAGTTCTATATTGCCGTCGAGAAGGAGGAGTGGAAGTTGGACACCCTCTCCGATTTGTACGAGACCGTCACCATTACCCAGGCTGTTATCTTCTGCAACACCCGCAGAAAGGTTGACTGGCTCACCGACAAGCTCACTGCTCGTGATTTCACCGTCTCCGCCATGCACGGTGACATGGACCAGGCTCAGCGTGACCTGATCATGAAGGAGTTCCGATCCGGCTCTTCTCGTGTCCTGATCGCCACTGATCTCTTGGCCCGTGGTATCGATGTTCAACAGGTTTCCCTGGTCATCAACTATGATCTCCCTGCCAACCGTGAGAACTACATTCACCGAATTGGCCGTGGTGGTCGTTTCGGCCGAAAGGGTGTCGCCATCAACTTCGTCACCGCTGAGGACGTCCGCATGATGCGTGAGATTGAGCAGTTCTACAGCACCCAGATTGAGGAGATGCCCATGAACGTTGCCGACCTCATCTAAGCTCAATCTAAAAAAAAATTGAAAAAAGCAACACGGGTCTTCCAATATCCGTTACCAGGCTGTCTCATCAGCTATTTACGAGCGGACGATACAGGGCAGCCTGACATCTTTGGGAGGAGCTTACGGAGAAATCTCTTGTGGCAGTTGTTGATAGATCTCGTTTCTAGAGTACCGCGCTGGAAGGGCGGCAGACCTTCCCATACGAGCTGCCGCCGGTCCGGAAGGTGACCGCCGGGGAGGAGGTCAGAACTTCGACTTGACCGCATGGCAAAAGGCTTCGGGGGCAGTCCTTTGCGCCCTTAATACCTTTGGGGGGTGCATTGGGGGCTACCAAAAGTAATGCAACGGTTTTTTAAACCTGCTTTTTGTCTCTGTTATTTAGGGTGTCGTTATCATGATGAATGTTTTTCTTTTTCTATTTCAAGATTTTGACCAAATTTCGCTTGAATACAAGTGTCGGGTGACTTGATGTGAGGTATCTGAGTTCCAATCTACCTTAATGTTAACATTTCGACATCCATAATTACTATTTATCCATCCACTCTCTAAGTAATAGGCGCCTCTACGGCGTTAACCGACTTGAAGAATGCTCTACTCATTAAAGGTCACTGTGCCGTCGACAAATTAGATACCAATGTGATGATTGAATAAAGTGCCTAATCCGATGGCCTGCAAGGCCCTCGTAAACGAAAGTATTGTGTGTAGCTCGTTATTCCATCGTCTTCATCATCCTCTGCACATGCCCGAATGTACATCCATACCCAAATTACAGTACACTATATACGACTCCTGCTATCTTTGAGGAGAGTGAAACAAAGGAAAAGCCAAAGATAAAAGTGCAGCCGAGTCAAATCTTGGACCTGCCCATTGTAACGCCGTGTGTGGTATCGCCGCCCCATGATATATAAAGTCAAAGAAGCCGTCGCCTAAAGAACGCGGCTGAAGCTCGCTGAGCCAGAACTAACAAATTAATCAAACCTGCGTTTTTTCTTTTCGGAAAACATTCAACACCATCTAGTAGCCCTGACCAAAATGAGTCTGCGTAGGAGGTGGACTCCTGACAGCCTGGCCGGCATAGGCACCAGGGATAGGGACAGCCTCATAAGTGGGTTCATCAGTGCTCACAGGCCCGTGTTGCGAGACTTGAACAGTGGGGATGGCAGGAGGTGAGGCCTCAGTAGGTGTAAAGGCAGATTGATTTAGCTTGGGAGTAGCAGAAGGGGCCTTCATAGGAGGAGCCTGGAGCTTGAAGCCAGTCTCCTGGGGAGCAAATTGAGACTTGGGCTCAGCAAATTGGGTACCAGGCGTGAAGGTGGTGGGGTTCTCGCTGATGTCGGACAGGTATCGATAGGCAGCGGGAGGGTGACGGGGAGACATGGCATAGGCACTGAGAGCGGGGGACTTGGGGCCGAAGCCGGGAGTGTTGGGAGCAGACTGGCTGCGGAGCTGGGCGAGGTAGAGATCGGATCGAGCACGGTCTCGCATGTCCATAGACTTGAAAAGGCGTCGCTTTGTGTAGTAACGGTAGAAGACGACGCTGTAGAGGAGGATACAGAGAACCTCGATGACCACCTCGATGATGATGCAGATCATGGCCCAGTTCTGAAGACGGCAGACAAGAGCATAGTCGACTTTCTCACCGAAGACTTCAGATCGATGGTTGTTAACACAAGACCAACCCCACATATCCTGGTTTCCGCTGTTGTTCCTTGAGTTCTGGAAAATAACAGCTGTGACAACCCATAGAATCAAGGCAAGAATGAACTATGTAAAGTCAGTGCTTGCTCAAGCCAAGCCCACAAGATGCGTGACTTACCCAGCCAATGGCGAACATGGTATAGTAGGTCCCGACTTTCTCGGCACGTCGATGACCACCTCGACAGTAGGAGATAAAAACAACAATACAAGCGACAAGAGACACGCATGCCATGGCAAGAACAAGTTTCTGGGGCCAGGCGCTGGTGTTCTTGGCCCATGAAGGCATCTTGCTCTGATCAGGCAAAGCTTTGGTAGCGTTAAAGATTGTAAATGAAGCAGAAAGCATGGCAAGGATGATAAGAGAGCAGCTAAAGTTAACACCACGGAGAGCGAACTTGGCCAAGCGGACTCGGGCCTTGATTTTCTGTCAAAGTGTAAGTGGCATGTTCGCAGAGTCAGTTGATATGGCGGAGTTACATACCACATCGCGCGCTTGCTCCTTGTCAGTTGACGCCTCACGCTTCTCCAGAATATCTTCCTCCCGAAATGTTGGACTCAAGGGGTTCTTGAGATGAGCAGGCGTTCCTGGCACCTTCATGGCACTCTTGAGTGGCGTCTTGGGAGTCATTGGGACGGGAATGGATTCTCGCTGGCCGATGTAGCCAAAACCAACGTCAGCGGGTTGAGGCTGAGCAACGTGCGACTTCTCGGGGTCGGCAAAGGGGGACCGAGCCTCGACGGGTGAGTGAACTGAAGTTGCCTCAGCAAATCGAGGAGTTCGGGGTTTCAGAGAGCCGTCCGAGGATGAGGATTCTGAGGTACCAGGTCGTGCTGAAGCGAGGTTGAGTGCGGCAGGCCGCCTCCTATCTTCTACAGAATCGTCAGTCAGCATTATGGATCGTTGATCGTCGTCAGTTCCCTCCCTCAGATCAGAGACGAACCTGGGCCAGCCATGTTTATAACAGGTAAATGTGTGAGAGGAGAAAGATATCAACAGCAAGATGTGCAAGTGGATGTATAAGAGCTTCGACGCAGTCCAAGCTCGCAACCGTAATAGAACAGAGACAATTGCAAAAGAACAGAGAGACCAGCTATCAAAGGATTGGGAAAGAGGTCCGGCCTGGCGGACTCGAGTGGGAAATGGCGAGTTTTGAGGTTGGCGGCAACATAGGGAACCAGGACGCTCATTCGACACCATGAAAACGCCAGCAACGGGACAGGACATGAGAGAGGGAAGGGGGTGCCGAGAATAGTAACGGAGGATGGCCTTACCAGAAAGAAGGGCGGATAGCAGCAAGACTTGTGATAGGCAGATGCCAGCCGCCCGTTAAGTGACTCGGTTTGGATTTAGACGCCCAAGTGATTGTGAAGATGGTAGGTCAAACTCCGCTGGCCTGGTTTTGTCACCGGCGAGTCAGCGCTTGAGAACTTTGTGTTGCTGAGGTTCGTAACGCCAAGATAAGTATGAACTCTGAGTAGTCTTGGAGAATATAGGATTACGGGCGGGCGAGTCAAATGGAAATAGAGAGGGGATCACAAGAGAGATTTGGGAAAGCTGCGGTGTTATGTGAAGCGGTACTGTATTGTGCGGACAGGGTACCCAGTCCTCCCATGACCCTCGAGACACCAACAGGGCAATTGTTCCATTGAAACAACCATATTCGGCTGGAATTGTCCGGGACATCTTTTGCATGGTACCCAGGTAGGTCCCTCATATCGATTGCCCATGCTGAGCAATATCACTGGATGGCAGAAGTTGCCCGGCGGTTAAAGGACATGGTGTTGAAGCGTGGATCTTTGATAGAGGGTATCTTTGTTGTCCTATTGGCTGTGCCAGGCAGCCGCTCTTTGGACCCTGGACGTTGATCTGCCGGTCTGATAGGCTACTTCCTGCAGGCGCTTCACATCTTCACCTCTATATGACCAATCAGCTCATTGAGAGCCGTGATGAGCCAGATGGCCATCCAGCCACCTGCAGGCTTCGGCGGCAACAAACGAGTTTTGTTTCGATATGCTGAGATCCATGCTTGAGCTTGGGGGGTGGCCCACCAAGGATGTTGCATTAAGCATCTGTCAGGGTGACTCGGTCCATCCAAGCTTTATTTCAAGCAAATGCATGCGTTTTCCTGTGCACTTCAGGTGGCCAGAGTCTTTACCCATCTTGGCAGCCGAATGAGTGGCTTTTCAGCTCCAAGGCATTGGTCGAGTTGGTAGTTGGTTGCACACGGTATCCGGAAAATTGTCCAAGATGCAGCAATGCAGTCATGGTCGCTCATGGCTGTGCTGTAACAGTGAGACACCATGAACACAACAAGCTATATCCCCATCCAAGGTTACATGTCAAGGCTTTCTAGGAAGGTCAGTGATGATTCGGGATACACAAGTTGATAAAGATAGCATCAAGCCCCATGTCATATGCGAGTATCACTTGAGAGAATTTTGCTAAGTATGTAGCAATTCTCATAGAACCCTCTCACCGTCTTGAGAAGTTGAGCGTTCTTGACTTGAATATTTGATAATCCAAGGAGGCTGGTGCATTCAATATTACCCGCCCCCCCCCTTGATCTTGGCGTCTTATCGATAGTGGAAGGCTAAATTCTGGCACGTGATCACCTAGAAACTGTTTACAACATATCATTGCTAATCTGCTCCTAAATCCAGACGCATTGTTAATCATGTATTTGTTAACATCATTATATCCGTAATCCGCTCATTAGTTGAAAGCGTATGAAAATAATGATAGCTTGATTCCGGATTCGTTCCTTGAGTTCCGGGAGGTCGTCTCGCAAACCAAGAGCCTGTATGTATAGGTCGATTGATCAGATGAAAAAAAAAAAGAGGAGGATTCGAGACAAGGTAAGCCTCAGTGGGCAATGATCATTCCGAGGCCATGAGGGGCCTTAAAGGCTGCTAGCTTGTCCTGATACCATACTATTGTCGTAATGATACCCCGTAGTCCGCTTTGCTTCCGAGACATACAAGGTGCACGAAACAACTGACAGGATTGATAATGCACGCCTCTTGTCAGAATTGTATAATCGCTTGAGAAGGAAAATAGCCGCACAACATCAATCAATGCCAATCCACGCTGAAACCTACTCTCTTTACTCCATAAGGTAGGTTAGGTATCTTACAGTATTCTTCTCATAACCTGGGTACCTGCCACAGGGTAACCTTCACTGGTATCATGGAGGTGGGACACTTTGGATACTTTGGCCGAAGCTCACCCGAGGAGGGGCATCAAATCCTTATCGCTCTATCGTGCCCCATCAGGCCTAGCGTAAGAGTCATAGCCATTTCGAGAGACTGCACACGAGGAATTTTGCCATCATCAAGGCGAAATACGCAAAATCTCGGCCCTCGACGACCCGCAACCTGGAGAACCATTCGTGAGACCTTCGAATATTGGACCGTAATTTTCTACCGATCCAGCCGACCGACTACCTTACTCGAAACCGCTCTCCCGCTGCTCTACGACCGAAAAACCACTTCTGAAATACCGACCGAATTGCCCCGCCTTCATCATGTCTGCCAACGGCGACCCCAAATACGACGACATCGAGTCCGAGTCTGACTCCGGCGAGTCTGTCGGCCACAACGAGGCTGGCGATGAGAAGCCCCTCAAGTCGGCTCTCAAGAAGTCCAACCCAGCTATCGCAGAGCCCGCTGCTCAAAAACCTCCTCTGCCCCCGCAAACCGACCCCAAAGATCTCGATGTTGCCAGCCTGACCCCCTTGACGCCCGAGATTATTGCCCGTCAAGCTACTATCAACATTGGTACCATTGGCCATGTAGCTCACGGAAAGTCCACGGTCGTCAAGGCTATCTCTGGTGTTCAGACTGTCCGTTTCAAGAACGAGTTGATCCGAAACATTACCATCAAGTTGGGTTATGCCAACGCCAAGATCTACAAATGCGACAACCAAGCATGCCCTCGACCTGGATGCTACCGCAGTTACAAGAGTGAGAAGGAAGTTGACCCTCCTTGTGAGAGAGATGGCTGTGGCGGTACTTACAGGCTATTGCGACACGTCTCGTAAGTTGACACTTTAATTAAAACTCGTGTACGGAATAATGACTGATGTTTACAGATTCGTCGATTGCCCCGGTCACGATATTCTCATGAGCACCATGTTGTCAGGCGCCGCCGTCATGGACGCCGCTCTCCTTCTCATCGCCGGTAACGAATCTTGCCCTCAGCCCCAGACCTCCGAGCACTTGGCTGCTATTGAGATTATGAAGCTCGACAAGATCATCATTCTCCAGAACAAGGTTGATCTTATGCGAGAAGAGGCTGCGCAGCAGCACTACCAATCCATCCTCAAGTTCATACGAGGAACTGTCGCCGGCAAGTCCCCAGTCATTCCCATCTCTGCCCAGCTCAAGTTCAACATCGATGCCGTCAACGAGGCCATTGTCAACACCATTCCCGTTCCTCCCAGAGACTTCAGCATAGACCCTCATATGATCGTTATTCGATCATTCGACGTCAACAAGCCTGGTTCCGAGATCGACGACCTCAAGGGTGGTGTTGCTGGTGGCTCTATTCTCCACGGTGTTGTCAAGCTTGGTGATGAGATCGAGATCCGACCTGGTATTGTCTCCCGAGACGATAGCGGTGCCCTAAAGTGCACTCCCATTTTCAGCCGAGTCGTCTCGCTCAACTCCGAAGCCAACGACCTCAAGTACGCCGTTCCCGGTGGTCTCATCGGTGTCGGCACCCGAATTGATCCTACTCTGTGCCGAGCCGATCGTCTGGTCGGTTTCGTATTGGGTCTCAAGGGCCGCCTTCCCGAGATCTACAGTGAGATCGAGGTCAACTTCTACCTTCTCCGCCGCCTGCTCGGTGTGAGGACCGCCGATGGCAAACAAGCCAAGGTTGCTAAGCTCGCTAAGAACGAGGTTATCATGGTCAACATTGGTTCTACCTCCACTGGCGCCAAGGTTGCTGCCATCAAGAACGACGCTGCTAAGCTTGTCCTGACCAGCCCTGCCTGTACCAACATCGGCGAAAAGGTTGCTCTGAGCAGACGTATTGAGAAGCATTGGCGTCTCATTGGTTGGGCTACCATTGCTGCGTAAGTTTCCACATACATGAGCCCCCCTCCCCGATACAGAATAATTCGACTGACCTCCTTCACAGTGGTGTGACCCTCGAGCCCAGCACTGCTTAGACTTTCCACCTAGACCAACGAACGACTTAAGCAGCTTTTTCGCATGATTTCCCGGCTACATGACATGAAGAGCTCAAGAACGCCCAATTGCAGAGGCAAAGCCCCAGAAGGCATTTTGAGTAGACGGTTGGCGCTGGAGGGGGGCCTGGTGTTTGGTGGTATTTTACAAGAGAGCATGGGGACGAAAGAATAGGGGGAGCTAGATGAGTCCATGCCACGAGCTCCGAAGAACATGTGGCTGTGACTAGCGGATGAGAAATGTAGTTACGCTGTAAATGCATCGAGGTTACACCAACCTCACAGGGAGACCCAAAAGTTTTAGCCAAACGCTCATAGCACGAAATGAAGAGATTTCATGACTAAACTTCCAAGTATATATAACATCTATTTGCGCGTTTTGCGCGCGTGCTTGACCAAGTTTTCTATGACACCTTCGAATGCTTCGCGATCGCCAATCTTTTCGTCAGTTCTCTTCTTCCAATATTCCAAAGCTTCCTTGGCCGCTTCCTGCAAACCTTCCAGTTTGGCTACGTGCGCTTTTAATTCCTCATCAGTCATACCATCAAGCGCTTCGTCTGTTGTTTGGCATAAATGACGAGCAGCTACGAGGTCTAGCTCGGGTTGTGGTGGAGGCCCGCGCCGCTTTCTTGTCGAGGCTGATGGCTTTCCTTGCGTATCAACTGATGTAGATGAATTGTTACCTTCGCCTTGCCGTAACCTAGATACAGACCGGGAATCTGTAGACGTTCTAGGGGACAATGAGGGGACATTGAGAGAAGGAAGGACGAGTTTCTTCTGCTTAGAGGCTGGGAGGATCTCGTCGAGATCGACGGGAACACCGAGTGACACGAGAAAGAGGCGGCGTGTGCGAGAGCGGATCCAATCAGGGGGTGCGAGAGGAGGTGGCGCTACCAGTTGTGACCAGAGAGATGCGGACCTTGCTGTAAAAAACACCGAGTCCTTGGAGAGAGGAGGGAATGTAGGAAGATCGAGTTCTTCTGGAGGGTATAGAGTAGCGAGGAAAGGCTCCAAGGCAGATACGACTGCTTCTGGATCGAGCCCATCAAAATCGGGTATGGACTACACAATGGTGAGCGAAGTACAAGGGGCATAAAGTAGGTATATCATACGAATGGTAATGTAGACTGCTGCGGAGGCTGTGTGGCAGTGGGCGCTGGTGTCTCTGCTTCCTGGAAGCCATCTTCAAAGTCATCGAAGTCATCGTCCTCATTACCCTCCTCGAAATCATCAAAGTCGTCGCCGAAACCGTCGTCGCCGTCATTATCTTGTTGTGTATCGTCATCGTCATCGTCATCATCATCGTCAGCATCTTGCAAAGAAGCAGCTATGGCACGGGGGCTTTCAGAAGGTCCATCTTCTTGTAATTTCGAGTCTGTAGTATCGGGTGACGGTCTTGAATTATCTACGCAGGCGAGTCTCAGTGGTCAATGATCATTCATTTGGATTTTAGGATTTTGCTACTCCCGTACCAGAATTGCTGTCAACATGTGCGCTCTCGCCTTGAATCTCCTTGACCTGACCATCAGAATCCACGAGAATGTCCGGAGAAGCATCTGCTTTGCGCCTCTCCTCATATTGAATTGAGTGCGATCGGCTTCTAGCCCCAGGAGCCTCCTCTACGATGGTCGTGGGAGCTTTGATTTCGGGCGTAGAGGGAGCATTTTGAGATGCGCCCGTCTCTGGAGCAATCGCAATCTCGTCAGGCTGAGCATCTTGCCCCCGCATCTCGTATGCTTCAGTTCCCGGAACCTCGCCGTGTGATGGCTGATCGTCGACCTTCTCGACCCGGGTCTTGGGAATTGGCGAACTAATCTTGGGACTTCCCGCGCCAGATGCAGCATCGGTAAACTGGTCGTCGGATTCGGACTCCTCAGCTACAACATGTCAGCAAGGGTGGTCGATTGTCCGAAAATCGGTGCCATCATACCAAGTTCGTGGGCTCCAGGGTCCTCAACGGGAGCACCCTTGGGAAGCTCAAGCTTCTCGGCGTCTGTCATGATGACGGGAGTTGGATGGAAATGGTGTTTCGAGATCTAGAACATGCGGTATTGATAGTCGGCGTGGGGTTCAAGGAACACAGGGCTAACAGCTGAGCAGGCTTAATGGCTTTAACGCGGTATTGGGGGAGCCTGAGGTGGTGAGGTGAGGGCGGTAAAGTGTAATACGACTGTCGTTGAAGGAGGACTGGCGCACAGAACGAATTAAGGCTAGTTACAGCAACGAACTTGATTAGGTAGAATATGATCGGTACGAATGAATCAAGAAAAGAGGTCGTTCCCGTTCATCAGTTCGTGAGAGCTACCTACTACCTTACCTAAGGTAGAGCTCAAGTGGACAAGTATCACGTGGGGCTACCAACACTTACCTCTTTTCTTCAACTCAGTTGGGCGGCTCTTGCCCATCCCATCCAATCCATCCATTCGCGATCCTTGGCTTTGAGTTATCCCTGCATCAGCTTGGTCTAGAACACAGCATGGTCACCGTATTTGGGTCGGAGGGTTCGATTGACGCCACGATACTTGGCATATTGCTGCATTAGTATGATAGTGAGACTACATGAAACTCGAAAGGAACGATGTAATAAGTAATTTTCGATGCTTGTAACTTTCTTTGCTACCGGCCTACCTACTAACCTTAGGTACTGTTTGGGCCCATTAGCATGGACACGAGAAAATTGAGATGATGACTATTAGCAGTTCATTGTCAACCTTTGGCACAAGATCTATCCTTCATCTGAAACTGAAGCACAATGCTTACTATCTTCAACATACATAAAACATAATACTTATCGTCCCATTTAGACAGTGCCGCATCTTACATTCCACTTCCTATCATTATTATAAGCCAACTGATCTCAACTTGAAGACTGCTCTATCATACATGTACTGCGTCTTCCATTCAAAATGTTTCACCACATACTCAATGTTTACGACCAGAAGGTTAAACGAAGGCAGCGTAGCTGATGACTTCTGTTGTATTATTGTGATGAAACACCGTACAGAACTTCCATTCGTGGGTGTCATACTCCAAAGCTCTGTGTTTGAATTCACCCGTCATGATTGTTAATATTTTGTCTTTATCGAGATCTGAAGTTACAGCCAAACTGAATAAACACCGTTTATAACGTATATAGTGAAACGGTTGCCGAAGTAGGCTAGCACGGACACGGTGCAGCTAGCGGTAAATGCTCATCTCAGGACGCGTCTCCACAAAAAAAGCTCCCAAATGCTATGCGGACCAGCCGCCTTCAACACATCCGTTGCCATCAACGACCACAATCCTCCCATTTCGACTTACGTAGTCATCATCCCAGGTCTTGCTTTCGACTACCGGGAAACTTCTTCTTCGACGTCTCGATACTTCTCCAAACTGGATCAGGTACTCGCGACCGATAAATCCCCCGATTTGAGCAAGCTGATCTCGGCCTTCAACTCCTAAGATGTCGTTCAGCTTCGGAAACGCAAGCTCTTCCAGCGCGCCCAACAACACGACATCGACTGCGCCAGCTTCGGGGGGCCTTTTTGGAGCAGCTACAGGAACTCCTAGCTTCTCATTCGGCTCGATTGGTGGCTCTGCCAGTAACACCACAACACCGACCAGCAGCGCAACCAATATGTTTGGTCAACAAAGCGGTGCCTCAGCGCAGAAGCCCGGCGGCAATCTCTTCGGCGGCGGCGCAAACACAGCCAACACTTCTACCACTCCCTCTTCTGGTGGTATCTTCGGCGGTGGTGGCTCTACAACTCCTGCGACGGGTGGTCTTTTTGGGGGTGCCTCGTCTACTACGCCAGCGGCTACTTCAGCACCTTCTAGCGGTGGATTGTTTGGTGGTGGTGCCAGCAATTCAACGGCCCCTGCATCTTCAGGACTTTTTGGAAACAATGGGAACAATGCAAGCAAGCCAGCCACTGGCCTCTTCGGCGGTGGTGGCTCTTCTACTACTGCTAGTAGTGGCGCTGGTCTGTTCGGCCAGAATAATGCCAACCAGGCAGCGACAGCTACCCCTTCTTCTGCAACCACAAACCTTTTCGGAAACGCCGCCTCTGGGGCTGCAACTCCTGCTAAGCCAACTTTCGCTTTACCATCTACGACTCCAGCTGGGGCACCACCCGCTGACTCTTCGAAGCCTACTGGTGGATTATTCGGCAATACAGGCGCGCAAGCATCCGGTGGAAACTCTAGTTTATTCGGCGGAGCGAAACCTGCAAGCACGTCTGCTCCTTCTGCCCAACCCAGCACTACAGCAGCTGCATCATCCGGCGGCCTCTTCGGGGGTGCGCAGTCCGGAAGCAGCGCTCCTCCCGGGGGTCTTTTTGGAGCAAAGCCGGCTCCAGCCTCTACTCCCGCGGCCGGAGGCCTGTTCGGTACGAAGACTGAAGGGGCTCCGCCTGCTGCGGCTTCGCAAGCCGGAAGCACGGCCCCTGCCAACTCTACAGCCTCCTTATTCGGTGCCAAACCTGCAGCCCCAGCGACTACAACTCCAGGCTCGACACCGGCGAGTGGCCTCTTCGGCGGCGGCGCAACAACTTCTGCTGCCTCAGGAGCTTCTGCTACAACAACAGCTGGAGGTTTGTTCGGAGCCAAACCTCCAACAAGTACAACTTCTACAGCGGCTCCGGCCACAACTTCAGCAAGCGCTGGCAGTCTTTTTGGCGGCGCTCCCAAGCCATCCACCGAATCATCTACTTCAACGCCAGCCGGTGGTCTGTTCGGAGCACCTGCATCCAGCCAGCCGGCCGGTTCTGCAGCTACCACGACTGCAACAGCTGGTGCAACAACTACTACTGCCCCTGCGGTTGGCTCAACTCCTGCTGCTGCCAGCAGCCTGTTTGGTGCGAAGCCTACCACAGACGCCAGCAAGGATGCAGCTAAGTCTGCGGCTTCCAGTGCCACCCCTGGAGCCCTAGGCGCTTCCACGACTGGCCCAACATCCCAGATGGCGCGACTCAAGAACAAAACCATGGAGGACATTGTCACACGTTGGGCATCCGATCTCTCCAAATACCAGAAGGAATTTAAGGAGCAAGCCACCACTGTGTCGACCTGGGACAGAAGCCTGGTGGATAACGGCGAGAAGATCCAGAAGTTGTACTTGGATACATTCGAGGCTGAACGAGCCAGCCATGAAATCGAGCGACAGCTTGCTGCTGTAGAAAGCCAGCAAGATGAGCTCGAGGCTTGGTTGGACCGATATGAGTCTGAGGTTCAGGATATGTTTGCGAAGCAGCTTGGTCCTGGTGAGCAGTTAGCTGGCCCTGACCAAGAACGAGAACGTACATACAAGCTTGCGGAGAAGCTGACGCAACAATTGGATGAAAAGTCGCGCGATCTCTCCAAGATGGTCAAGGAAATCAATGACATCTCAGGGACATTGAACAAGGGTGCTAAGCCTGAGGACCCTGTAAGTTCCGTTCCATTTTTATTACCTGGATAAGGTTTGCTAACCCAGTACACAGCTGAGCCAGATTGTTCGGGTCCTGAATGGCCACCTTACACAATTGCAGTGGATTGATGCTAATGCCTCGTCGCTGCAAGCCAAGGTCGCGGCTGCTCAGAAATCGAGCAGCAACCTAGGAAGTCATTATGCCGGTTCTGATAATGATGCGGCAGAGAGCTTCTATCGCTCTTACATGGGTCGACGATGAGGAGGGGGCAATAATTATTGGCTTGGAGTTTTAGGCAAGGAATTCAGATAATTCTGTATCAGATATGAACACGGAGAGAAGACGTGCAGTACAGCTCAGTTTAGAGTAACAAGGATACGGGCGACATCTGGAAATCCAATGTTGAGGAGTGCAAATGCGTGATTGTTCTTGTACACTAGTTTAGACTATGGAAAAAGACAAGCACTGGAAGAAGTGCAATTTCAAGTCAGGTCGAGTTCCCCCAACCGATAAATGTACATCCATCGATCTTGGCGAGCGGGATTGAACCTCAGTCAGAGCTGATGATTTCTCCCCGCAGTCTTTGCCGGGGGTATCCGGTAATCCGAGGTATGAGTTGTTTAGTTCTTCTCGCCGCCCTGCTCACGGGTGATCTCGTCACTGAAGGGGAATTGAAGTTAGAGGTATGCTCAACTCGGGTGTCCGACAACTGCGCAGATGGTACATGGGTAGCTTACATGTGCTTGGAGAGACGGTCAAGGTGCTGCTGCTGCTCCTGGAGCTTCTTCTTGAGCTCAATGAGCTTCTCCTTCTCGCGCTGGCGGATAGCGTAATCCTCGCTGGCCTTCTCCCGTCGCTGGAAGGCATCACTAGAGAATGACAAATGTCAGAATCCTTCGATCCCCATGTCAATTGGACCGTAGGTGGAAAACTCACCCAGAACCACCAGTGGGACGGACTGAACCAGTAGCTCCCTCAGTCATGACGCGAGGAGTGGTAGAGAAGCATCGAACAGGCCGGAAGGCGGCTGTCTGGCGGAAGGTTGTGCGAAGCATGCTGGCGTTGAAGTTTTGATTTCTTGTCTTGGCTTGCTAGTGACAAAGAAGGATTGGAGATGTGCTTTGTTTTGTAGCCGATGACGTTGGAGGGTTGCTGGTGGAAGAGCCGAGATGATCTGACGACGAGCTCAGGCCAAGGGTAGAATGCTATGGTCGCCTTAGGCCGTTACTTGATATTGGCACATGACGGGCTGGTAAAACCAGGTACTGGATTAACAATCATGGCCGGCCTAGCGGCAAATCCCGGCCAGCTCCGCCTGCAAGCTCGAACCTGGGTCATGATCTTTCAGCCTACGAGACAATGGAATTGAGCCAGCCAGGGACCAGGATATAGCTCTAGGGTGCCTGGTCAGGCATAACTACCCTAAATTGTGCAGAATAGCACTTTGGTTTATCGGTATTTTTTGAGTGTATTATGAAGCTCGGGGTTTCCTTGCATTCGATGCTCGACCTTCACAACCTTTGGATGGCGCATCACATGTACCACACACAGCTTGGTCCCGGAGCCATTGCATGACATCAGAGTTCTCTTCAGGTGGGGTTTTATCGGGGTTTATTCTACATGCTACTAACATACACAATACCATAATAAGTAGTCACTGGGTGCCGTGTGGTGTTCCAGGTTAACTGATTTATTAGTCAATACAGACCTCACGAGATATAGGGATAACTGCTCTGGTAGTCGGAGGGAGTTGTATCGTGGCATTTTGGATAACGACGTCAGTGAATCAGGTAAACTGCCAAACCAACACAATATACTCAACCCAAGTATAAACCGGGCAGATGTGCTCCGCCAATATACATTCCAGTCATTCGTACAGTTCTATGACTTGGTACCTTAGACTACTCATCAATGAAATCGGATGTTTCGACTTTGTCGGAGTAATGAATGAAGTGCAATGCTAGCTGTCTGGCGGATTTATAAGACTGAGGCGATGCAGGCGTCTGAGGCGAGGTGTATTCACTGCAGAGCGGTTAACCAACTTGAGAGCGAGATCTAACTCGTGATCCAATATGAGAATGATGAATCTGACCAGCAGCATTGAGATTGCCGTTCCTGTCCCACAACCAAAGTCTCGTGTCGGCACTTATGTGGCTGTTCCTAGCACACCAACAGCCTGACTGACAAGGCAAAAGAGCAATCAGGTCGGGTCGCATGATGACGATGATGACACTTGACACTATGGACCCCTCATTTCATTTTCTTTTTTTTGTAAAGTCGCCTTGTTTAACGTGCCCGTTTCTTAGCCGTTGACTTGCCTTTCCGCTATTAACGGCTTTTGTCGGCCAGAGATTCAAGGCCAAGATGAACATAGTTCTCAACGTCGAGATACTCAAAAGAAAGGGATGGACAGTTCTATGGGACCACCTAAGCTGAAAAGTAAGGCGTGACAGTTCGGTAGGCGAATTACCCAGGGAGATAATGCAGTAAGGATGCCTAGATCCGAGACCCATCACCCATCAATGCGAGGCCTCAATAGAGGCCCATTTTCGTTTGGCAACTTGCAATCGTGACAAGACAATCTAATGAGATTAAGCATGAATGAGAAGAGCGATTGTCCATTGCTGGGTGTCCACTGAAGTTCCAAGGTCCAGCCAGCTTCAATGGATCACCATGGCAGGTGGGTGACAATTGGGTGGGGGGCTAATCAAGGTACGTATATGGGGCTGACTGGCTGCTGGCACTGGCAGTCACTGCCCAGAGGTGCCCCTTCCTCGATATCTCTCGCGCTTTCGTCACCCCCAACCAATAACTTGACAATAACTCCCCCGTCTAACTCTCTCTCAACTCAACTCGTCCCGCAAAACAAAACCACTTCTTTTTTTCATCTCTCTTCTCTTTCTCTTGGCCCCATTCGCCATCTGCCAACTCCTTCAACTGAAGCTCCTCTCAGCCGAATTTTGTTTATTCGCTTTTCCTTAAACAAACCCTCAAACTACTATAAATTCCACGACTCAAGGTACGTATCTACGCTTCTGCCCTGCTCAACCCTTCAACCATTTGAACAAGAAGCCTCGCCATATCCTGTTGCGGCTATCTCGTCTTGTTGTTGTTGTTTGTGTTTGTTGTGCCCTTCCACCACCCCCTCTGTCGTCATTGCCCCCCCTCCTCAAACCGAAACGAACACGCACCCATTATCCCCCCTTGGGATCTCCGGGCGCCTTCACCACCACGATTAAGCGATAGCCGCCCTATCTGTACTGCCAACGACAAAAACACCTTATTTTGAGGCTACTCGTCGTTTAGTTACCGTGTGGTGCTCGTTGTCGCTTGTCGACCATCTCAGGAGGCCGTCGTCTCAGAAACCCCTCCGCCACTGACACCCAAGAGCGGGGAGCCTCACCGAGTCGTCGCCGCCGCTCTAGCCACACACTAGGCGCGCAACTGCCTCTCCCTGTATCGCCTAAAACCATCGACTTATCGCCCCTCGCCCACTTCGAAGCTTCCTTCATCATTCCATTATCGTCGCCTTCACCAACGCATACACGAGCTTGCGCCGTTCGACTCTACCACTCTCTTTGTGCCTGCCTGCCCGTCTCTGCACATATTGCTTTATTTGCTTCGTCTGACTGGCTTGACCACCCCCTTTACTAACTGACCTCAAACACAGTCGCCAAACATCAACACAATGGGTCACGAAGACGCCGTCTACCTTGCTAAGCTCGCCGAGCAGGCTGAGCGATATGAGGGTATGTTCCAGGACTCAACACAATATGTCAATCGCGCGCTAACGTTTGGGGCGCGCGCCCATTGCAGAGATGGTTGAGAACATGAAGATTGTCGCCGGTGAGGATCGAGATCTCACTGTCGAGGAGCGAAACCTTCTCTCTGTTGCCTACAAGAACGTCATTGGCGCCCGCCGTGCCTCCTGGCGCATAGTCACCTCTATCGAGCAGAAGGAGGAGTCAAAGGGCAACTCTTCCCAGGTTACCCTTATCAAGGAGTACCGACAGAAGATTGAGGCTGAGCTCGCCAAAATCTGCGACGACATTCTCGAGGTTCTTGACCAGCACCTTATTCCCTCTGCCAAGTCTGGCGAGTCCAAGGTTTTCTACCACAAGATGTAGGCGCAAACTCGTAGCATCCAGTCACATACTTTTATTGACCAGTCTTGCAGGAAGGGTGACTACCACCGTTACCTTGCCGAGTTCGCCATCGGTGACCGTCGCAAGGACTCTGCCGACAAGTCCCTCGAGGCCTACAAGGCTGCTACTGAGGTTGCCCAGACTGAGCTCCCTCCCACCCACCCTATCCGCCTGGGTCTTGCCCTTAACTTTTCAGTTTTCTACTACGAAATCCTCAACGCCCCTGACCAGGCTTGCCACTTGGCCAAGCAGGCATTTGACGACGCTATTGCTGGTACGACCCGTGGACTGCTTCCAATTGGCCAACGTTATACTGACATGGAATCCACAGAGCTCGATACCCTGAGCGAGGAGAGCTACAAGGACTCTACACTGATTATGCAACTGCTCCGTGACAACCTTGTGAGTTTCCGGATTGCTCCTTTTCACCTATTCGACGACAGCTAACACAGTGACAGACTCTCTGGACCTCCTCTGAGGCCGAGACCTCCACTGCTGGTCAGGCTGAGGCTCCCAAGGAGGACGCACCTGCGGCTGCCACCGAGGAGCCAGCTGCCCCGGCTGAGGAGCCTAAGGCCGAGTAAGGAGTCGACTAGTGATTTGTCTATGCAGGTGTCAGGTGGACTGGTGTCTACGGAGTGTGGACGGAAGACCTCGTTTTTGATCAAGAGCTTCGGCATCGTTTCAGTACAGACAATGGCCATGGAAGGGCTGACTTTTTCACCAACGGGCTGGCAAGGAGAGTCTACAACAGAGCACTTTTACGTTCTGCTTTTAGACTGTTAATGCGTTGGCCGTCTGGACAATAAAAATACTAAAATTACTTTCAATACACGAAATATATGACTAGTGATGACGCAGCTGAAGAAACTGAATTGGGTTTTTGGCATACAAGCAACAACACCAGGTTGCGGTGCCAGGTATCTTGCTTGATTGCTGGCCGGGTTCTTGGATCGTTGATCCCGGCACAGTTCATGCCCTTGCCAAGATATATGCGGACAAGAGTACTCTGTCATGGTTGGTTCAACCATAATCTGATTCTGAGGAGGCCGTAAAGTCAAGTCTTATCTTTCGAAGTTTTATTTGAAGGATGTGATTCCTGTTCATCCTCAATAACGGCAAAGTGAACTCGAAGCCACAAACTACAGTCGAGACAGCCAACCACAAGCTCCCCCTCATCACTCACTTCTTCCAAGTCTGCTTCGCAAAACTCATAGCTGTGCTCATTCCCACAGCGACAAGGGCGGTACCAGCATTCCTGATCCTCATCAAATGCCAGATCATCTAGGTCAACACTTTCCACGCCGATCTGAAAAGAGCCATCTCTCTTCTCGCTCGGGCGAGACACTCGCAGCGCGGCGTCGTAAGCTGCCCGACAAGAAGGGTCGGAAAGGATGGTGAGAGCAGTTGTGATTTGGTCGACTGTGAAGCAAACAGAGGATGGATCTGAATTTGTGACTTTGTCTGGGTGGTTACGGAGGAGGGCCCGGTGATAGGCGCGCTTTATGAGGGGTGTAGAATCATGCTGTGTGTCAAGTAGCGTGGGTGTGAGGTTGAGGACTTGGTAATGCGTTGCCACTTCTGGTGAGGCCATGCTATGGGGTCGAGTTATACAGATGCGCGTTTGTCAAGTGAATTCTGGACAACTAAAAGCTTGAAGGCTTCAATGCCTGATATCACGTGATACGCATTCAACAGATGATGGATGGAGCTATTGTGAAATCGCAGATATCTATCTACCTTGGGTTACGTGGAGAAATGAGAGCCATATTAATGTTAGTTGGTGTAGAAGATAGGAAGTTCATGTCCCAGAACCTCCACACGCAATGGTAGTTGGGTGGCCTGTAATTTACGAAAGGGAAGCTGGATCTTGAGTGCACAATCGTTCTTTGACAAGACGGTCGCTGATATTGTTGTACATAAAAATACATGGTGAATGTACAGGGCGCGCCAAAGCAGTCATTCCATCTCTCTTCTTCTTGTTTATTTGGGGAACTTGGTCCAACCGTATTTGCCCACCTGTTAGTGTAGTTAGCAACACATGCTCCCTTGGACGATCAAGGCAGTCAATCTTTGATCTTACCCTCTTCCAGCGCTTGATAAGACTGGGCATATCCAACATGGCTTTTCTTCTTGTCTCCATCCTGCAGTATGGTTAGTCATTGTTGTTCTAGGCTCATCACAGGACATAGCCAGCCAGTCTGTGATCGCCGTGATGGGACCGTCCACGTACTTTGCAATCATATGTCGTTCGTGGATATGACCCTTGACCTTCTGTCCCACACCAGTACCCTTGACTCTCAGACCATGCTCAACCCGGTGAGCCAGCTTGTACTCAGTGCCCTTACGTGTTTCTGGCAGCAGATCCTCGACGCCGTTCTCACGGGCCATCTTGACCAGCTCAGCCTGGCGACGCTGCGAGTAGACAGGGTCCTGCCATTTACCTGTCACTGGGTGCTTGTAGAAGCGGAAAGGGTTCGGTCTCTCCTCCTGGTATCGGGTCTTTGGGGTGTTTTCGGGGAGGATGGCGGCGGGAGGATAGCGGGCGAAGAAGCGCTGCAGTGGTGCGGGCAGCGACTTTGCAAGCCCGATGAACTGTGATGTTGATGCCATGGTGATTTGCTATGATTTGCCGTGCTGAAGGGCAATCAATTGCATGCCCCGGAACCGAAAGAATGATCACGAATTTGAAGCTTTCCAATCTTCAAGGCTACCTTATGCTCCCCAAGTTTTCAGATAGACCCCCGGCTCGCCCATGCAGGTGGACCCCCATTGTTGCTTATCAGCCAATGATTCGTCATAGCACCTAGAGCTAGACCCACACTGCCTCAGCCTTGTCAACTCTGTCATTCAACAGCAAATCATCAGTCATCACTTCTATTTGTGGTGGGCGACTGCCTAATAGAAATCTCGTAATAACATATCGCTCTATTGTTTCTTTTCTCCCATCACACAAAAATGCCTCTCGATATCGAAGAAATCTTGCGGCAAAAGAAGGCTGCAGATGCCGCCGCCGCAAAGCCTAGGTTCATCCCCAAGGCCGAACGGGAGCGACTAGCAGCTGAAAAGGCAAAGAAGAAGGAAGACGAGCAGAAGCGCAAGGCTTCCGAAGACGCGCAGAAACGGCGAGAGGAAGAGCAAAAATGGGCCGCCAGATCGAACGGCTCTTCAAGGCACAACGATTCTACGAATGGATCATCGCGCGTACCGACGGGCCCCAAGGCTATGAATCAGGAGAATGGCCGTGATCGAGACGGATATCGAGACCAAGGGCGAGGGAGGGGCAGGGGGAGAGAAGGTCGGAAGGGAGATAAACAGGCTGCGGATAAGCAGTCTGCAGAGGATATCGAGGCCACTCTCCTCCGATCACGATACCTGGGGCCCCAAGTTAACCAACAGTCCAACTTTTCGGCGAAGAAGAAACGAATGCGAACGACAGAGAAAAAGTTCAATTTCGAGTGGGACGCTGATGAAGACACGTCGCGCGACAACGATCCCTTATATACTCGACAGGCCGTCAACCACAATGGATCATTCGCCGGTGTTGGTGGAGAATTCGACGATGAAGCCGAGGAGCGCGCTCGCAAACGAGCTCGAATGATAGAGCAGAGAGATCCAGAGAATGGAAAAGAGAGAGCAAAGGGCATCATGGAAGACTTCTTCCGAGCACGCGACAAAGCGAGACAACGAGCTGATCGAACAGGACTGGGCAAGCGATGGTCTGAAAAGTCTTTAGAAGATATGCGCGAGCGGGATTGGCGTATTTTCAAAGAAGATTTTGGAATCGCTACAAAGGGTGGCATGATTCCGAACCCCATGCGCAGCTGGCAAGAATCGAATCTCCCTAAGCGCTTACTCAACATTGTCGAGGATGTGGGTTACAAGGAGCCGACGCCCATTCAACGAGCTGCAATCCCTATCGCGCTGCAAGCCCGCGATCTCATCGGTGTAGCTGTCACTGGTTCCGGAAAGACAGCCGCCTTCCTACTACCGCTGTTAGTCTATATCTCTGATCTACCGCCCCTTGACGAGCTCAATAAGAACGACGGCCCCTACGCTCTCATCATGGCCCCGACTCGAGAACTGGTGCAGCAGATCGAGTCTGAAGCCAGGAAGTTTGCTGGTCCTCTCGGCTTTCGCGTTGTGAGCATTGTCGGTGGCCACTCTATCGAGGAACAAATATACAACATGCGCGATGGTGCTGAGATTATCGTTGCTACACCGGGTCGTCTTATTGACTGTCTCGATCGACGAGTGCTCGTCCTAGCACAATGTTGCTATGTCATTATGGATGAAGCAGATCGTATGATCGACATGGGTTTTGAAGAACCTGTTAACAGGATTCTCGAAGCACTACCTGTTAACAACGAGAAGCCGGATACGGAAGATGCCGAAGATGCAACAAAAATGAAGCGTTATTTAGGTGGAAACGATCGTTACAGACAGACTATGATGTATACAGCAACTATGCCGCCTCAGGTGGAAAAGATTGCGAAGAAATACCTCCGCCGTCCAGCTATCGTCACCATTGGTAACGCAGGCGAAGCCGTTGACACTGTCGAGCAGCGTGTCGAGTTCATTCCCGGTGAGGACCGTCGCAAGAAGCGTCTGCAGGAGATACTTGCCTCGAATGATTTTGCGCCACCCATCATTGTCTTTGTCAACATCAAGCGCAACTGTGATGCTGTCGCCCGCGATATCAAGCAGATGGGCTGGACGGTTGCCACACTCCATGGTTCCAAGACTCAGGAACAGCGGGAAGCTTCTCTCCAGTCAGTGCGCAACGGCACGACACAAGTCCTCGTTGCGACTGATCTTGCTGGCCGTGGTATCGATGTTCCCGATGTCTCCCTCGTCGTCAATTTCAATATGGCCCCTAAAATCGATAGCTACACACATCGTATCGGTCGAACAGGTCGTGCTGGCAAGAGTGGTGTTGCCATTACGTTTCTGGGTCCTGAGGACGCTGATACCATGTACGATCTCAAGCAAATCCTCAGCAAGAGCTCCATCTCCAAGGTGCCAGAAGAGCTGAAGAGACATGAGGCCGCACAGTCAAAACCAGTACGTGGTGACGGCGGAGGATCAAGGAAAGATAAGGAAGAAGGGCTTGGGAAAGGAGGCTGGTAGAAACTGATACTGAACAATAATTTAGGCGACATAAAATCATTGCAATGGAAAAATTCATTAGTCTCATCAACTAGAAGAAAGAACCCGCAGAGTGAACCCATTTATAAATATCACTTCCACATCTCCCATGAATTCTTTTCTACATCTGAAGCACACTCATTGCAAAGCACACACTCTTTCACATGTCTTCCTTTTATCTTATCTTATCTACTCCAGCTTTAGCTGCTCAAACTGCTTGATAGTCTCCTCGAAGCTGTTGAGCTCTTGCTTGGCATCTGCCAATCTCTTCTCGTCTGTCTCGCGGACGGCGTCTGAGACCTTCTCAAGGTAGCCAGGATCATTGAGAATCTTCTCCTGTTTTTGGATGCTGCTCTTGGCCTTGTCGAGCTTCTTCTGCGCCTTGGCGATCTCAGCATCGAGGTCAACGCGGCCCTTTACGTGAAGGAAAACGGAGGCCTCGGTTGAGACAGGATAGGCGACGCACCCGGCGGGTCTAGTAGCATCGGGGGTGAGGATCTCGACTCCCTTGATACCCTTACCGCTCAAGGTCTTAATAGAAGACGACTGCTCCTTAACGGTAGTGAGAGCAGTATCGTTGTAAGCCTGGATGATAACTATGAATGAGTCAGTAAAAATCGTTTACAGGATCACAGGGTTATAGCACTTACCCTCAGCCTCATCCTTGAGGGCGTACTCAGCCATCAGTGAGCGAGCAGCCTTGGAGCAGCCTAGAACAAGCTCGTAAGCGCGCTCAGACTCGGGGTCATCAAGCTGCTCGTGGTAGACGGGGTACTTCGCGACCATGATAGACTTGGTCTGATCCTCAGGTCGTCGGGGCATTCGTTGCCACATCTCCTCAGTAATGAAGGGCATGAAAGGGTGGATCATGGTGAGAGCGGCCTCGAGAGCAGTATAGAGAGTCTGGATAGCAGACTCACGCTCCTTTGGAGTACCGTCACGGATGATGGCCTTTGAGTTCTCGATGTAGACATCGCAAAGCTCGTTGTACCAGTAGCGGTAGACGATCAATGTTGACTTGGAAAACTCGCGATCCTCAAGAGCACGGTTGATCTCTTTGGCCGCGGTGTTCATCTTGTGAAGAATCCACCGCTCGGCAAGAGTTTCGCCACGGACAACCCCTGACGTCGAGGGAGTGAAGTCCTTGGGGAGACTTCCCAGAACATACTTGGTAGCCTGGAAGATCTTGTTACAGAACTTGCGGTATCCGTGGATAATCTTGACATCCAGATTGATATCACCACCACCGGTTGTGGCGTTGACCATGGTGAATCGCAGGGCATCAGCACCACACTGGGGGATACCTTCAGGGAAGGCAGTCTTCTGATACTTGGTGGCCTTTGTGACCTCGCTGGGGTGTAGGTTACCTTGCAGAAGCTTGTCGTGGAGAGACTGCAACTGGATACCTGAGATGACATCCAGGGGATCAACGACGTTACCCAAACTCTTACTCATCTTGCGACCTTCTGAATCTCGAACAAGACTGTGGCAATAGACCTCCTTGAATGGGATATCGCCCGTCATCTTGAGACCGAGCATGATCATTCTGGCAATCCAGAAGAAGAGAATATCCCAACCTGTCTCGAGGACCTCTGTGGGGTAGAGAGTTTGGAGGTCGTGGGTGTTGTTGGGCCAGCCGAGGGTGCTGAAGGGCCAGAGTCCAGAAGAGAACCATGTGTCGAGAACATCCTCATCTTGCTCAAGTGTATATGTCTTGCCAGGGAGTGCAGCCTTAGCTTTCTCCTCAGCCTCCTCTCGTGTTCGGCCGGCAAACCAGAGCTTCTCCTCAGGGATATCTCCAGCGCCGCCCTCGATCTTAGCGTAGTAGACGGGACATCGGTGACCCCACCAGAGCTGCCGGCTGATGCACCAGTCGTTGATGTCCTCAAGCCATCGGAAGTAGCTCTTCTCAGCAGTCTCTGGTCGGATCTTAATGCGTCCGTCTCGAACAGCAGCCAAGGCAGGCTCAGCGAGTTCCTTCATGCGGACCCACCATTGGGGTTTCAGAAGAGGCTCAATGATATCCTTGGACTTTTCGCACAGAGGGACCTTCATGGCGTTGTCCTTCTTGTCAACATATAGACCCTTGGCCTTGAGATCATCCTGGATAGCGTAACGGACATCGAATCGCTTCTGGCCCTTGTAAGCGCCGGTGTTCTCGTTCATAAGACCATCGTCGGTCAAGATGTTGATAAACTCAAGGCCGTGCTTCTGGCCGAGAGTGAAATCGTTAGGATCGTGAGCTGGAGTAAGCTTGACGGCACCGGTACCGAATTCCATGTCGACATACTCGTCGGCGATGATGGGTAGCTTGCGGCCCTCGATAAAGGGGTGGATGGCAGTCTTTCCGATAAGGTGCTTATACCTCTCGTCCTTGGGGTGGACAGCAATGCCGGTATCACCAAGCATAGTCTCAATACGGGTGGTGGCGACCTCGACAAGCTCATCGGAACCTTCAATGGGGTACTTGAAGTGGACAATGACGCCGAATTCGACCTTCTTGTCGTATCCAGGGACTTCGAGCAGGGTACGGCCTGTCAACTCCTTGTTGACGACTTCAAGGTTGGAAAGTGCAGTGTTAAGCTTCGTGCACCAGTTAACAAGTCGGTTTGCTCGGTAAATAGTTCCCTCCTCGTGAAGCTTGACCCAGGTCTCTGTAACGGCGGCAGACAAGTTCTTGTCCATGGTGAAAGCTGGTTTCCGTTAGCAATTTCTCTCCTCCAACAAGCTTGGGGCTGACGTACCCTCTCTGCTCCAGTCAAAAGATCCTCCCAGACTGGTCAGGGCCTTGTTGATGCGTTTGTGGTATTCGTCCTTCCACTTCCAGACAGTGTTAACGAATTCCTCACGGCCAAGGTCATGTCTTGTCTTGCCCTCCTTTCTCCAAAGCATGTTCTCAACAACGCTCTGCGTAGAGATGCCAGCATGATCGCATCCGGGCAACCACAGGGTAGTCTTGCCTTGCATACGGTTCCATCTAATCATGAGATCCTGAAGGGAGTCACCGAGAGCGTGACCCATGTGCAGAGCACCAGTAACATTGGGAGGAGGGTGAACAATGACGAACTTGCCCTCGTCCTTGACACTGCCATCGGGCTTGAACTCGGGCTTGAAGAAACCCTCCTTCTCCCACCAGCTATACCATGCAGACTCGACCGCAATGGGGTTGTAAGCCTTGAAATGGGGGTCTTCAAATGATCGAATTCGCTTCTTCTCGCCCTCGGGGGTGTCTTCGACGTATTCGGGGAGAGGCTCCTCCTCGACCTTCTTTTCCTTAGGCTTCTTTTCTTTGGCAGCTTTGGGGGCGGTGGCAGCAGCCTTTTGCTTCTTTGCTTCGAACTTGGCCTGTTTCTCGGCCTTCTTTCGTTCTTTTTCCACTGTGAAATCATGTCAGGGGATGCATCGAAAAGTGTCAATGGACTGCGTATTACATACACTCCTTCTCGGTCTTCACCTTGGGCGCACCGGCGGTGGCTGCTGCGCCGGCATCCTGACCTGTAGCGTGTGCACCGGTGGCAGACTCGACAATCTCCTTCTTCTCCGCGGCGGGAACGGCTGGAGGGGTGCTGGTAGCGTCCTGAATGCCCTCGCTGGCGGCGACTATGATTTTATGATTAGTATCAGCATTGTTGATCCAGAAGGCTGTATCAAACTTGGGTTTCCTCGGCCACTGTTGGTCGCCATATTTACTCGCGTGGTTGTTAAGGGTCGGCTTGCTCTTGGAGAAACAGATCGCACCCTCAGTGCTCGAACCGCGAGTCTAAACGTCGTGCCGGAGATGACTGAATGAAGCCCGTATACTGAGGGCTTCAAGCAATGACCTGCACCTCGAATTGATATAGGTAGATGTTGTGTGACTCTTACCAGCTACAGCACTGTAATTTCGAAGATTGAGTCACCCGGTTCTGATGGTGGGGGATAACTTTTAGTTCATGGAGGGGTACAGAAAGTGTGGCGTAGTAGCATTAACATTGATATAATTCATAGTTACTGTGTCAAATCACATCAAATTATTAGAAATAATGCCAACCCGGTTCATGTGACTCATTAATTGATTGATAGGTGTTGCTCATCACTTAAAATGCTCATTGTTATTCTGATGACTCCCTTCTTACACCAACGATATCGGACCACCATGTTTCAGTTGGGCCAGTACTGTAGACTGTGGCGCAGCAGTTCACCAGCCACAAAGGCTCAACCCAGCGATGTGAAGTGCCTGAGCTGGATGTCGTCTTAGACTAGGTGTCTCCCTATGCAATAAGTTGAGACGAAATTACTCCAAAGGCCAAGATTAGAACATCTACTCCAACCTTGAATATTTGGTGTGACCAGTCTTCGAATTCTGTCCCAATGGCCCTGCGGCTGGCATTGAGAGCTCCTGAGAGCCGTCTCTGCAATCGCATTTCGACCACAACTAGGAGGGTATACTCAACAAGTAAACAATCGGATTACTTTACTGTTGAGCTGAGTCCGAAGATCAAAGTAAGTTCTGTAACAAGTAGAATTGTCGAATTTGCTAACCCTCCACAGGATCCCTCAAAACTATTAAAAACCGTCAGATCTCAGATCCACATCACCAATCCTAGCCGCCACGATGCAGCAGTTGTACTCACAACTCCACAATATGCGCAATGGCTAGGCAAGGATGAATTTATGTCTGAGTTTGTAGATATGCTGTCAGGTTCTGATGGGACCGGAGAGTTCCATACTCTGGGCGCTGTTGTTGACCACATCGCCCCGCCAGTGCCGAACAACAAACCCATTCAGGGGCTATCTATCCTCCGTGGTAATCTCGACACTATCCTACCAGGACTATGGACAAAGGCGCCCCCAAAGGAATGGTCGGATGGTGGGAAGGTGTCAGCTCTAACGATGGATCTTGGCAACCCGCATATCACTATCCCTCTTACCAACACCACTTTTCAGAACCACAGGACCTCGACACTTATCATTAGCCGTTACGACTTGTCAACCGGCTCTCCAAAACTTATTGAGCAAACTGATACAAAGCATTTGCAGAAAGTAAACATTCCTTTTCGGAAAAGGCTCCCGTCAATCAATGACCTTGGTATCTGGGCTCCCCTCGTGCCTTTGACTCAACCCCGTGTGGTGACTGAGAGCTTTGGTAATATCGTACGGCGAGTCGACATCGAAGATGAATCAGTTCCAGCATCAAATGAGCTCGAGCCAGCAGTGAACGAGCTCCATGTCAGCAAATCGGACTTAGTTCAGTCTCCTATGGGCATTTGGGCAATGATCACACCTCCGACTTTTGTTCAGTCAGGGGGCAGCTCGCCCTATGTCAATCCGGATCCCGAGGCAACATTTGCTGATGGCCAAAGTATCACGGAGCTAACGGCTTTAACCTCCGATCAATTGGGTATCCTGTATAGGCAAGGGGGTCGATTATATCAAGTTTGTAAGCAAACTCTACAGTCCCTGTGCCTGATTTCATCCATTAACAGCTTGCAGTGAGTGGTGGCGGCGGTTGGGGGGCAAAGAAGGGTTTGCTGTCGCTTGACCCCGAGCAAACTCACTTTGTTGTATCTGAAGAAGAAGAGATGCAAAGGTTCATCCAAGCTATGGAAGGGGGCAATTTTGTCCCTGTGAGTTCCAAAATCCAGTTCTTTGCATCAACAGATTCTTCTGCTAGCGAGCCGGTCGGAAAGAAACAAACCGGTGTGGTGTTTGGAACATCCAGCAAGGTCGAGGATGAAACTGATGCGAGTCCATATCAACCTGAGGCACGATTGTTGGAGAATCATTTCGGCGCTCTCTCCAACGTAGGCATATTTGTAACCTCATCTGATGCTTCCATGTTTTCGAAACCTGGGTTCAACAACGACTGGAAACTCAACGTGCCTAACTCTCGAATCTATATTGTATAGGTCAGCACGGTGTTGATGGTCTTCACTAGCGGTTGTTGTATGTATTATAAGAATGTATAAGTACCCCTCCCAGCGACTAGAGATGGCTGTATGTGTATGTGAATAATATTCTGCCTGCGTTTATTTATTGTGGCCTTTGCTTCTTGTGCAATCCTTCCGCTGCCGCTGCGGCGACATCATCCAGCGTTGTTCCCCTCTTCCTCTTGCCCGTCTTCTCGTTTCCAAGTACTTCATTCTCCGCAATATCTTTGTAGACACTCGCGGCACCCATGAACATCCTTTTATCCCAGCCCGCTTCCTCATTGAAAGTGAGAGCAATCTCCTCCATCTCTCGCACCCAGCGATACGCCTTAGGTGGCATGCCGGGAACGCTCTTTTCAGCGTTGGCAAGCATGGCTGGATAAAATGTACCAATCTCATCTTTAAGAGCGCCTAAGACGCCAAGATTATGTGCAGTCGTGAACGATTGAGTGGCAATGGCGGTGAATCCCTTTGAAAGGGAAGCAAAGCACATTTTTAGACCACTTGCAGCGCCGATATCAGGAGAGATTTGCTTCATGTTGAGAACAGATATCAGTTTCTTTCCAAAAGGGAGCGAGCTGAAACCATCCGAGCCTGATATAGGAATGCTAGGACGGTACCAGTCAGAAGAGTCGTTGCTGCTTGATGATTCTGTTGCGGCATCGGTAGACGTCTTCTTGGGAGGATGCCCAAGAATGCTTCCGTCAACGAATCGTATAGGCAGGTTTTCTCTCTTAACAGATGCCGCAATGGCCTTGACTGTCGAAGGTGCAACAGCATTGAGATCGACAAAGTAAAGCTCTTTCGTAGTCTCTAAGCCTGCTAACGCATCTGTAATACGAGTGGCTGTTGCCTCTGCGTCTTTAGGCGGCACAATGGAGAGTATAACGGAACTCTGCCTGACCAGATCAACATCAGACTCGAGGAGCTCAACTTCTGCATCCCGAGCTCGTTCGATGGTATCTTTGCTTGAGGAACCGTTAGTAGACATCTCACTCTCCTTGCTTGATTTATCAGTTACCTTCTGCCAGAGATATTGGTTGCAACGGTGAAACCGTTGGCAACTAGTAGTTTTGCAATACCGACCCCCATATCGCCAATGGACAATAGTCCAATTTTGGGTAGAGATTCGAAGGTAGCTGACATCTTATGATTGATAATCAATTCAAATTGGGCGCTATGCGTTGGCTTGAGGTAAATAGGTGATGGAGATAGGTTGACGCGGGGAACTAGGGTAAGTGAGCTGCTATAAGAACCTAAGAGTACCATTTACTGATCCTTATTGAATTAAGATATTGTAAATTTTCAATAACGTTCCAATAATGAAGGGGGAAAGCTACTTGCTTTATGCATAGGTAGTTATCAATGAAATATATTGCTGCTCTTTAGCAGGAGCAGATATTAATCTAGTGGACAGGTTGATAAACAATATCTCGGGTTTCGTTTCTCAGAGATATGCCTATCTCAGTTGAAGCACTTCTTCTCGACGGAGGAGAACCCGACGCTCAAGACTCAATAACCACGATGAATGCACACGCCATGGCCCAAAGGTATATGAGATACAATAAATATACTAGATCTTGACGTCTTAGCTACTCACCTATCATGCTCTAGGCGTCGAGGAAACTTCAAGTGATAGAACCGGAATCAAATGATTACCGATCCTGCCAAACGGGTGACAGACTAGGCGTATTGCCAACTTCACTTGATTACTACAGGGCATATTGTAGGTATGTAGGCGAGTTAACAAGATGCTACGGGATTTGCTGACACTGAATCGAGATTCAAGGATCGCATGGTTATTACGTGGATATGGAAAAGTGTCGAAGTTGGGAGAGCGAGGTGGGTGCGGGGCTTTCAATGAACGATACCAGTGCCTTTGTTATTTCATAAGGCATCGATCGATCAACTGAGGATGAATTGCAGTTGAAAGTGACAGTGATATCCCCGCCGTTATCTCCAACGGGCGCTATGACTTAGTACGCAGTCCACTCTGTGGGCGTTCATTCCATCCGTATATATATATAGTAGCTCAATATATTAGCGAATGTGAGCAACCGAACGTGTATAGGCTCAACAGTTTTCAAAATCATCAGCTACGTGGAAATGGAATGGTTTCGAATGATATGATCAAAATGAACCGAGGCCTATACAGCGATAAGTTGTTTCTTGGTGGTCAAGGTCGACGTCACTCTTCAAGGATCCCACCCTGTTTCTGGTGTCGCGGGGAACCATTCATGGCCCAATTCGATTCGCCTCCGAAGACATAAAGCACATGATGACGAACCTTTGACGGGCAGTGGAGGCTATAGACTGTCACTGAAGATATGATACATAGAATCGAAACCCGTAATTCAAACTATTCATTATCGACCAAAACCCAACGAGTTTATTGATCGTACCCAAAACGTCGACAACATCAACTAATAGCCCATCATGCTCTCTCCTCCTCAACATCAACATGATACTGCATCAGCATCCTCATCCAGAACTACCAGATCATCACAAGACAAACACAACAACAAGAAAACAGAGCCTATTCCAACTTCAACCCCTCGACAGCCAGACGAAATCGAAGAAGTGGATACGACAGTACCAGTAAAGACGTATCAACCAAAGCAGAAGCAGAAAAGAGTTGAACCGTCACCTGACAAAGATACCGACGATGCCGAGAGTGTACATCTATCATCCGACGAAGACACATCAGATGAAGACTCCTCAGACTATGACTCAGACTCAGAAGGTAGCGTGGAAGAGCTGCCTCCTCGGCAACTATCGAGGAGAGCAACAGATCGAAGTGTAAAAACAACTCCTGGGTCGCCATTCACAATCACCCAGACACGAAGCGAAACTACTCGCTGGATATCAACACAGAACAATGGAGGCATGATGCGAGGGGCCAGAACTGTCAACCAGCAGACAACATTGCATGGACACAACGTCAATGGACCACAGCCAAGACCGAGCAATAGGAACAGTATCAGCTTCAACATGAGCGTCAATGTTGACATGTCCTTCAACGGCCTCGTCACAGGCCGAAACCTGGGCTTCACAGGGGTAGGCATTCTGCCATGAGTTTCTTTTACTTTTTGGAATTCAATCGAAAGGTTGCTAACAAGTGCAGGGATCACTATCATATGCATGGAGCCGGCGTAACACGCAAGGGGGTTGATGTCCTCTCTTTTCATGTGGACTATTTGGCTATAGGCAACCAAATTATTAATGACAACTTCGAAGGTGGGATTTTAGGTGTAAGGCGCTAAACATTCTGGTGGTGTACATAGTTGTGAACATGACAGATATCAAACTCAAGTATCATGACAACAAAGCTACTCGATCATGTCAATATCGTCGGTCGCAGCTTGAGCTTCAGTCTGCGCCGGTGCCTGTGTTTGAGCAGGGGGTGCATCTTGCTGGTCAGCAGGTTCGGCGGCCTGCGCGTTGTCACCGCCGCCAAAGTAATCCGCCATCTCTGCATCCAGCTCCTCCTGTGTCTTCTTTCCACGAGGGTTGCCCCGTCCGCCGCGTCCGCCCTCCTGATCTCTGCCCCCATCTCTGCCATCGCGTCGAGCTCCAGGGCGACGACCACCCTGTCCTCGGCCCCGACCACCCTGTCTAGGCATTGGGCTGCGACGAGGACCCTGACCGGGAACATATCTATCGATTCCTCTGCGGGCAGCATCGTCGTCATCATACCGGCGATGGGGAGAATGGGATCTTCGTTCCCCCGGACTCGAGATTCGCTCTGCCAGTGGACGGCCGGGCATAACGGCGGTATCAAATGGGTTTCGCGAGGGTAGCAGAGTCAATCGAATGGGTTGACCTGGTTTCTGTTAGTCAGGTTGCACAACTCGGCAAGCTGGCTTTTCACTCACCATTGGCATTGGCACCATCAAACTGCTTGACCGCCTCCTGAGCGTCCTCCTTCAGTTCGTACGTCACGTAAGCAGTACCCTCTGATCGCCCAGCGCGGTCATACCGTAGCTGAAGGCGAACAACTGGGCCAATTCTTCGAAATAGCTCCTATATGCCTGTGAGCTGCTGTGTAGTAATTCCAGCCATGTGATCCACCTACATCCAGGTCTTCTTCAGTGAGATCATAGTGAATGTTGTCAACTCTGAGCTTGACGCCCTTGGACTCCCTATTGTGCACAAGGTTAGGGAGATCGCGATTGTTGATTGGTGAGACTCACTGGTCTGGGGATTCGCGGCGGCGGCGAGGAGCAGGAGCTCGGCGGTTGTCTGGACAAGTGTCAAAAGGGCGTCCTGGGCAGGAAGGGTTTTCAAGTATTACTGTTCTCTTCGAATCGGTCATGGACCCATTCGCTGTGTACAGTTAGCAAGCGAGAGGAGTAGGAAGGCAAGACTTTGACTGACCTATCAAGGTTTCGTGAATCGTCGCGAACGGACTGTAAGTGGGAGGGACGCTCTGGTCAGCAAGGGATTTTCAGAGTGGAAAGCCGTTCAATCGACAAAAGCTCCGAGCACCGAAAGGACGAGTTGCGAGGAGGGTTGTACAGGTCGAGTTGGCATCATTGGAGGGCGAGGGAAGTCAACCTGCACCGCCGACGTCAACAAAGACTCATGATGAAGGCCGAGTTGCCGTTTGAGGAGAAACCAACCTTTCTAACACCATCGCGAGGGTAGTCATTACGGGGTTCACGTCGGCGACCTTGGCCACGGTGGTTGCGAGGTCGATTGGCGCGCTGCGAAAGAAAAAGTCAGCCTGGGTTGATGCGAGACGGGGGCGCGTTCATGTACTGCGGGAGACGGTATGAAAGTATAGGAGGGAGATGAGAAAGACGTACAGTATCAGCGATGATCTCATCGAGACCGCGATCCATCTTGTCAGCCATATTTGCGTATATTTGCTGCGAAGCTTTGCAGAATCCGCGACGAATTCGGCAAGTTGAGGTTGAAATTGAAGAGGAGAGCTGTGTTGCTTTACAAAGTTGGGCCAAGGTTGTCTACGCACATGCGAAGGATGGATTGAATGTCATGGGTGGGTGCCACAAATCAAGGCTTCAAGCCACAACCTGGGCGTTGAATCGTGGTGGAGCCTCTATTATTAGTGCGACAATACGAGGAAGGACTTGATAATGATATTGTTGGGTTTCGGGCGATCGAACAGGACCAATTTACAATTGAAACAGTTTAGGAGACTCGAATACCACTGATATTAGTTATTTGTCAAGCATCATACCGTCAGATTGATCAGAACAAGACCATTGCCGAGGGGCCTCGACCAAGCCTCTTTTTAAACTTCACTTCACTGGAGAGGTCTAATGGAGACGAGAAGGCCTTGGATGACAGCAATATCGAATATGTAGAACCTCGAATTCTCACTGACTTTCAAATGATTCCAAACGTATAAACGAATTACGGCCTCAGCCCTCAGACACGATGATACTTTCCAGAGTTCAGGCCTCTCCGAGCCTCCAAATCACAAGTATCTTGTATCTGCATGGATAGGTGCTACTGGGATTCACCGATGGGACGGGTCTCAGCGCTAGACCTGTTCTGGGGACTCAGCCAACTGAACCCTTGAGTCGCTGTGTCTTCAGTTAATTATCCCTTTGGAGGCCAGAGAACCACTTCGTATTCCTGTCATATTACCCCTTCGCTCAGTCTCATCTGCTACGACCGTTTCTTCTTTTTCTCTCGTCTGTCTTTTGCCTCTTCAAAGGCTATAATTGAGAATTCAACCGTTTATACGAATCTATCTAAACCCCCTATCAACTTATTCCTGAGGTGTCCCTTGCGGCGCATCTTGAACCAGCTTCAACATTTAATTTGATGCCCACGACTTCCTTGCGATAGCTGGTGCTGTCGCACTCTCTGGCATATCCGAAGACTTCGCCGCGTCTCAGGCGCATTAATACAACTCTCATGGCCCGACCCATGGGGGCGGTTCGTCTCAAGAAGACGAATCCCTTGACCCTCGCGCTCGGAGCGATCCTGTGCATCTTCATCATCGTCTTCCTCGTCTCCCCGTCGGGCAAATCCGCCACCGCTCGCCGATTCGAGTCCATAACTGCAGAGCATCATCTCTCGCCGCCGACTTCACCGTACCGAAAGTCAAAATCTCGATCTGGCGTACCGCTCAAGCCACCACCCGTTGTGCACTACAACCTTAACAATGTCACCATTACGACCTCGCCCATCGCGAACCGAGAAAATGTCCTCATCCTGACCCCCATGTCTCGATTCTATCCTGGCTACTGGGACAATCTTTTGCGCTTGACTTATCCTCATGAACTTATCACCTTGGGGTTCATCCTACCCAAGACCAAGGAGGGCAACCAAGCCACCACCGAACTCCAAGAACACATCCACAAGACGCAGAAGCATGGCCGTGAGGGCGACAAATTCAAGAGCATCATCATTCTTCGTCAAGATTTTGATCCTGCTATTGTTTCGCAGGATGAAGCCGAGCGCCACAAGCTTAAAAACCAGAAGGCCCGTCGTGAGGTTATGTCGAAGGCCCGGAATTCGTTACTGTTCACAACTCTCGGACCCGATACCTCCTGGGTCCTGTGGCTAGATGCCGACATCATTGAGACTCCTACAACCCTGATCCAGGATCTCGCCTCCTTTGATAAGCCGCTCATTGTCCCAAACTGCTTCCAGCGATATTACGACGAGGAACATAAGCAAATGGCCGAGCGGCCATACGATTTTAACAGCTGGCAAGACAGCGAAACAGCGCTGGCACTCGCTGCCAAGATGGGACCGGATGAAATTCTTCTCGAGGGCTACGCTGAAATGCCAACATATCGAATGCTTATGGCATACCTGGCTGTTGAGGGCGGCGACCGTAATCTGGTTATCCCACTTGACGGAGTTGGAGGTACTGCCCTTCTAGTCAAGGCAGATGTGCATCGCGATGGTGCCATGTTCCCTCCCTTCCCCTTCTACCATCTTATTGAGACTGAGGGATTCGCCAAAATGGCTAAGCGATTAGGCTGGCAACCATATGGCCTGCCCAATTACAAGGTCAGTCATTTCTCTGTTGCAACCAACATCTGGCACTAATGACTTTCTAGGTCTATCACTATAACGAATAACGTTGCCACGCCTTCACGAGGGCAACATGATCCAGCTCCTTTTGCGGCCCCTGTCTTCTAGTTCTTATGCCAAGAAGATAAGCATGCTGCCCTGGGATTAGGATATTAAATAGTTGCTTAATAGCTAGTGGGCAAATCACGATTCAATTTGGGCGGGTACAGGTCATGGCGTTTAGTAGTGCATCCTCTGAACATTTATTCAAAAACAGAGGGGAATGGAAGCCTCGTTGCCAAAAAACAGCGCGATAGCTTCAGGGAAGCTATCATGGCTTGTTAAAGATATGCATATTGTATTGGTTTACAAATTTCTGTAAGAACATTCAGGCATTCAATGCGAAAGTGGAGGAAGAATCATGGAATAGATGGGCATCTGCGAGTGCGTGTGTTATGCTGTTCACATACAAGTTTTGAGGTCATTCTCGAATAGGTTGTCATCTCGTGAATTTTGTTTCTCAAATCGAGTTCGTATTTGTAATATTATTACTGAGAATCATGCGATACTGCTCAACCAACAAACTTATGAACATCTGTAAGCCCAATCTGACATCCAACTGACTACCTAGGTATATTAATAAACCTTCTATAGGAACCATAACTCCATATTGTAACCCCCGAATTCAAGCATATACCTCATCTTCAACCGGTGCAAACTCCATAGCTAGCATTTCAAGGCCCCTCATACCGCCCATCAGAATCCCGACACCAAAACTCGACAAGCTTCCTGGTACCAAGCACATCGCCGGAGCGCAACAAGGCCGCAACGTCTACGTTAAGTGGGCTATCGGTCTCAGGGCATCCTAGTAACATGCGCACGGCTCGAACACACTCCAAGACACTATACGCAGGTGTCCATGCGTCCTTGAGCAGGTCCAGGCAGATCTCGCCAGTTTGAAGGGCAATATTCGGGTGAACAACGGGCGTGACGAACGTCATCTTTGGTGGTGCGAGGGGGTAAGTCGATGGGATGGAAATATTGATAAGCCAGCGTCCCTCTGCAAGATGTTAGTAGGTGAAGATGGCAAAATCAAGAGTTGGGCTGACCATCGTAGCCGTGGCCTATATCTCGTCCATTGATGACGGCTTCCCACTCCATCAAGTCGCCCTCATTGACTGGTCCAAGACGTTCGATGCCCTTCTCTTCCTTTTGCTCTGTGCTCCATGTGTCCAACTCCTTTATCAGTCGTCGACTTGCGCTTCGCGACGCAGCGACTGAGTTTGATGACGATGGTGGCATTGCTTTGGTTGAATGCGATATCAGGGCTAGGCGGAGTAATGATACGGCGAGGAATTTATCAAGGTTATGAGTTCAAAGAGTTTGGGCGGGATCCTTGAAGTTGGAGTTGGAGTTGGGGATGGGACGAGGTTCCAGCTGGTCTGGGGTCGTGACTTATTTCGTCACGTTTGAGCTGTTGAGCTCCCCTCGGCATGCCTAGTTGGCGACTCATTACAGGGGTAAGGTCGGCCAGAGCCGAGGGATGCTCGATACTCAAAATACCTAAGGTACCTAGGAGATGTAGGTACTTGTCTGACCTAGGAAAGTACTGTCCAACCTAAGGTACCTGGGAGGCTAGCCTACGTACGGACTACTAGGCCCCTGGCTCGGTACTATAACTGCCAGCTCAACGGGCCAGTGGCTGTGGCAGCGTGGCTCAAGCTTCATGTCTAGCGACCCCTTTCATGTGGAAAGGCTTCTTACACGATGTCATGAACTTGGCCATATTCAACAACAAAGACTAAGAGATGGATACATTCTGGCAAGACGAATCGATAGTCTACAAATAATGAATAGAGATGTGAATTTTCTGAACAGGGTGGTATTTTTCTCCTATAGTCTAGCATCATAACTCTCTACTTTTTCCTTCGCCCACCATTCGCCGCAGGCTTTCGCTTGGACGTGGATGATGAGGCAGAAGTACGAGGTGGATTCCTCCTGACTGGCTCGGGCTTAGAAGGCTCAGGAGATGATTCTTCAACGACAATTTGAGCTCCACTGCCAACATCATCGCTAGATGTCGTCTCTACTGATGCTTCTCTTTCCTCATCAGACTCATCCTCGCTCTCGCTCTCTTCCTCGCTTGACCCGTCGATTTGACGGGATCCCCGTGATGAACGCTGGGCCCCTGAGAATTGTCTCCATGATCCAGCTGGACTCGAGGCCTGGGCGCCTGGAACCTGGAACTGAAAGGGATCGAGGGGAGCTTGACTCGAGTTCCTACCACGACGAACAATCACCGAGCTATCAGAAGGCTGACGACTATTAGAAGGGGCCCTAACTCTACTTTGAGGTCTTTGTGACGAGGTCCCTGAGCGTGGTCGGCCGGCTGTCGCTGGTGGTGGGAAATAGCCCATGGAAGGGCGTGACGAACGGTCTTGATCCTCGGTAAGGTTGCTGTTAGAAGAAGATTGCCGGGCTCGCGACTGTGTGCGTGGTTGACTAGAGACCGGGGGTGCTTTCTTTTTGCGCGATGACGGCTCGAGCTGGGTAAGTGGCACAGCGACTCGCTGGTCCTTACGTTTCTTGCCGCTCTTCTTCTTCTTCGCTGCCTCGTCTCTCTTTCGTCGTCGCTCCAGAGCACCCATTTCTTCCTCGTTGAGATCAACATCTGTTCTTCCCTTGGCCTTTGCACGCTCGATTCTGTGCATTGCCGACTGGACCAGGGCTTCCTCCCGATCACGAACAGCCAGTTCGGCAAGATACTGTTCAAACTCCTCATCCTCACTGCTGTCACTGTCATCCTCCGAGTCCTCCGAATCCTGATAATCACCCCTTCGTACCAAGCCCCGTTCTCGGTTACCCAAATCTATTCCCGTAAAACGAAGAGAATCGCTAGCAAAGCGGGTACCTGAACTGGCACCAACACCTCGTGCATCCTCATCCGAATCCAATTCCTCCACACGAACGTCTCTTCCTTGACGTCCGCGAGACGCAGAGTCCCCGTCTGTTCTCCTCCGACTGCGCCTCGATGGTCTTCCCCATTGGGGCGCGAATTCGGGAGATTGCGGCCGACCACCTAGACCGCCTCCCCGGAAAAAGCCTCATCGATGGGCTTGTCCAAAAATGCAGCGTGACCGAGGATGGTCACGCCAGATGCGCCAATGAGCCAGAGTAGGGTAGTGAAAGGTGAAGCAATCAGACCCAGAGGAACGGCGACGCAAACGAGTGCAGTATAAAGCTGCGAACAAGAAGCACGGAAAGTGCCAATCTCGAGATCATGGCCATCGAGCTTGCCAATGAACCACATGCCGACAACTACAAGGATGATATCAAAGAGCAGCAACCAGTTTGTGAGCAGGGCGTAAATGCTCAGCATAACAAAGATAACAGCATAGTTGCTGGAGTAGTGGCTCAAGTTGTAGTTGACGCGCGACTGCATCTCAACAAAGTTGGCAGGCTTAGAGAGACGCTTGAAGTCGAGAAACTCGCCAACGGGTCGCAAGTTGGAGAAGCGGCCGCTGAGGGGACCAGATCGAAGACCCTGGAAGCGATCGCCGAAGTTGAGGCGGGACGTGATAACGTCGAGAGGGATCTGAATGCGAGACATGATGGCTGATTCGTGCGACGAACTCTCGTAGAAAGGGTTTGATGTTGTTGGTGTGGAAGGAGTATAGACTACCTAGTGAATCGAGTGGATGCTTTTATGGCCTTGGAGGGTAGGCAACAGAATTATCGATCCGGAATTGCGTGTTCAATGTGAAAGAATGGATACTCTGGTGATGAGCTGAATGAAGAAATTAGAAGTTAGCGCAAAGAAAGTGATAATGAATGTGGATTCAGGCAGCAGAGAAAAATTGAGGACAAGCTGGCAGGAAGAAATAACACATGTTAAGGGGATGGGATACGAGGCGCAGGCTAATCAAAGGAGAAGCCACAAGCTGACGAAAAGGATAACTTTGGTATCTGGGTAAAAAGGGGCAAACATACCGAGACGCAGTTTTATCAGCAACTTCGAAAAGGCTTTGAGTCCAAGAATGAACGGAATGTTGCAAGATTAATTGCACCGTGATGGTGGGAGAAGGGGGAGTTTAATTTGTTGTTCTGTACGGGAGTAGTGCAATATCCAGTGATAAACTGGTACTGTCCAGATTACCGATAAGATTGGCTGTCCTTTTTAGGGGACAACTTTTTTTTCCTCCGAGACGTGATTTGCTAGAGGGACGCGTCTCCTGTCAGCTTTGGCTTCCTCGCTTCAGGGCTTCAGGCTTCAGGCTTCAGGCTTCAGGGGTGGTCAGTCTCTCCAGCCCGGCAGGGCCAAGACTGACTGATCTCCACAGCTGAAGGGATATCTCAAAAAGGTACGTACCTCGGAATGGAATCAGCCCCAGAGGTGAAGGTGGAGGTGAAGGATGAGGCGGTGATGGAAGGAATTCGATATGTACGAAATATTCGGTCAGGGAGATGAACCAGTAAAGGTTGCTGATCTCCAGCCAGTTTTACACTGGGCTGGCAGCCCGCAACAATGCCTCTCCCTTCCGATAGAGAGAGGCTCGATGAGTATATTTGAGCTCAATTCTTGTCGTCTTCTCCTCTCCAACCCAAACAGATGAGGTTTTATTGGAGGAGGGCCATATCAATGACTGACCTAGAAGAGAAGAAGAAGGGAAAGGGAGAGGAAAGACGAGGGAAGAAGAAAACTAAATACAAAGGCTAGCTCCGCATTTTTCTTGCTTCACTCTTGATACCTTATAATGGACGGGTACCAATAAGAAAATACACAAGAACAAAAATAAATAAACAAAAGAGCCCAACCACGCACAACACGATCAGCATTGGATCGAATTGCACACCGCAATCCTCTCTTCTTTCCTCTTCCGCTGGGACCCGATGGGGACTTGGCCATTCCGGGAGCTTGCTTGTAGCTCGTACAGCTAAAAACCGGGTTGTAACTTTTTTCCTGCTCCTCTCCAAACAACGCGAATGCAGAGCAGAGCAGAGAGGGGCCTCACGCTTATGCACGCGACACCAGTTGCAGCAAGCCAAGTGGAAGACGAGGCGTCACCGCTACTGATGTGTGCCTCAGCATCTTTCTCATTGTTCCAGGCGGAAGAAATAGTACCTAGACTAGGTAGGTGTTGTGGTAAGTTGGTCGAGATCGTTGTCAAGTTTATTAGATTGGTACTGTACGCACAGAGGAATGGAATACTTGTCTGACTGTGCTATGAGTAAAGTAACTTATTCATCATTCTATCAACCTGCGAGAGGGGAAACTTACAGTTACTAGGTTAGTAGGTACCTAAGTTTTACAGATACAACTCAGGCCATATCAGACCAGGCCACTTCAGCAGAATTGGATCTCTCTCCATTGTATCGTTACACGATCCAACCATCATGATCCACGATCTATCTGTAGATCCACCCAATGCATGCCACTCCAACCTCGAAGCTCCATTGAAAACCGTTCCGAGCTGCCCAAGCCAGCTCTACCTTACCTTTCCATGTACCACCGTCCTAGCTCTTCAATGTTGATCGAAAGATTACCCACAATCTTCTAAGGCATCCCATCAAGTTTTATTCGAGACTGACTCTGAGGGTTTGGCTTGGTTTTGAGTCGGTATCTCACGAAAAAAAAGAAAAAAACTCAATCCCGTGGGACTAATAACTCCTGTAAGTTATGACCTAGAGGCCTATGTACTGATACCTCGTCTCTCAGACCTTGTCAGATTCTTCATCTTGACTTGCTCCTAGCTACGGAGCAGGACCCATTGATCCATTGCCGACCCCCGTACCCCCGGACCGCTTCCTTGGCTTGTCTCCGAATCGGCCTGAAGCCGAACCGTTCTAAGCCATTCAATCCCTCCCCTCCACTAGAACTGATCACCGTTGCATGAGTGACCGCCATCTGAGAATGGAGATGAGATGCTTTTCCTCGGAACTCAAGGACTTAGAGTAGGCAAAGTTTACAACAGGATCAAAGAGAAGTCCGAGCTTCTCATCAACATATGCCATCATGAACTTTTCTCATGCCATGAAACAATATCTCGAATTCGTACTTTTACATTGGCTATACGTCAAAACATCATGTTTCAGGATACATGTAAACACAAAGTAATGAGCAATGCGAATGCTATGCTATCATCATGATAAGGCATGAAATATTCAGCAACATGCCCAAAGTTAATGCCTCACTTATATCTGATATGTTCTTCTTCCAGCTGTATTGAGCTTGTCCAAACAACGCTCGCTATGCCTGTCTCTATTGGCCTTGCCGCGCAACGATATGGGGTATAATTATGAATCGCCAAACACAAACGGACATGACAAAAGAAAAAACAATATGCTCAACCATCTTTCACGCTCACACCTCGAAAAAGTAATCCTCGTCAAGACCATCCCGGCTCGGTATCACTCCAGCTCCGGGCTCTGGACCATCAAATGCTGTGTCCATTCGGACATTCAATAGTCGGATCTTGAGCCCGTACTCGCTCACCAGGTTCACAAGCTTGTTGGTCTCTGCGGTTATGGGCGCTTGGTTCAGTAGCATCAAGAGTCCGTCCAGCCATTCCGAGGCCAGGCTGTGGCTCAGTGGCCACAAAGTAAAGATGGGCTGTTCCTTGCCATCCGTTCCCCTTGCCGCCTCCGTTGGGTTTACGAAACTGTAGACGGTGATCTTGGTTGTTGTCTTGGGAGTTGCATCCTTGCCCATCAAATCACTCATGGTGCTCCGGGTGTCTTCATTGGGCGCTGAAACATTGGATACAACAGAACTGATAGTACTGAGATCAACCTTTTCTCCCAACGAATCCAGGCTGGGCGCCGTTACTGTCTTTTCCTCGAAGTCGGCGTAGTGTAGATATCGTCGGTTATGAGAGAGTTTTGCATATCGCCAAGGTGTAGGTGTGAATAGTCTGTGCTTCACTGCGCCATTGTCTCGCTTAGGCGTCGGCTTCGAGAACCAAGATCCTTGTAGAAGGCATCGAATTCGCTGCTCCTTGACGAATTGCAGAGCCTCTTGTTTCAGCTCTTCTCTCACTTGTTGTAGGTGCTGACCCCATGTGCTTTCAAACGACATTTCCAACAGGCCCATTTGCTGCTCCCGTAGTCGCGGTACGTCGTACTCCTGCATCTCTTCTTCCACCTCGGCCACATCCTTGGTCCTTGTAGCTCCTCCGACAACGCAGTCGATCAGAATTCTAACCAGCTCGACCACCTTTTCAAAGTCACCCTGTTCCGCGCCAGTTAGTTTCCAGACACGGAAAAAGGCATACAAGCCGGCGGTGTGCAGCCGAGACCACTGGAGCAATAGGGGTCTGAATAATCTGTCGTGGTCTTTGGCCTCCAATAACTGGTAGCCCCTGACATCATCCAGATCCGTCTTGTCCACGTCGAAGTGGTCGTACAGTATCATCGTCACAGCGAAACTGGCCCTGGCCACGGGGCAGCGTTCACGTGCAGGCTTCCCTGCCTGTTCGAGCAGCAGCTTCTGAAATCCATCCTCATTCCTGCGGACGTAGTCGGTCAGGTCCATCATACCCAAGAAGCCAGTCATATCGAACTCCTGTGCAGGACTCTCCGTCTCGAATCCCAGTCTCCTCCATTTCTCGGGATTGTGACGCCTGCTGCCCTTCTTTCCTGGAGCCTCGTGCGACTCTTGTCCCGGGGAATGTCCGTTTACGTGAGCTCGCTCCGGTGCACTCGCCAGATGAAGTCCCTTGAGAGCCCTTCGGTGCTCCGGTCGCTCGAGATCAACGTCGACTTCGCGCCACTTCCTCAATAGAATTTTGGTTAACGTTTGAAACTCCAGCATGGGATGCGCCAGGTCCTGAAGCGCAGAACTCTGCATGAGCCTGTGAACCGCCTTGATAAGTCCCAAGTCTTGTAGCCGCTTGATGAACTTGGCCCAATCCTCTCCTGAACCTGCGTTAGCCTTTCCACCATTTGTTGTACTCTCCCCCGATACGGCGTCTCGGATCAGGGCGTTGATCAACATCAGTGCATTGGCACACAGGGCATGATCTGCGCTCTGCAGCTGCTGTATAACCAGCTCGAAGAAGTTCGGGTGCACAGCCACGGCGGGTTTCAGGGCGCGGAAGCCAAAGGTTCCTGGTGTTCGGTTCGCGGCATCACTTTGGTTGGTAGACTGGGAATGACCAACAAGTGCGACCAAGATAGACATGGCTCCTCTGAGGATATTGACAAGAGGGTTTGTAACGATCAATTCGACGACACGCTCGACGAGGTCGCTTGCGGTTGGACCCTCAAAGATATCCCATCCCATATCAACTTCCAGCAATCGGGTAAGACTTTGAAGAGAGTATGCGAGCGTGTTGCCAGCAGATGTCATGATGAGTCGACGGAGGACGACTAGACCGCCTGAGGATATGAAAACATCGGCAAATGCTGGATCATTAATCGAGTTTTGCAGTTTAAATACTGCCATCTTGCGCGAAGCATCTTCATCACTCGCCATTCGCGCCAGCAGCGCGGGGATGTCTGCTTGATCCATGGTCGAGGTATTGGTCCTTAGGTAAACAAACAGAGAGAGGGGACAACAAAGACCTTATGATGTTGCTATCACTGCCCGATGATGCATATCAAGAAAAGAATTGTATATGTTTCATATGTGAATTGGGCGATCAGATTGTACGTCGTATGGTTGAGAGTATAGGAGCAGGAGAGCACCTTGGCTGCGTTTGTGTTGCGTTTCGTCCCCTTAACCAAGGCCCCAAACAAAGACCCTGTCGAAATTAAACCAATTGCCAGAAAATGTTTGGGGAAGCTCTCCACACTAACTTGGACATTAGCCTCCCGGAGCTCTCAGGAGAGGCTTGCGTCTCAGGCCGATGAGAAGGGTATTGAATGAACCCTGTCAGAAGAATGGCGCTAGCTTTTAGTCAGATGTTTGATCTGTGGCGAGGAGGCTTATCAAGCCACAGAACGGAAGGCTGGAGTCTTCCATCGCACGTGAGAAGGTACGTACCTCGACAAGCATCTTCGACGCCTGCAATTGATTTCCATATTCGACCTCAAATCCTTCTTCAAGTCTTCATCAACTTGCTGTCGCCTCATTAGTCTACTGTCCACCAGAACCGCAACAATGGCCAATTTTCTTGCCTCAATCTTCGGTACAGAGCTTGACAAGGTCAACTGCTCTTTCTACTTCGTAAGTCCCTGAAACGCGTCTCAGTCGCAAGTCCAAGATTACTGACTCTGTCCGCGCCTACGTAGAAAATCGGTGCTTGTCGTCATGGCGATCGCTGCTCGCGAAAACACGTCAAGCCTTCCTACAGTCAGACGATCCTGATGCCCAACCTCTACCAGAATCCGGCGTACGATCCCAAAAACCGAATGAATCCTTCTCAACTACAGAACCACTTCGACGCCTTCTATGAGGATATCTGGTGTGAGCTTTGCAAATACGGCGAACTGGAGGAGCTTGTTGTTTGTGACAACAACAATGATCGTAAGTCGTTCTCTCTCCCAGATTCTCTATAGTTTTCAAATGCTAACTTCGAATAGACTTGATCGGCAACGTCTACGCCCGCTTCAAGTACGAAGAGTCAGCCCAGAAGGCTTGCGATGAGCTTAACAGTCGATGGTATGCTGCGCGCCCGATATACTGCGAATTAAGTCCTGTTACCGACTTCCGCGAGGCTTGTTGCCGACTTAACTCTGGAGAAGGTTGTGTTCGAGGAGGCTTCTGCAACTTCATCCACCGAAAGAACCCTAGCGAAGAACTCGATCGCGATCTGACTCTAAGCACAAAGAAGTGGCTAAAGGAGCGCGGTCGCGATGAGAAGAGCGCGTCTCGCTCACCTACACCTGAACCCACAAGACGTCGCTACTAGCGGCTTGTATACTGGTACTGAGTGGTGAAGGGCCTTCGATAGGAAGAAATGCAATACGGATGGCACGGTCACGGCGTTATAGGGGCTGGGGTTTTGTTCTAATAGTTTTTATGTAAGGATTCTTGGGCGATTCAACCATTATGGATACCCTTCCCTTCATCAAATATATCTCAAAAAGAATATTGCAGTAGTCACCTGGCGGAGGCCGGTGTTGAAACCCTTCTGACTCATTGTAAACCCACGGAGAATGCAAATACCCGTGTATAACTAATCCCGATGCGCGCCGATGTTGATGTAGCCTGCCTGTCCCCTGCTTCCGTCTTAGTCCAACTGTTCTAAGGCAAAGTCAGTCCTCACTGCCCGCTTCCCATATCTAAGAGATAATTGATATTCATTTCTTCATTGCGTTTTATTGTTGTGTGGCAGACGGTAAGTCCTTTTTCAGATCGTTTGTGAAATCAATCAGCGGTCCGTCGGCTTTCTTTCCTGTGGAGCTGAGCAAGCCTTGGATCTCAGATTGCTTTGTTGCTTGTTCAGCAGCGGGTGTCTGATCCGGCTTAGCAGGCGGAGGCATCTCGTCAAAGTTGATGAGGTTATCATCGATGTGGTTCTCTACCGGTTGAGCTGATGCTGTTTGAGCAGGCTTAGCAGAAGGGCTGTGTGGGGGGATGACGTTTCGTTGGTTCGACTTTTGTCCTTTGACGATGGGATAGATTGCCATAATTTGCTCAGCTTGCTTCTCGGGCGTCGCAGCATGATCACTTGATACAAGTTAGTGAAATGCCAACTACGTAAGTTTGCCAGCACTTACATATTGGCGTTAATGACCCATTCCAGATCTTCTTCGCCTTCTTCCAGTCCACCGGGACCACCTTGTACTCTCCTGAATAGTCGTGGGTGCCACTCGATGTTTTCCTGTGCTCGTTGGGCAGCTTCCTCACGTTGTCGATCTTCAATCTTGGTCTTCTCGTCTGTGGCAAGTTCATGGTTGCGGTCCTTGACAGCTCTAGCCGTCTTGTCCCACAGTCGCTGAGACTCTCGTTCCTCTTGCTCCTCGATTGGTCGAACAGTTGGTGGCGAGGGCTTTGATCTCAGAGCGTTGAAGAACATCTCTCGGTGACCAGTCTAATCATATCAGCTAAAAATGAGCTTGTGTTGTAAATAGGTGTACCAACCGTCATGTCTTTGATGTACATCTCCTCACTCCAGAGGCCAGAGAGCTCAAACAAGACCTCGCCAGTGCTCTCCCTCTTGATCACTCCGCCAATGGCATTATAAGTACCACCGACCCAGCCTTTTGTTTTGAAGTCGACATCAGCAACCAGGTCGAGTTCAGGGCATCGGACAAAGCTATGATCGCCAAGCTCGTACTTCATTTTGCCGAACAGAATGCCTCGGGCATACATGTTGGGTTGGGTGAGAATACTGCATCCTGTTAGAGTATATACAACGAAATATGCACTGCAGAACCACATAGCCATGCAAGGGTTGAGTGCGTTGGGTCAACATACTATTGCTCTCCCTTTGCAGGGTCCTTTCCGCGGTTTAGCAAACTCAGAAATGCAATACCTTCCATCAGACTGGCGGCAGAATTTCCCAGGAAACGACTCCGAGGCTTTAGAGTTCCGTCAATACGAATGTGGTGGTCTGGGGCCATGTAGAAGTAACTCGACTTGGGTGGGTGGTGAGAAGTCTGTTCAGAGATGTAATATGCGCGCTTTCCATCCTCAAAGTCCCAGTAACAAGTGAAGATCTCACCCAGAATAGGGTTTAGGGGTTTCTTGACGCCTCTACAGATTGTCAGTAACCGGCGCATCGACATCAACAACAAGCACAAACTCACGGAGGACGAATATGCCAACCACTGAGGTAAAACTTGACTACGGATACGAAGCGCTCGACGGGGTCGTCTATGGATGGAATCTGAAGGAGCATTTCGGGGTGGCACATGAAGCTGCAGCCAACAAGTTAACCTCTGGTTTTCATGACTTAGACAGGGGAATTCACTTCGTGATGCGCTCGAGCATACTGCGGGGTTCGAGAATAAAGGTGGGAAGAACGACACGACTCAGATCGGCCCCGGGTCGCAGTTGGGAGATAATATGGGAGAGGACTTGAGTACATCACGAGAGTCAGTCCAAGGTCGAAAGGCTGAGGCGGTCGGTTTGAGTCGCGATCGCACCGTTACTGCGAATGTCGACGCAACCTGCAACGAAGGAGGGGCTCACCATTGCCCTGATCGGGCTCCATCACTAGGGTGTCATCCTCAGCGTCGGGACCACGAGGGTCATCGGTAGAGGAGCGAGTGCCTGCAGGTTGCGAGAACCAGTTTGTCAACATAGCGACTCTTCAGTGGCCAAGAAGAAAGAAAGAATTTTTTTTTTTCCAAGAAAAATATAAGGGATTTTGGAGGGGTGCAGATTTGGGAGGGGTAGAACAGAACTCGATCGATAACTATAAGGTCAGGGATAGGGACAGGGACGGAGGATTCGGATTTGCTGAGTGGGGATTCAATGTGAAAGGATGTGGGTGAGTGAGCGCTTGAACCGAATAGAGAAGAGAACAGAACAGAGGGGGGCCGCCCTTCACTAGAGCTCCAAGCTACCAAGACCTATGCCGGTACTGCAGCCTCTAGGTGACGTCTTGAACAAGGGAGACACCAAAGCAAATTCAGTGTAGCAGGCGGAAGATTCCACGGGGTCGATTGCGCATTGAAGCCGTCACAAGAGGTTCCGATTCTTTATAAGACGAGAAAGAGGATAGGCAAACTCACTCGCGGTGCTGCCGGTCCTGCGGCGTCCATGAGAGACAAGACCCATGACCATTGTTTCTTGCTGCTAGAGGCTGCTGCCTAGGTACGTTGGTTTGCGAACGATTTCGTTTGCTGAGGCTCTCAAAGAATGTCGGTATGGGAATCAGCCAGATGAACGTACGGGACCACAGTCCTTTGGAGGCGCAGTTCGAGCTTTGTTGGGCTGGGTGCGGGGGCCTTTGTATGATGTAGGTAGACAGATAGTCACAACGGTAAGAGAGCTCGAGCTCAAGTGGAGCTTGAGAAATAGCGATATCGTTTGTGAGCGGTGGTTCAGCGGAGGTGACGAAGTGAGAATAATTGCTATGGATTATAAAGCCGAGTTGAGCGTGGTGGTATTGGATTGGATGGAGAGAAAAAGATATTAAGAAACGACGAGGCAATCAGTCACCAAAGATTAGGTACCTGGGTAGGTAGGGAGAGAAGAGGTTAATAGCTATGGTAATGACGGAACGGATGGCCCGGTGTTGACAAAAACGGTCTTGAAATGACCAAAGTGACGCCAGGGGAGGATGGGCACTGAAACGATCACGTTTTTGAACACCTTCCAAGGCAGATTAACATCAGGTAGGTAGTGGAGGTAGTGATGGGAAGTGGCAACAACCATCTGAGCAGGCATCGAGAATAAGACCTACCTATGTAATCAAGATCCAATCATTTCCATGAACCAATCCAGCAGATCTGCCCCGCGATGGAGAAGGATTGTCTTTGCGTTGACCAGGAAGTGGGGGCTGATGTCTGCCCTGACCTGCCAAGGAATAGCCCTGAAGAGTGAACATGTCCCAAATGGAATCTGTCATGAGGTCTTTGTGTTTGTATAATTCCCTGCCCGTGGAAATATCTACTTCTGCAGGAGTCAATATGGTTATTTCCCTCTAAACTAGTGCCTGTCATAAAGACTGTAGCACTTTGAGTTGATGAATATTCTGGTGTCACAAGCTGAAGCTCACTGGAGCTAACAGGGAGCTTAGCTTGAACTACGTCAGAGCCATGAGCTCACACACACCGACGATTCCAGCCCAGCGGGAACTTCACTCAATCGAATCAGTGCTGACTGTACCACAGGGAATGATATCATCCACACTGCACTGGAGGGAGATCTAACAAGTACCTACTGACCCAAAGAAGGAGTGGCTTTTTTCAGAATGTCCGTTGAAGGATCACTCGTAGATTATAGATAATCAGCACACACACACACCGTATAAATGGGTGAGCGATTAAATATAGCCAAATGGATGGCTGCCATCTCACATGTCAAGAATACATATGTATAAACGAATCCAATTAACAGCCTGGTGCTCCAAGCTACCTTACCTTGCTTATCCTTGTATTGTCACGACACGAAACGCTTGACCCAATCACGACGGTAGCTATCAAGCTTCGGCCCCACTCAGCCCGGGTCCCTCTAGACCCTTTCTTCTAAGGCTGAGGCTCCTCTGGGCTTGGGCGGATGCAGTAAAGGCTTCCTAACGGTGCAGCAGAATTCGTCGTTAAGAGTATTTTAATATTGTTGTCTCTAGCGACTGACTGCTTGCATACCCTGTCCACAAGAGTACCTATAACCTGCTCTTGGTTGTTCTATTTCCTTATACCATCCAAGCCCTAATGGACGATACATCTACTCGTAGAGTGGTCTATCTACCTCTGGTTCTCACTCCCTCTCCTCTTGGTATTCAATGATATGATAGAACATTCCCACATAAAAAAAAAAAATAGAAAAAAAGTAATGTGGCTTGCTTCAGGTGGACGATTCGCCGAGGCCGGCACTTCCGACCAAATCAAACTGAGGTATTATCGTGTTCGAGCCGACCCATGAATCATTCCAGATTGCTTGGGTCTTTATTTCAAATATAGCCCATATACAAGTCCAACTCCTTTCGTTCTCGCGATTTCGGCTTCTCGATGTCTCCGTCGTCCGGGAGTACCTGTCTAATTCGACCTGTTGCTCTAGCTGTTCCATCAGGTACGGGTTTCGGACTCTTGTGGTACCCCGGACCTCCGATTCGTCTTCCTGGCGGCAATCGAGTTGTCGCGGTATCCCTTACACATTGGCAGTTCCGTCCTGGGTATAAAGAATCTCATCTCGGCCTTTTGTTCGGTTTCAAAGACGCATGCATCTTACTGCCATGCTACTGCTCTTCGGTGACGGTTCATTTCTTTTTTGAACCTTTAATTGGTGCCGGTAAGCACTGTGCCAGCGCGTCTCGGTCTGTTCATTGTCAGCATTGTCTAAGTTATTGTTCACTATATTCACTCACCTGACTCGTTCTCAAACAAAATTGAAATATCATCGTGCTCGCCTGGTAAATCTGGGAGGTCGAGGCAGACAAATGCCATATCGTCGTAGTCACCGTCTTTGTCTGCTGGTAGTCGTGGTAGAGGGAACTTGGCGTCAACAAACTTGATACCACACTTGCTACTTCGCTGTACACTCTCATAAACGTCGGTTCCCTTCAAGAGGAAGTTCATGCAGTGTCCGTGATGGAAGTCTTCAAAGAAGGCCAGCAGCTGTAACTGCTTGTCTTCCTGTCGTATAACCTGGATTCGGGTGTATCCTGCTTCCCATTTTTTATGAATTGGTACAACCATACGACGTCGCTGGATGGCAAATGTGACTGCAAGGGCATCGAAGATCACCTCGAACCCCGTCATTGCATATTGGAAATCGTGCAGGTCCTTCAAGTTATTGAACTCGAACGTTCGAATCGTTTGATTGTGTCTCAGCAGCTGCAATGCATCAGACATGTTCCTGGGAAGCTCTTTGGGCACCTGCGCCTCAGAGACCGAGATAGTCATGTCTTTTTGTGGTTGCCGAAGAACTCGAAAGACTTTAGCGTTGCTCACTTCCAGCCTAACACGTAACTCCCCGGGTGCCACATTGATGCGATCAGCAACATTACCATTCTGATAGTCTATTACAACTTTGAGGTGATCGGCCAATACTGTTGGGGGCATCTCTCCGCCATACTCATCATTGACCACTCTCACGGCCTTCCAAGGCATACGACTGAATGGAGCCATACCCAAGGGCTCACGGAGACTTTGAGCCACAGAGAAGTTCTTGAGTGGCACGTCTGAGTAAATCTTCTCGTCATGATCCAGAGCAGTTCCGGTAAGAATCGAGTGAAACTTGATTCTTGCCTTGTCATCACTAAACACCATCACCATGCGACCCTTGGATTTGCCATTCTCATACTTGATAGCCAAAGACGGAGCATCGCCATCACCGCGAAAGAACCCGAACTGGACAGGCTGAGCTGGGGAATACACATGTTGAACACCACTCAGTGTCCTTGTCTTTGGTCCAGTCACCACAGCGATTCGGAAACCGAGATGCCATGTACGAGTAGCTGCAGGGCCGTTCTCCTTGTAAAGCTTCTCAAAAAGCGAGATCTCACAATATGGTGTTGGCTCTTTGGGGAATTGACGATAGTTGGGGTCTGCATCCATAACCTGGAACGACCGCAATGTTGACCTGAATACCATGCTCTCATCACTTCGTGGATAAAGGGAGTTGTTGACCTTGCTTCCAAAATCGTACATGTTCCACAGTGTTCTGAAGTCTTGCTGAACGAGTTGAATGGTCAACATGAAGCCACGTCGTAATCGAATGTCGACAGTGCATGTTTCCTTTCGCCATCGCACATCGTCCCAGATTGGACCAACGTTCTTGTTCTCTTGAATGACAAGCTGTACGTGGCCGTTCTGACTGGCGAGAATGAAAACAAGCCCGGTAGACTTCTGCGGACGAACCATGGAGAGCAAACACGGAAAATAGAGTTTTTGGTCTTCGTGGCCTTGTTCCATAAGATAGGCATCAGCTGGCACTCTGCCATAGTTGAAGTTATCGGTAGTATCGCCCACGGGGAGAGAATCAAGAAGCCTCAACTTAGACATCGGGCTTGTCATCGCTGTGAGACCCGAAGCCCAGTTGCCAGAAAGAAGAGCAATCATATCTTGGCTCAGAGGTGGGTACTCAACCCATATCGACTTGTCTATGCTCTGTGGTAAAAATGCATCTTCAGGAGGCAAGAAGCCGTTCCGTTTCATAGACATGGCCAGCTTCTTAAGTGCTGAGACCAGACTCGTGCTAACGTCGTCGACTTCGGCGTCAATTTCAATCCCCTGCGCTTGTGCAATTTCTGGAATTACGAGCTCGCAAAGCCAGAATGCTTTGGCCAAATTAGCATATGCCTGCTGGCGATCCCTGTCGTTTTGCATCTGGCCCTGAGGAGAATTGGGCCTTTCCCTGATTGCGACCTCCAAACCCATGCGACCTTTGAGAAACCACCATAGTGCACCACGGCCAAATTCAATCAATGAACAGGTCGACAGAGGCTTCACAGATTCTGCATGGAGGCGGAAGAGCTCAAAAAGATGGCTTGTCCTGGAGGTGAATGTCTCAAGGGCTTGCTCAGCAGCTGCAGAAGTACCATCAGCGACTCTTACAGACAATGCTCTAGAAGCCATCATGGGAGGAGCACGCTGCGGTGCGATGCTCGGTTGCCTTGACAATTGGTTGACTTCTGAGGTTGGCGTAGAGGTTGCAGAAACCGCAGTGGGAGCTGGGGCCTGAGCCCCAGACGGGGACCCAGATAAGCTAGGAGCAGAGGCTGGAACTGCAGCTGGGGGCGCGGGAGGAGAATACGAGGATGAGTTGGAATGGAGAGAAGCTGCAGGGCTGTACTCGAGGCTCGGTTTCGAGACTTGAGCTTCGGGAGATGGAGGCCCTCGTCTTCGTGATTCAATTGGAGAAGACGAAAGAGGCGTGGCGGAATGGGGGTCGTCCCAATTGTGTGAGGATGCAGAGGTGGCACTGGCTACCCGAGCAGCTTCGGCAAAGGCTCTGCCTTCTGCCTCTCGCTGCTGCGCAGAATGAATCTCGATATATGACCTCCTATTCTCATCTTGTCTTGCTGCTGGACCCAAAAACCTCGCGCCTATTGGTCTTCCTGGGCTAAGTGAGTGCTGCTGCGCAGATACAGGTGAGACCAGCTCGTCTGATTTAGAATTACGGTCAAGTCCAGCCTCAGACTCTTCGTCGGAATCGGGTGTGTAAATTGACGAGAAGCCTGTTTGGGTTCGAGACAAAGGCTTTGGTCGGAAATCGTCTACGGGTGAGCCTGAAGCAGCTGAATCAGGAGGAGGGGGTCGTCCTGGCGGCATTGGGGCTCTACGATGAGCCGGAGGTTGTGGTGGTTGTGATGATTGCGTTTGTTGCGGTTGTTGCTTGGGACGGGCCACTTTGCGCTTCGAGATCTCTTGAGTAGGTATCTCGGACTCATCACCTCCTTCACCAATTATTTCGGGAGCAGTATCATCAAACCTCACCGTCAGACCTTTCTTGTTGGGCCGTGGGCTTCGTCTCGGTGACTTTGTAGTATCAGGTCGACCTGCGACGAGAGGACGGTTTTGCTGGGCTGCATGATTAAGTCCTAAAGCTTGAGGATAACGAGAGATTGATGTGGTATCGAGCTTGGCCAGCTTTGGAAGCGACGACGGCGGGGGAGGCGGGGGAGGGTTTGTGATTGTTAGATTGTCTGAGGAGCTGTGGAGGAATGATTCGACATTGGCAGCGGACCGCGCTTCTTCGCC